GTTATCTTCTTCCATTTGCGAATTCATGGGGAAATCTGCATTTACACATTCATGCACCACTTGAATCAAATGGAGATATAGACATCTACAATAACATATATGATCGTTCTGTAGCAAGATGGAGAAGGAAAAAAAAGCCACTATTAAAGATGAGAGTAAATGATAGAGAATAACATCACTAGATGGATCAATTACATTGGACGTTGTGAGTGCGGCGTGTTTTCCTTTGGCGCTTGTTTGCCCTGCTCCGTCGCCGTGGCCGGCTCGCGGCGCAGCGATGCACCACTCAACGCTTGATCCGAAAGAATCCACAGTGCACGGAGTACTTGCGGTATTGGGTGAGTAAATCAATGTGGCGCTGAGGTTTCAAAGAACCTGTACGCGTCGCCAGCCTCGTTATGTCCCCGACGAGGAGGGCGGAGTCTTTGTCTGTGGAGAGGGTGGAATCGAAAAGGGACCCAAGACCCTCCCAACTCCGACAAGTACTCATGCCTGCCCCAGCAAGCCCAGGTCAAGATCTACCGATGGCGAGGGGCGGTGCTTCCATTCCGATATCCACGGAGTCGACGCAAGCAAAGGTTGTGTGGTCCCAAACAGGAGGTGTTTTAAAACGCTCTTGGGGGTGAGGGGCTCTCTTGCTCCAACATCAAAGTAACCATACTAAAAGAGCAAATGGGCACTGACACTAGTACCAACAAGTCGTCAAGCCAAGGGATGACAGAGGCCAAAAATAAGCAGCTCTTTGTTCCCTCTTCTTTTGGGGTGGAATCTCAAGTGCTCTTACCTATTGACCAGGGGAGGGCGCCAAGATTAAAATGACCCTACTGCATAACTCGATCCATCTGCCTCACGGAGGGACTAGTTTCGGCAGGGTCGGAGTTTTTGCCTTTTGATGAGGGCGCCTGGGCGTCGCTCATCATGGATGAATCACTCCGAAGAATCTTTGGGCTAACGTGGCCGCGTCGGAGGACAAATATTGCAGTGTCGCAATTTTACAACCGGTCATTACGGCGAGTTTATTGCTTGATCGGGAAGTCGTTTGCATTCTAATACCACAAGTACTAGGTCTGAAATGATGCACACGAAAATGCCGGTAAAAGGGGGATAAAAGAAGTAAAATAAAAAGGACAAGAAAAAGAACACGAGATATTTGGCAATGATGCGTCGAGCATGTACGAAGTACCTCGTGTCGTTGACAGATGGCGAGATTTGTCGTGTTGCCCCCTCAAGGAAAACTGGGATGGCTGTAACATCCTCGTTTGCGTGTGGACAGGTGGCGACTTGGATCCGATACTTCCTTTCAGCCACTCACAGCGAACAATGACAGGCCACTGTCGCGCATTCGTGGGCGACATGGGGATGTGGGACCGACCGCGCGCACCTGTCCAAGTCCCCGAAATGAAGCAAGGTATTATTATGTATTTTATTCCCCATCTGGCTTCTTTTCGATTATCGATCCCGTTTGATGGAGTTGCATTTCTTGTCTTCTTGTCCCCATTCCGATATGTACAGTTGGGTTAAAGGGCTAACGGCCTGCTTGAGAGACGAGACTGGTGAACCCCGAACTGGGTGAATCACCGAGAGGAAGGCTATAGCCTCAACGGTTCTCAGTTCCTGCCTTGATACCCCACGTCATACCACGATGATTCTGATTGACTGGGCAATATGCCTTCCTGCCTAAACTGCGACAGCAAGGGAAGAAGAATAGGCCAAAATGGCAGCCAAAAAGTAAAAGGAAGGGTAAAAAGACAAGGTACGTACGCAGCAGTACCTCGTGCGTGGAGAAGCAGGCTGCTGATTGGGGAGGGCGGCCAGAGAGATAAGACGATCCGGCAGGGAGGTCAAGTCATCAATTCCCGGAACATCCCTCCATTCATGTACAAGTATCAATTCTTCCCTTCTTCGTCCTGGAGATGATGGGCAAATGGGGAACCTGATGAGTGCAGAGCGGGTCAGCCACTAGGAGGTTGAGCTGGCTCTCACGCCCGGGATGAGGATCTACTTGCGATGGAGGTAGCCTTTTCTCGCGCCCCAATTCCCTTTCGTGACGCATCGTGTACTGCGTTAACGGATGACGGCGGCTGGGCCGTTTGTACACAGCCAAAGCCATCGGTAAGTTGGGGTAGTCACTTGGCGCAGCGAAACTTGGGGAGTTGGTGGGGATGGGTAACGACGCGGAGATGGCATGGTACACAAGGATGCGCGTACCCTTGTACTTTTAGGTACTAAAATGACAAGTACCCAAATCTCCCATTTCCCAAGTGCGACGCCTCTCCCATTTCGTGCTTTCTCATCACAGGGGTAGATGAGGGAGGGGGAAAGCACGACGCGCTGTGGGAGATCCGAGGAAGTCTGGCCAATCAGCGAAATTGTCGGTTGAAGGAGGGAAAGTTGTTGAAAGCCCATACTCAAAATGGGAGGGGCCAAGAACCATCTTTGCGAGGGAGGGGGACAAGGCCAGAAGACCCAAGAAACGCTCGAAACGCATGACTGGATGATTACACAGCCGTTCACCCCATCATGCAAAGAGAACAAACGTCGTCAACCTGGTGCGCACGCTCTGCTTCTTCATGACGGGGGTCTGGTCTCAGTAGGGGGATATCATTTGTTCTGAGAGGCCAAGGATAAACCTTTTTTCTTCTTCTTCATCTTGACGGGGGCTGTCTCGCTGTCTAGGCCGGGAAATGGAGGACGGCCAAGATTCACGGGAGTTTCGTTTGAAAGGGGGGATTTTGCATCTGGATTTTGGGCTGTGCTGTGCTGGCTGTGTGGCCACCGCCAAAGTGACCTGGATGCCTTCCCGCTGCACCTCAAGTCGGATAGACCAAGTACCCGTCCTGCGTAACTAGTCGAGAGGGTACCCTGTACACCTTCAAAGTACACTGGCACTCGTTGCAGTTGGTCGACTTCCTCCCCCAAAATCCCACGCGATTCGCTCCCACTGCCTAGGGAACCAGTCCAGTCCAGTCCCCTTCGATTCAAAACTAAATCGCTTCCCACCCTGCAGCGCTGACATCTTGATTCCCTTCTCCTCCCCTCATGAACAGAGCCGCCGCCATGTTCCAACTTTCGATTTAAAAAGACTGAAGGCGATCTTTTCTAGGTCTGCTGGATGTCCCTCGACGAAGACTAATCCTACACGAATTCTCTGTTTCTCTTTTTCTTTTTTGCTGTTCACCATCGAAACGAATCTCCGCCTTGGATTCTTTTCTCGCGGACACACTTGTAATAATTTCAGACAACAAACGAGCCCATTTCTTCTCAGTTGCCCTGTCCGGTCTTGTATTTCCTGTTTACGGAACTACCTGCACTAGAATCTTAGCATCGCAGCGGCATTCACTTGTTCCTTGCGGCCAAGAAGCGACTCGAGAATCAAAATAGTAACGAAAACAACGAAAACAACATCCCCTTCAAAACCTCCCCGATTCGAAATCGAAAGGTCGTGAAGACCCCTCCAAAAAAGAAGGAAAAAGAAAGGACGAGACAACCAACCAACGCCGAAACGATTTACACCTGCGCAAGGCATTTTTGGAACTCTCTACTCATTGATTTCTCACCACTTGTACAACCTACACCGGCGCCTACGAACGGATCAAAAAGTTCTGCTTCTTCTCTTCTATTTATCCCGTTTACTGTATCAAATCCAACATCGCCGTAATCGCATCAACGTCTCCTTTAGTCTTACGAACATCGCAAAAGCCTCCCGCCCGAACCCGAGTGTCACTTCTCTGAAAGATAACCTGTCGTTTTTCGCCAAGGCGATTTACTAGTTGGTTTGTGTTGCCATCTCCTTTATATCTTGTTCGCCCGCCGTTGCTCTTTTTATTTTCATTTTTTATTTTATTTTTGCCACTGCGGAAGCCGAAAACGAACGTTGGGAGTCACCAGAGTCGCAAGAGTGGATAGTCAAGTTTGGACTTGTCCAGGCTGTCAGTGCCCCATCAGACCCAAACCCAGCCACTGTGACTCGCCGTCCAGCGGCCTTTTCGGGAATCCGAGGTCACCACCCCTCTCCAGCGAGACAGCTGAGCCCCATTTTTTCCTTTACGCTTTTTGCCGCCACACTCTCGCCATCCGCCGAGAAGAGAAGAGTCATCCAGGCCACCCGACCAAGGCTGATTCAACCAGTGAGTCGACCCACCCCCTGCTCATTTTAGGTACCAGCGCCTGCCTTCCCCCTGCCACCCCATTCACCACACCACCCGCACCCCCGTTCGCGCTTCAACTCCCAACGCGGCGAGAAAAAGGCAACCATCGGCCGACCTCGCAAATCCACGGGGACAGGGAGTCATACCTCTTCTTGATGTTCGCGGCCTTCAATAAATAAGCTTTTGTGCTGCTTGCTAATTGTCTACCCGATAGCCGCACCGCAAGCGATCGTACCTTGCATAGGCAGCACAACCTCCTTCAACCTCGCGTTGTACGCCACCCATTCCAGCTTGTTGCCACGATAGATGCTGCCTTGCTTTCAACTCTTATCTCCCCTTCTCCCAGTCCTCTAACGTGATAACCACCCCTCGCGACTACGAGTCATCGTTGATCGCGAGTCACCCGGTCGACCTTCAATCTGTCCTCCCCATAACCTCCCTCCCCTCTTCGTTACGACAGCGCGATGTACATTGTCGAAACATACAAATCCACTCCAGTCGTCTGTTCTGCTTCGTCCTACGGCCAACTCGTTCGTGTACAGGAAGGCTTCATTTCTCATCTTGTTTAGAAGAACCTCTTCAACGATTCTTTTTCAACCACCTTGAGATTTGCTCTGTCGCCGCGTCACGCAGCCTCAGAACTTTGCCCCCTTCTCCACGGTATCCTTCGACTTGTCCCCGGTAACGATAGCTTAGCTGTTGGACCCTGCTCAACAGCGACTGGAGGTTATTTGAACCTTTGCTTCTTAAACCCCCGACCTTTTCTCTCCAAGCTCTCACGACACACATGTTTGTGTAGCTACTCCCACGACTCCAATACTCACCTCCAACACACGCTTCTCTTCTGCAAAGATGAGGTGCGCCAACGATTATGGCTCGCCTTTAAAACCGACACTCCCCCATCATCAACTTCAATACGCGAGCGAACCGTCCTCGCAGTCTACCTCGTCCACCTCGGACTGGTCCGACGCCTCGTCCCAGACCTCGCTCGACTCCGTCGCTTCCTCCTGGAGCCTGCGATCCTCCACCTCTCTTGATTCGATTTGCGCGGTAGCTAGGACCGATTCGGTTTGTGATAGCGTCGCTCGCCAGCCTCAGGTTTCTGTGCGCGATGCCGTCCCTACTGAGCTGCGGCAGAATCCCCGCCGCAGTGGCGTCCGTGCCGCTTGCCCCCTAAGCTCGTCCACCAGCATGACCGCAAGGTCAACTTTGTGGACAATCTTGTCGGTAAGATACTACTATGATCTGGCACCTTGGGAGCCGAGCCAAGGGGCCGAACCCCTCTCTGTGCCGTATACTGAATTTTTCGTGACAACTCCAGACTCGGCGGCTCTTTTGGTGGAGGCTATCTGGCCTCTATCCTCGGTTGTGTGCCGAAATGAGCTCAGCAACAAGTCGGTACTTCCCTTGAGGACTTTTATCCAAGAGACCCTTAAGCGGTCGCGCACCAGTTACTCAACCCTACAGGTAACCATGTATTACTTAATCCTGATCAAAGAACACGTTCCGCGACAGGATTTCACCATGGAACAGCCCAAGGACAATCAAGCGACGCGATCCCTGCAGTGTGGTCGTCGCGTGTTCCTCGCTGCCCTGATCCTGGCCTCCAAATATCTCCAGGACCGAAACTACTCGGCTCGTGCTTGGAGTAAGATTTCGGGCCTTCACACCCAGGAGATCAACCAGAACGAAACGGCTTTCCTCCATGCCGTGAGCTGGAATTTGCACATCACCAACGCTGTTTGGAAGCGCTGGACCCGGGTCCTCTTGGACTTTAGGCCTCCTTCGACTCCCCGTCGCCTGGTGGTGTTGGCATGATGCCATGCAGCCCGCAGATCTCGGCTTGGAAAACGGCCATGCTTCGGCTCGATCCCGATCTGTTGAACGTGGAGCCTCTGCGTAACTTTGCCCTCGCCTCGTCCATGACTAGCGAGACGAGCCCCATGTTCTCCTTTGATGCGCAGGAGCTCCCCTTGACACCCATTGTCATGGAGCCTTCGCCTGTCACGGTTCACACGCCCGGCCGCCTTGTCCCTGCTCTCGGTCTTCTCCCAACCCCCAAGTTGACACCGCAACCCAGCGGTCTCAGTACTCCTGCAGCGAGCACTGTCCCCCAACTTGTCAGGGGTTCGTACATGGGTCTCGCCATGAACCACGCCAACACCGTGTCCGCCACCCAGTTTATGGATTGTTGGGCGGGTCAGAGCACCCCTTCTCCTCAGAACCAACTCTCCTCGCGCCGCCCATCTCTGTCTACGTTCTCGACGGCATCTTCGCCCGAATCCATGATTTCGGATGTTTCGCGCGCTTCTCGCTCGTCCTCAATTTCGTCCTCAGTGTCGCTGGGAAGCGCGACATCGAACGGCCGCTTGGCCGTTCCGTCGCGATTCCGTTCTGCGAAGCTTGGCGTTGAGAGGTCCGGGTTGAAGCCGCTCATCATCTCGTCGGTTCCCGAAGATTACGAGCACTGCTTGACGTCCTCCCCGAGCCGTATTCCGCCACGGTCGGAAAGCTTGGCGACGTCTACCTTGAGACCCCCTGGGCCGACGCGAGAATGTGCTTGAATCCCTAGTAGGGGAATCTGTCAGCAATGCCGCCCGCACGCTTCACGCGCTTCAGCAGTTGGGTAGCTCGGCTGCTGGACCTACCAGAGCCGGCTCAAAGCGAGGCAGGTCCGATTCCTTGAAGGATCTCTTCAAGATAATGTGAGGGACATCTTGAACACAAATTCCGAAATGGCAGGACGTTGGCCTGATTCGCTTGTTCGCTCCAAGTCCTTTGCCGAGCGACGATTTACTTCTTCCGCTCCCCTTTTGGTGCGCCGTGGTAGTAAGCGTCTTTGCTGCTCTACTGAGGCCTCTCAGGAGCTTCGAGGCGACTTTAGGGGCCCTAGTCTCTCGACTGGGTTAGGAAGGGCCGGTTTGTGGACTGGCATCCTGAACGATTAAGGCAAAGCGCCGTCCCGAGTATCGACAGCCGGAGGGTTGGCCCATGTTATATGCGAGTTGCCCATTGTCCCATGCTCTTTCACAAGCTTGATTCTTCACACCTTTGGGCATGAGGGGCTATGCGTCGTTGTTTGTGCCGGCGGCTCAACTCTGCAACACAAACGAACCAACGGCCGTGTCACCCGAATTGTTCTGGGACCAAGCGTTTGTTACAGTGGTAGCATTTTCAACTGCATGCATTTCAAACTGAAGGAGGATATTTGTCAATACCCAAAGGCATCATCGTTCTTCACACAGATCTTGACACCTATTTTCCTTGTCTTCACATTTTTCTTTTCCTTTCTCGGACCGCACAAACAACGGATTGGTAGGCGGGGTTAAAGGTTTTCCTTTCGTTTTTTTTTCTTTCCACAATTACATGGATAGGAGGGTGGTTGTTTTTGCTTTCAATATGCTGCTGTTTCTTTTTTTTTTTTTTTTTCCCGTCCTTTTCCTCCTTTTCTTTTTGGCAAGTCGCGGCGTAGGAAGGCAATGGGAGGATATTTGGCTTGTACGTGGCCAAGTCCTCAATCGTTACTCTTTTGCTCGCCACACACACACACACACACACACACACACACACCACACACACACACACATCCACACATACATACCTACACACATCACGCTCACACACACACACTCACACACTCACGCTCGCACAGCCTTCTTTTCCTTTTTTTCTCTCTCTCTCTCCCGGCACGTCGTCCGTCGGCGAGACGGGTTGTACGATTAAAGAGAAGACATGACCAGGAGAGCGAGAGAGAGATTAGAGAGGGCCGGATAAGTGGAACCGGGATGGTCCAGCAGACCGAAGCGCACAAAAGCAGCAGTTTACCTCTCGGAAGATGATCCACCACTGATCTCCTTTCCCCTCCTACGCGCCTTTTTATCTTTTATATTTTTCTCCTTCCAATCCGCTTTTCGCCAAGAAGTTGACGCATCGTCTTCTTTCTTTTCCCCTTTTCTCCTAAAAACAGGTATGAGACCGAAAGATCAAGGAAACCCTAGGGAAAGGGAAAATGAAAATAAAGAAGAGCTGGCTTCGCCTCCAAAAGGGAAACACAGGCCCCCGGAGATGGAAGAGAAAGAAAAAGAGAAACAATACAAGCTTGGTTGAACGAACAAGCGAAATGGCGCCAGGGGGAAAGGAGGAGAAAAAGGGCAATGGAAATAACTTGGCTGGGATCGTCTCCGAAGGGGTCACTGTCTTGATCGTTGCTTAAGGCTCTGGAAACTGCAAAACCTGCTCTTCCTTATAACCATTACCAATAGTAGATAGCCGAAAGGCTTGATGGAGAGTGCAAGGGTGGCTGGCCTTTTTGGCTGTGGGGAACCGCAGCCCAAGAGCAAGGCTACCCTGACTTATCCGTTATGCCGACATCGTAATCCATCCAAACCGTCTTAACTATCTGCTTGCATCCTTTCTTTTGGCTCACAGTGACTTATGTTTGAATTTGCTTTGAATTTGCTCGAGTCTTCGACGTTCATATAACTAAATGCCCATGTCTACTGTTCCTCCGACGATGTCGTGATATTTGGGCCTGGGCGCCTCAGCCATCCACCCCGCCCCCTGTGCTTTCTGCGTCTACGTACCCTTCTAGACCACCCTCGTCTTCCTCTTCCTCGTCTTCATCCTCACCGTCGACATCTTCCCGTTCACACGCGGCCAGCATCCTCTCATGCCTTACCTCCTTCCTGATGCGTTCAAGATTGGCATCTCCCTCAAAGTCTGCATCCACATCCGAGTCGTTCTCGGGGTCATACTCTAGGTCTGAGTTGTTGGGATCCCGTCCAGCGTCGCGCCGCATGATGCGGAGGGCCCTTGGGTCGTCGCCGTCAAATGTGTTTCGGAGGCGGTCGCAGAGCTCCGCCATGGCCCAAAAGCCTGGCTCATCTTCTGCCATGTCTTTGCACTGAAGGTAAAAGTCATACGCGTCATAGAGGGCCACGCAGTGACGCTGATAAGTTCGAGCTGCCATAGACGAAGAATTCGTTGAGTGTCGACCACACAGTGTGGCTCAAGGGGATTTCCAGCGGATTCTTTAGCATTCACATGCATCGAGGCCAGCATTAGACGAGTCTGCGTGCGTCAAAGGGCAGAGGAAGCAGCAAGGTGTTTTGCTATCCTGGGGAGAAAGAGAGTACTTACCGTGTCGTCCAGGTCTAGCTCGTGGGAGACGTGTGCCCCGCCAGTGTACAACCAAAGGCGAGCCGCTGGTCATCCTCTGCCCAGGGCCCTTTGAGGAACTTCTTCTGCATTGAGATGCCTGGCTCAACGTCTTGGCGGCTCCTATACTGACTCCAGCCAATTGCTCTAGCCCGAACACCCCTTTTGCAGCCTGGTAGTCGTGCTCGAAACACGCCGCAGCGTTAAATTCGTGCGCACTTCCGGCTCGGCAATGCTCGTTACAGTCCACGTTGGGGACGCGGCAGGTTCTCCAATGGATGGTCTCAGCTTTGCTTGGCGGTCGAGTCTCGTCGAACCACGCTTGTTGAGCTTTCAAGATCAAGTGGATTGTGAAAAATGGCTGCTCCATCAAGAGGTTCTATTGTCCAGCTTGTTAGCACAAAAACAGGATTTTGGGTCTCCTCTTCCCCTTAAGCAAAAGAAAAACGGAGAATAAAAAGGGCGTACCTGGGCATGATAGACGTCCCAACGGTCATCGTCCGGGTCTACGAGTGATGTCGGGTCCGAAACATCTTCTCGCTTTGGACAGTCAAAGTACCTATCCCAAGTCGGTGCGAAAGCCTTGCGGGTGAGCCGAGTTACACAGTACTCGTTGGCAAGGAGGCTTCTTAGAGATCGGTTGCAAAGGGCGAGGTTGTAATTGGTACTTTCGATAAAAATCTCAACAATGAGCTCTGGTGGGAGGCGCTCGAGAATTGAACCTTTTTAGACCGGGGACGATCCAGCCTCCGCCTCTTTCTCTCCTGTTGGAGCGTCGGGTCGGGGGTGGCAGGGGCATTTGCCTTGGCCGAGCTGCCCTTCTTGCCTCGCGGCCGAAGGGGGCAAGTGGAGGCATATGGTTCTCGGACAGCCTGAAGTTTTGATAAACTTGACGGGCGTATGACTAGCGTCAATATTGAGACAAAGAGCTAGGTCCAAGGGCCACGATAAGGTTGATAGGTGCTCAAGGGTGAAGAAAAAAAGGAGGGGGAAAGAGATACTAAAAGGGTTCTAGCACCTATCAGTTCATTCTTCTAAGGCAAGGTGTGTCTGAGTGCTTGGGGGTATATATAAAAGACGGGGTGTGATGGGGAAGGGTAGTAGGGATTGGCTATGTGAGAAGATGCAGAGCTAGAGTGACGATAGTGACGGGGGTGAAGAAGGAAATGGTAAAGCGAGAGAGATAGATTAGAGCTGGTTTAATACTTGGAGAGAGCCGGCTGATGGCCAATTACTTACTTCGCCAGTCCCAAGTCTTCAAACCTTTCAGAAGCTTGCAGCATTGATATCTGCCATGCTCCTTCTCTTTTAAACTGCAGTAACAGCTCTCCTTCATTCTGTAAAGAGGGCAGGTGCAATGATGTGGTGGAGAGTGGGGCAATCAAGGCCCGGAACCAGGAGAATCAATTGACTGGGAACGCCAGCGTCTATGTGGTCTGTGCGTCAAATTTCTTCTTGATCCCAGTACGTACCTTTGCCTTTTACTTGCTTCCCTCTGATTTCTGACGACACCAAGTTTTTCCTTAAGTGAAAGCACTCACCACTAGCTTCCTACATTCGACCAGCTGGAAGGGGGATGAGAGCAGCACAACTACGCCCTTTCGAGTAAAAACCTGTTATGCCTGTTCACTTGCCAGGGACAATCGCCTGCGTTTGCTTAACCCGCCCACCGATCTCCCCCTTGAACACTCCTTAAGGCCTGGAGCGCCAAACTACCCGACTTCGCCCAGAGGCGAAGGGACATTACTTGCCATGTCTCAAGCGCTACGCTTCCCAGTGCCCTCCAACAGCCTCCTACGATTCCTTCGAGCGCAAGCTAAAGATGCTGCTATAACAGGCTCCGTATGGAGTCCGAGGTTCAACCAGCTGCGCCGCCATGCAATTCCCTCCCTAACTGTGACGGGAGCGGGAACGACATCTCGAAGAGCTTTTCGCGTGCGCGCACGACCCATTGCTTAAATGAACGGAAATTCGCGTACCCCTCGCCAGAATGCGCCTCCAAGACCGAGAACTGGCGCCCATCCGTACGATCCCGCCGTCCCGCCAGTCCGATCATCGTTTACAAGGCGTCTTTAAAGACGTCTGTCCATCGCAGCGACCAGTTTGGTGGCGACCGCTCACCCCTGACCCCGATACCGTGAACTGGCAGGAGAGGCTTTGGGGAGCGCAGGGCCGCAGGGTGATAGGCATTTCAAATCCGGCAATTTGCCTTGCCGCGACGAAATTGACGGTGATGCGATGCTTCGGCGAACTCTCTCTGCCAAAGCTGCCCTAGAGCCACGCCTGCGATGCACAGAGGTCGATGAGAACGGAGAGACCACAATCACCGATGGCGAGTTCAAGAAGACGGAACTAATTGCGAAGGTGAGTTCCTATTTCTCCCTCACCTCCTTTATACTCAGGAGACCGCCATATCTCCAGCCTAGCAAACCTTGACTGACCAATCTATGTTCGCAGTACGGCCTCTTGCCTCGCGATCTACGTAAAATCGATTCTTCAAACCTCCCACACATACTGATCCGACCCTCGGCCATTCTCCTCAATCTCCTGCACCTGAAGGTTCTGATCAAGCACGACCGGGTCCTACTTTTGATGTTTTTGGGTCCAAAACCTCATACCCGCAGTCTGCTTTCTTGTACGACCTACAAGCCAAGCTTCGCCAAAAGAACACACCAGGTGTAGGTGGACTTCCTTATGAATTCCGAGCACTGGAGGCGGTTTTGACCTCGGTCACGTCGGAGCTGGAGGCGGATTTCGAGGCTGTCCGGGATCCCGTCATCCGCGTTCTGAGCGAACTGGAGGATGATATCGACCGACAAAAACTTCGAATCCTCCTCATCTTGTCCAAGCGTGTCAGTACCTTTGAACAAAAGGCAAAGCTTGTTCGTGATGCTATTGACGAGCTTCTCGAGGCCGACGACGATCTTGCCGACATGTACCTAACAGAGAAGGCAAGCGATTTGTATCGTGGTGTCGAAGATCACACCGAAGTTGAGATCCTCCTTGAATCCTACCACAAGATATGTGATGAAATCGCCCAGGAGGCTAGTAACCTGGTCTCCAGTATCAGAAATACCGAGGAAATGTATGTGTAACCCCTCCTTTTCTGTTCCTTTGTTTAGGCACGACCTCAAGCGGAGAGGAACTAACTCGGACTGCCTAGTATTCGAGCTATCCTTGACGCCAACCGAAACTCCCTCATGCTGTTGGAGCTCAAGTTCAGTATCGGCACCCTCGGACTAGCTATGGGAACTTTCCTAGCCGGTTTGTATGGAATGAACCTGGAGAATTTCATCGAAGAAACTAACTGGGGCTTCGGTGGCGTTACCGCGACCTCGACTTTCTTCTCTCTCGTTGTCTGCTGGTATGGCTTGGTTAAGCTCCGCAAGGTTCAGCGCATCAAGATGTTGGGCGATGAACGCGCGACTTTACCTCGCTCCCATCAACATTGGCTTAGCCAATCAGGAACGGACAGCATGTTGGACCCTAGGAGCCGCGAAAGGATGCGAAGAATGGCCACCCAGAAACAACAGCCCCCAAGCCCAAGAGGTGGTGGTGGTTTTGGTGAAGCGGGTAATAGATCCATCCTTCGACCACGTATCTCTTGCCAAATCACCTCCACTTCGCCCCTAAGGTTATCGCATTACCACTTTGCATATAGATGGCGTTACTCGGGTCTCGGCCGACGAGAAGTCTCCGGCCGGTATACCGCATTATCTTTGATCTTTGGTTTCCACTCTTGTCTCGTTCCCACATACTCTTCTTTTAGTCTTCCCTCCTCTTCATTTTCGCATTCAGCTCCCCTCCATGTGGTTTTTGGCGCATGACGACGGTTATGCTTTTAAGCGATGCCTTCTTTGACAGTCTTGGGGTGTACGATTACGTTGTGTTCATGGGAAGCAATACCCATCTGTATACTTGCGAAGTGGCGGCCAGCTTTGATAGGATTCAAAGATTCCAAGAGAGGCATTTAGTAATGGAAATCTCTCTTCATAGACTTTGGGGAGTTTGGAATATATAATCAAGTACTTGCAGTCTGCTTATGAGTACGGCTGTCATTCATGATTCTTTTAGGCTCACAACGTGTCACGCAGCAAGACGGTACCTAGATTCCGCGCCCGGCAAGAGCGACGCTGGTCGCGCAAAAAGATGGCAGGAACTCCCCGAGGAGGGACTCACAACCGGGAGAAGGGGCTTCCAACCCTCCACCCAGGTCTACCTGAGACAATCGTCTTCAGGCCACTCTCGTCCTGATGCTTAGCATATCCCAGATATTGTCTCTAGCTCCGGTGTCCAATCCCTCTGCGTATTCTCATCGTGGCCATCTAGCCCGCGTTCGTACACCACCTGTTTAGCCATATCCATCCTAGAGCTGCTCCAAACCTACAGCAACCTAGGAAGGTTAGGAATAGCACTTTTCTTTTTCGCCATTACCCAGTGTCTATCCCACGCCACCCATCTGACCCACCTCGGATCGAACGGCCTTTCGTAAATTGCGTCCATCAAACCGGACAGCTTCTCCGTCCACCAAAGAGAGAAGATTTTAGCGAAACCATGGACGAAGTCCTGAGCAAAGTGAGACTTTCCCCCCTTCGCCTCCCGCACCTCCCATCAAGACGAGAACCTTTCACCGAGAGAGCAGAGGAAGAGAGAGAGAGCGGCCGGCTGACGAGCGCATGCTACTCTTCTGCTCTTAGTTCCAAGAGTCACTCGAAGCCGCCATGGATTACGTCGTGGACTTTCTCAAGAGAGTACTCGAAGGGCTGAGCGGGGTACGGGACGTGATGTTCAAGTTGCTCGAGACGCTTATGGGCGCTGGCGCTGATGCTTCGCTCCGTCTGATGTCAGTCATCCAGCGCATGCTGCGAGGGTAGCTCGACAAACTTCCCCTTGTGTGCCAGAGATTGCGGAGAAGCAGGTCGATAGGTCCAGCCTAGGCTAGGTGTGCACGGGCGTATCCTGAGAATGGTTTTTAGGCCAGGGTAACGCTGGGGGTTTTTACGAGAGTTTGGGGGTTTGCATCCGACACCGCTCTTAAGAGACCATGAGAAAGTGCTTCCCCCAAAGTTGCTAGGAATTGGAGCCTTAGGAGAGCATGTTTCTAAGATATTCCTTCCTATATCCCGTATTGTATTATCTTTAGTAGCAGTACATCCATCATCATAAGTCATAAAGTGGTTAGCCTATAATACCTTGACGTGAAGAGCTGTATTCTCAACGTTAAAGGGTGTTCCACGTGTTTTCAGTTATCCCGCCCACTCCCCGTCATCACGACATTTCTGTTGAAAAAGCCGTACATCATCCTCGCCGCCTCCCCTCCCACCAAGGGCTCCAGCTCCGCAGCCTCCATGTTGGCCACCTCCCGGACGTTCCCCACTTTGTTCACGAGCGCCGGCAGATTCACTGGCGTCACACCAGGCACGGCGGCCAGCATATCTTGCGGCTCCTGGTTAAACGTCTGCTCCATAACGGCGCTACCAGCTCCCTTTTCGAGGCCCGCCCTCACGGCGGCGATGGGGTCCGGTTCGTCCTCCTGCTTCTTGAGGGCCTCGAAGATTTCGGCAGTCTGGTAGGGTGAGCTCGACCAGATGATGCGCAGGCGGGGAAGGCGAGCGTCAGCAGCACAATCTTGGACTGCAGATCCGACGAGGCATTGGAGGGCGCGACGCTGCTGAGGCTGCCCGAGAGGTCGGCAAAGGGCTCGAGGGTGAAGCTCTTGTTTTGGTCAAACTCGATGAGAAGCATCGGGTTGCGGTAGTGCTGGAACATGGCCTCGGTCTGCGTGTACAGTCGGCCGTCGCGGAACGACGAGATGAGATCGCTGACGGACTTGCGCTCCACGCAAATGTTTGGGGAGAGCACGTAGTCGGCCACGGTGAGCATGCAGGGGATGATGATGACGCTGCGCCCGTGCAGGAGGGACGGCAGCGAGGAGCGGAACTCGCGCACATCGACGACGACACGAGGAGGCTGCGCCGTGGCCGCGAGGCGTCCGCCCCCGGCTATGCGCGTGTTGATGGTGCGGAGGAAGGCTTCCTGGGGGTCGACGGAGCTCGGGTCCACGTTGAGGACGAGGGACATGCTCGCCCTCTCCTTGATGACCTTGGTGAAGGCGTCCTTCTCCCGCCGGACGGCAGAAAGGTAGCGCTGCTCTTCGACCGACCCGCCGTAGTACATGAAGTAAACCCTCACGTTGCGGTCGTTGTGCGAGGACCTGTACACCTCTACGCGGCGGATAAAGGACGCGTCGGGCTCAAACATGATGATGTATTTCGGTCGCACTTCTTCCAGCACGTGCTCGTCCTGGTCGCCGTCGTAGGCGTGGACGACGACGAGGTCACGCATCTCGTAGAGCTGATAGTACTCCTCCATATCTTTGAGCGCGTCCACAACGACGTCCGCCCTCTCCTCCGCCTCCTCTTCCGTGACGGGCACCTCGGACATGAGCTCCGCCATCTCGCCAGGCTGCTCAAAGTACTGCGCGATGCTCCCGTTGTCCGTCCGGTTCGGGTGGTGCGCACCCATGCTACCCCCGCCCCGCACCCGCCTACGCTTGTTCGCCGGGGCTCTGCTCTTGTTGGCCAGGCGAGGGTCCATGGCGCCGTTAAGGGCCTTTTGGTTCTCACTAAATAGGGCAGCGTTCACCTGGGCGAACTCCCTCTTCCACCTTAGGTAGTTTCGTAGCCTACGCCTCATCATAAAATTCGCCGAGGGCTTGTACCGCTCCTCGGCCTCGTCCTCCACGTTGAGCGTGTCATCGTTCTCCGTCCGTGGCTTTATGTGCATCGTTTGCAGATAGTCTCGCAGCTGGCGGCATATGTCTGTGTCTGAGCACATGATGAGGATGGTCCCGTTAGAGTCCTCCTTGAGGGTCGGTTCGAAATATAGGTCGCGATCAATCTCCTCTAGCACCTCGGCGAGCACGTTCCATTTGGGCAACTCCTCTAGCACGGGTTTCAGCACATCGATATTGCCGTCGGAGGTCGCGGCTGCGGCCTGTCCAGCGGCCGCGTAGACTCGCCTCCGCGCCGTGACGAAGATGGTTTCTGCCGCATCGAGGAAAAGCCAAGGCGACTGGGTTGACCTCGTAGAGCCGCGGCCGGTGCATGCGCCGCATGTATAGTGTCCATGTGCTGCAGAAATGATACCGCGTCGAATGAGAGCAGCGAGTGGAGCATCCCGCGGAGCACGGTAAGATCGTTTACGATTTGTCGCGTTTTCCAGCTGATCCTGTGCCAGTTAGGCTCGAGCTGTCGACGCACAATGACGTCGAAATTCTTAAGCAGAGCGCTGTCAATGTTCAATCATCCATCTCGAGCCCGCTGTTGCCCTTTTGAGCTCTTGGATGCTGATCTCGACGCACTCCAGAATGGCGTTCTGAATATCGGTCATGGCATCCGTCATGGGGACCTCGAGTTCAATCACCTCTGCCTTCCTCCTCCTCCCCTCTAGCGACTGCGCAACGGTCACATGGAATCTCGGCCACAGCGAGGCTTTCCTCAGGAAAAGATTTCCCATCATGGTGGCCAGGGGCGAGAAACCCCGGGAAAAGGGTTCCGGGTTGTCCGAAAAGGCCTTGAGAAACCCCGCCTTGTTCTTCTGCCGGTAAATCCGCAGGATGAAGGCCTCGAGCGAGGTAGCAACAACTTTGTCGGCGTGAAGCACGACGACTCCAGTAACAGATTCGGGCGGCAGCAGGCCCGTGAGCATGTCCACGACGAGGATTCGTGAGGTGATGCTGAAGATGCCGCCTTTAGAGTACATCTTCTCTCGCGCGCCCACGCTCGTGAAGTCAGTGTTCACAACCGTCAGGCCCCGGGCCTTGGGCGCCATGCTTATGGCGGCGTGCTCCGCAAGGGCCTCCCCGATCCACCCATTCTCTCTATCCGTGGCGGAAACTATGAGAATCAGATTGTTTCCTGCTACGTCGTATGAGTGAAGGAGGTTAGTGATCAGGCGCATGAGGCCCAGGCCCCGGGCGAGGACGACAAGCTCATCCTCGGCCCGGAGCTCCTGGAACAGCGTCTGCTGGTATTCCTACCAACGGCCCGGTTAGCAAGCCATGAAAGCATTCGGGCAGTGATTCTGTAGAGAGGGAGATCAAGGCGAGAAGGATAAGGCTCGGAACAAGTGGCCAGGTGTGACGGGCGCGGATCGGGAGCCAAGGGCCGCTTGTCGGGGCTAGTGCAAGGCATGGGCAGAGACATGGGTAGACAAGGTGGGATGGGTAGATACCAATGGCAGCGAGAGCTTCACTGGGTGCGGTGCGCCCCCAGGGGCCGCCATGTCAATATCGGGCCGAGAGGAGTGCTTAACGGTGGTACTTCGTAATATCTTCAGGAACGGACGCCGATGTCAGAAAGGTGGTGAAGGTGCACACAGCTATCTCAACAGAGGTGGGCCATGTGCGCCATGCAGTATGCAGCGTGGCGGGCAGCTCTCCTTTCCGCGGGATCCACTTTGAAAATATTAGAGAAATGGTGTTCACCGTCCGCTGGACGCAAGATGAAAAGTGGGTGGGCGTAATACCATGAGGGCGTGGTTCAATTCGAGCTCTCTTTCCCTGTTGCGTGAAGCGTGCACAACCAAATCTGGATGATGCGAGCAGCCCATCACTGACCGAGCAGGGAGATGTTGATTGGCTATTGCTCCCTCTATCTAAGCGTAATATGTATCTATCGGGGTTGTTCCCTGTTCAAGGCTTCACCAGCCCATCACATCACGTCTTCCATCCCCAACGAGGACGCTCCATGGACTCTCGATCACAACGTTCAGCTGGTTTCCCATCCCTCAGTCTCACCTTGATGTACGAGCTGTGAGAGGCAGAGCCGGCGACCGAGGCTCCCTTCCCCATCTTGGTAGTGAATGAGGCCTCCTGCCACCCATCCACCAACCAGAGCAAGATAGATGCAGTCAAAGCAAGGAAAGTGAAAGGTACCTCTAAAACCCCTATTCTAGAGATAACTGGACCCCAATCCCTTCAATGGTGGATATTCCGATACGGCCTCTGGAAGGGTGGGTGGCAGGCCTCGGGATTAAACAGGGAATACCCTAGGTGACGAGTCCCAACAGCAACCTCATGCTTATTTGCCATTGTGCTGCGTTGCAGAACATAAGAATTGCCACGGACTATCAGCTGAGGTCGATTTGATCGGTAACTCCATGTCGCTTTTCCTTGCGTTGGTCTCGGCATCCTCCGACGTGGGATCACTTCACACGGCCAGTGCGATCGGCCCCACTGCGGCACCCGGCACGAGTTTACGGTCGGATAAACAAGTCCCGCGAGCTATCAAAATTAACTAAAGAGTAGAGGAGAGAAAGAAAAGAAAAAAAAAAAAAAGAAAAAGGGCCTCGATCCATTCACTACCTCAGGAGGCTGAACTATGTGAGGTTTGAGTAGGGCATCCTTGAATGGGAGACAGTAGTTGCTGAGTACACTGTAAGGAGCCAGCGGCTCTGGTGACTGGCCAAACGGCACTCACGTCCCAGCCGTCACGTCATATATCTGCTTGCATAGTCGAGATGGCATGCGTCACCATTTATTTTGGTAGCTTCTTGTGTCTCTGTAACTTGGCAGGGCGGCCGCCATTGTGCCTCTCAGGGGAAAGAAGGGCCAGCTACTGCACCTCGAGATAGGATGGCGTCCTCAGCTTGCGTAAATCTTGGATAGACGGCATCCCAGCGATGCCTTGTCAGCTGAGTGTGGTCTTCCAGTAGCATGGCAATTGTGAGTCTGCATGGGGGCTCAGTGGAGACTGGGCAAGTCAGGGCACTCGTTGACCCCGGGGAAAATAACGAGGCAAGTCCACGAAGCAAAGCCACCAGGAGTCGTAGACATGTGGCGAGAGGAACAGCGACGAGCCGACAGAAGTCGCCCCAGGACGGGGTCGGTCTAGACCAAGCCTTGTGCGCGCCGTTGGTTCGAGACAACAAGGAGGAGGGGTCAAGGGAGTCTAATTCGACGTCCGAGATGTGGCATGGATGGTGCCCTACCCTCCCTTTCCCTTGACAGACTGCTTAATCCGGACAAAAAGACGGGAAAGAGCATGGACGCCGATTGGTATGGCCCCTCTGCCGGCCTTGAAATACCGCGTCCGGCGTGGCACAGCCTGCAGATTTCCAGCTGTGGCTGCAATCCCGAAGGGATGACAAAAGAGTACAATGAGTCGTTTGGTTGATCGAGATTCGCCATGTGGCTACGGCTGGGATGTGGATCCAGCATCTGTCTTGCTTTTTCTCAGGTCATGATGTCACCAACGTTGATCATTGCTCTGCTTGGAGGTTAGCCGTGGCAATTCACCCAACAAAGCCTTCCCCTGTCGCACAAGGCACCTCGGAAACCTGTTGCGCCTTCTACTTTGACATCTACTTTGCAGCACGTAATACGAAGAGTTCGCCAAGGGTTTCCTCCTCGGAAGAGCTTATCATGGGGCAAAAGTCGAGGGTGTTGTTTCTGCAAGTACTTGTGTATGTTCAGCATGTCGGTTCAGCATGTCGGTCAAGGCCCCCCTAGCTTCCGTACCAGCACGGAAATGACCCCTCATCAATCCTCCTGCCGCATTGCGAAGCCAGGATGTGTCCGCACTTCTCTCCCTCCCGAGGCATCCGTTGAGTGATCAAAAGGAGGGCTATATGAATTTTTCCTTTCTTTTATTTCTTTTTCTGTTTATTATTTATCTATCTTTCACTTTTAACTTAGTGGCTATCGCTTCACTAGGCTGGTGCGAAGGAAGGGCTTGAAGGAAGGATACGCGCTGCGTCTCTGTGGGTGGCTTGCGATTTAGTATTATTCACAACGTCTTTCCTCCTTTGAAGGAGATGAATCTGAGTTGTATCCCGCTCTCGGTCTAGATTGAATAGACCCTCCCCAGGCGCCAGGCTAGGTAATTCCGAATTTCAATACCGCCGCATGAGCATCCTTCCGAAAATGGTGAGTCGAGAAAGTGTCCTTTCGGAGCGAAATGTCCATTATGTTGGTGGAAATGTACAGTTCCCTAACCTGGGAATTTGGGTTACTGAAGTTGAGGACCCTTCTAGACCCCATTGTACCCCGCCCGCATGTGCGCTTTTGATCCACCTCGCATTATGCCAGTGCTGGATTTCTGCTTGCAGGACACAACGATTGGAGTCACTCGCGATTTATTAAAAAAAAAAAAAAAAAGAAAAAGAAAAAGAAAAGAAAAGAAGAAAAAGTACACCTTCGTACCCGACAGGAGACGACCGAGTTTGAGTCCAGGGATGCAGGACAATGAGCGGATGCAATGGATGTCTTACATTAGAGAGATGTAAAGTACCCGATGGAGATGGCGCCGGTGTGTCAGTGTCCATCACGAGGGGTCACTCTGGATTCGAAATGTAGATCTCGACTGGAGAGTAACGAAGGAATTTGAATGAACACATCCCCGCCTTAGCCAGGCTAAGTCAGATCGAGGCTCCCCAACCCATCGTGCCTGTTCGAGGGTATCGGTCAAAGTCCACGGCATATTAAGTGGCCACGAAAAAGAGAACGCCAAGTTTGATGAGCATACAATATCACCAGGGACCTCTGTCCCAGCCGGGCGGCTCAGGCTTGACATCAAGGTGGCGGGGATATCGAGCTAGAGAAGCTTCGCGGTTCTGCGTCCGGTTCTGCTTCCGCCGTCGTGGTTCCTTATTCTTCCACAGGAGCAAACTGTCCGAGGCCGACGAGTCATGCTCCTGTTGGTCCTGTCACGACTCCCCGGCTCAGGGTCAGTGGGGGTTTGGATGCTATCGGAACTTCCCCTTGCGAATCGAATGCCGACGCATTCAGTAGGCCCTTGGGCCTTCTAAAGCGTTTCGGCCAGCCAGGTGGAGATACCACCGTTAGTCAAAGTGGGGTAGAAACAAGTAAGATGAGGAGCGTTACTGAGCCTCCCGTGAGCAGTGCGGGAATGGCGGGAGACCCGGGAGCGCTATTTTCAAATGCCATCAATTAACAAGTCACAAACCCCGATTCTATGTTAGGCAGCAAGGCGACGCCCGTATTGCGCGATGTTCAAACACAGAGCTGGGGAAGGAAAGGCACAGCGAAAGGCCCGAGAAGATGGAGGAGTTTCTGAAAAGGAATAAAAACCCCTCTATGCGAGACTCGTCGAGCCCGTCGGGGATAGCGACGACGGTTTGCAGCAACAGGGAGAGCCCGGGGGAAACGACAATATCTGTTTAGGAAGCACAGGTCCTATGGAAGACACAAGACTGGCGGAAGCGTGATGAGAAACTAAGGGGAAAAGCCAACGGGGTCAAGGTTTGCTCTTATGGGATCGGCGATGCGTCGCCTCGCATTACATCTTAAGTGCACGGTTTGCATGGGATGTAGATTGACGTTTGAGGAAGCGATGCCCAATGGCGGATTCCAAAACCGACAGCGACGAGGAAGCAAGGGATGAAAAAGGAATGTGTGTCGGTGGCCAGCATTGAAGTGAGGGAGTGTCAACGGGAAGCTAGATTCTACAAGTAGGCAGTCAGACAACTCGTCTACGAAGTAAGTTGAGGGCGGCCTGAAGACCCAGATGGCGGAGGTTCCTTCCCGGAGACCTTCCCGAACATCAGGCGGCTAGCCAGATGTGCAGGCCTTCCTTATTACCTCCGCCGGCGCGTCCTGTCCTGGGGCGAGGGCGTGGATCGCCCCCTGCCACACCTTAAAATGGAATGGAAATTTTCCTTCGGGGCTTCTTCAGGAAAGGGTCAATTGATTGCGATTGTGTTGGCAGCCACAAAGGACACCCTGACCACACCCATGGCTGAGCCCCACCCACACAGGCTGGCCGCTATTAACACAACCCACATTCTCCCCTCCCTCCTCCCTTGTCCTCAGAAGCATTCCCCACCAACCTAATGGATCCATCCCTCTTCCTTCATCCAAACTATTTAAGCGAGGGGTTTCAGTGGCGATGCTCCTCGATTCTCTCGATCTCAGCGCGCTTTCGAATGGGCTTTCTAATGTTTTGCTTCTCTCGTCTAGAAAACCCATCTCCTCCTCTTTTTCCGACTGCCTATAACCCTCTGTCCGTTATCTCCCTTGAGGTGATATATCAGGTCGGCGGGGTGCTAGCACGAACTTCCAAGACCCCTTCGTCCGTGAAGGCTAGGCGGAGAAGCACGCAAACGAGCGGCGAGCACATGACAGAAAGTCACAATCTCCATCTATTGATGGCTACGGTGTAATTGGCTTTCGGAACGGGGTCAATAATCGTACGGTGGGGGTTAGTAGGCCAATGATCAAGGAGCTTAGCAAAGGCTCGAAACACAATAGATCTCCGGATGGGCAATATCCCACAAGCCGCCCCAGCTCACTAGCTCCGATTCCCAGAAGTCGCCTCCAGAATTATTTTGATAGCCTGACCTTTTTGTCTAGCTCGACCGGGTACAGGAAAATTTCTAAACATCCGACCGTTGGGAAATAGCACTGGTACGCCGCCTGGGGACCACACCTGCCCCAATGCTACCAAGAATGGGGCGGGGATGGGATGGGCGACTGGTGCAAGCCACCCGTGGTGCTAGTCGTGCGGTGGTCCTGCCCCTGGGTATCATGACCGTTTTGGTCGAGATAATGGAAAGGGGCAGTAGGTGGGTGTGGACGTGTGCTTGTGAGTGTTTGCGTCTATGTAATGCTAGACGGTCTGATGAGAGGAAGGGAAAAGGACAGAAAAAGAAAAAGGGAGGGAAAAACGAGAGGAAGGAGAGACAAGAACGAATCGGGACAGAGCCAAGGAAAAACCAGCAGGTCAAGAGTCCATCCGTCCAAGTAAATTCACAATTTTCCTTCCAGAACCCAGAAAAAATACTCCATTCAAGTCTCGCCGAACCCCACGAGATTGGGAACATTGAAGCGTTGCAGCTACTAGTTTGTGCGGGGCTGTTTTTTCTTTCTCCAGCAGGTTCACTGCAGTTTTTCGGTGCTGAGTGCCAACTGCCATGCTGCACACCGCAAGCGCCGCCGCCTTGCCGCCCAAGCCAATCAGCCTCGCTAAGGAGCATTTGCTCCGGGGTACTGGCGTCTTTCATCGCTGGGAGTCGATCCCGGCCCCGGATCCATAGATGGAAGGGACTTTGAGGCCAGTCGCATCACCCAGCTCAAGCATACCTGGAAAGCACCAGCATGATGTGCTGTCCGGGTGCCTGGGGACGAGCCCGTCCTTTGCCCACTCCGCACTCCGCACTGCAACACATTAGGCCCGGACCCGTCTATACTTTGGGTACTCCGTGGGAGGGGCTGAGAGGGAACAAGTGTGTTACAAAGGGAAATAACGGTTCACTTCGGAGGGAGGGAGGGAGGAGCAAAGGAGCCTTAATAAAAGGAAAAAAAAAGAGGGCAGGAGCGATGAGGAAACCGCGCAAAGCCATCCGACCTCCACACACCTTGTCCTTCACTTGACAGCTCGAGACTTTCCCACAGCCCTAATTCCCATTTGCCTTCTTGTCCCCTGTGTCTCTACGTCCCTACGCCCCTTTGTCCTGTCGAGGTCGCTCTTGTTGCCCCGTGTCACAACTGCAATGCTTCTGCTTCGCCACTACTTCTGCTTTCCAAGGGTGGCTGTTTACTGCTAGGGTCCTATCTTTATCCAGTAGGAGAAGGGGTATTCAAGTTCTCAGAGACAACCTTACATTAAAACTTTCAGAGAGGGGTGTTATTACTGTCCTCCCTTTCTATAGCCTTTGCACCCCGCCGCCGGTTCCAGTTCTTGAAGGTCAGCAGTTGTCGCCAACCAGTGCTGTCTCCCCCCTCCGCGCGTGCTCTTCCCGTGCTGTCTGTCTCGCTTGAAGCAGAAGCCGAGAAACCTTGCTGGTGGCAAAAACTCGCAACCAAGGGGCCCCGTACCCAGAAAGAAAAGGAAAAAAATCTGACAGGGTCACTGTTGTTTTTAAGCGTTCCTACGAGGGATCACCGAGTCGCTCTTCTCCGACTAACGGGTCTCTGTTCATGCCGAGACGTCACGCTGTGTGGCCTGCACCCCATCCGAATCGGCCGCACTCCTTTTGCCTTCCTCTAAATACCTTAGACACGCAATATCTATGAGTACGTGGAAAAGCGGAACCGCCCGCCAAATATCTCCCATCCACCTACCAAGCCCCAAAACAGCGACTACCCTCTTTCTGCAGCGTTCTCTTGCTTACACAGAAGCCACACTTTTCTCTTTGACGACACCCTCCAGCCACAATTTTGAACCCTCTCCCTCGATGTTTGAGGAGGCATAACCAACAGTACTAGCCCTCTCTCATGTCCTCCCTGTCCCTACCACTAATACTACTCCCTACTCGACGCCCTCCACAGCCATCAACACTGTTCTGACCGTCCTGCCTTGCATCTTGTTTGAGGAACCCCTTCAGCCTTTACTCCTATTCAACGTTTTTAATGTGCACTGAGCACATTGGAGATTGCCCAGTCTGCGGGAAGCAATATCTCATCTATGTTGAGTTCTGCCCACTATACCACCCGCCCGTTCTGGTGTGTCCGAGGGGCACCACTGTCAATCGTGTTCCTCCGCGAGAAGGGCAGTGTCCAAGCCCTGTCTGTCCAAACAGTCGGGTGGGGGCTGCCAGGTTATATGACGACTCGAGAATGGCGAGGCAGCTTGCTTGATGTTAGGCCATCCGCTCCAGATCACAGATGCCCAGGAACTACCAATCTCTCTTGGGACCTCTTCGTTTCTCAAACTCTCGTCGACATCTAGGGAGAAAAGTCCACGGCGGAGGGCCCTGCGACCTTTTTCTTCATTATATTCTTTCTTATTTTAGCTCTTGTATGTGTCTTGCTTTGCTCAAGGCTGTCTATCCGATTGTTTAATTCCAGTTACAGCCTTTGGCCGTTGGCACCGACTTCGACAACCTGGTCAATCCCTCCATACTCTGGTAGGTCGAGATCATATTTCTGAGCAATACCCGGCGGAACAAATCTGGAACTCTCGCAGTCAGCTCACGATGGCTTTGGGGTCAAGCGCCAACAGTCAAATGCGAGGTTCTCCCAAGTTTGGAAGTTGGGCTTGGAACACGAAAAACACACGAGGTTCGTACCTTCCCCCGATGAAATGTCTTCCCGCGAAGTGCTTAACAAGGGGCTTCGGGGCTGTGAGGCTAACGAGAACGTCTGGGTGGAAAGTGCTTCCAAGACCGTTGTTTGGCGGTCCGTTTTCGATATCCCAGGACGACGGGGCATCGACAGACGTTACAGGCAATTTAGTTTCCTGAAGAGCTCGAATAACGGCGGGGAACGGCTCTCTAACTTCTCCAGAGAAGCTAAAGCCTATATTTCGCGAGTTAGACAAGCCTCGAATCTTTTGTAATCGAACACTTGGCTGCGGAGGAGCACGCACCGAATATTGCGTCTACGACATGATCGGACACTTTCAACGCTTCCGAAAAATCTTCAACAAACTGGACGTTCAGGTCGCTGAGTTGCTTGACGAGTCTCTATAGAAATCTAGACGGTTAACGCTGGAATCTTTTTGCCTTCTTGAAGGTGAAGGATGACATGGAGATGTGCATCTGTGGGTATGGGCGGAAGTGCATCTAGAGGGAGGGATGATGTCTGCTTTTGGGTTGCTTTCAGGTTCCTTTTTGTTTATGTTTTTGTCTCTTTCCGCACGCCTCCTCTTCTTTCAAAGCATCTGCACGGGACGAGGTGGGCCTAGGATAGATCTTCATCTCTACGAGGGCGGGGGACTTTGTCGTCGGGAACGAACAGGGGATATTCCACCATGCAAAAGGGGGTTCTAGGCCAGCAACACATCATTACAGGGAAGGTAGTATTAGAGAGTGGGAGAAAGGGTGCGTAAGGTTGTTCTCTGACTCGTAACGGCATGGGATGCGGGTAACATTTCTGACGCAATCTGGCCGTCAAGACTCATTTGGGTCGTGCACTGAATTCTGAACCGATAGACGAATAAACAACAGACTTCAATGTCTTGGGTGCGCATACCCGACGTGAAGCATTTTCTGCCGTGTTCACCTTGCCATATTCGGCCGGCTGGGGGATGGGGGATGGGGGATGGGGGATGAAGGGGAGGCCGGGTTCACCGGTTTCCCCGGACGCTAGGATCTGAAGTTACGCAACCCACCTGATACAAGTCGTTCTTGCTCCTCTTCGGGTAATAGATCGAAGGCGAGTATCCATAATGATGGAGATGCCGTGCAGCAACGAGGCCATCGCCACCTGCGGTAGGCCATGTCAATGAGTGGGTTCATGGTGGATAAGCATCTACGAATGCCGAGAAAGGAGTAGGTGCCAACCGTTATTTCCCGGGCCACAAGCAACAAGAATTCGCTTCCCGGAACTTGGGGGTGAACTCTGAAAACTAGAGTGAAGGGCAGGGAGTGGCAAGGTCAGCTCATACGATGCACGGTCTAGAAGCTTGCGCAGCATCGCCTGCGGAGCAAACCCTCGTCGAAAGAAAATAGACGAAAGCAAGCGACAGAGGGATCTACGCCACCGACGGAGGCAAGGAGCTGCAGGACTAACCAGCTTGGGAAACCGAAAGGCCTGCGAGCTCCATAAGTTGGTCGATAGAGAAGGCACAGCTACTCATCAGTTCCCTATCGAGTGCGGCGGCGGCTGTCGCCGACAAGGTCTTGTTGGTCCAACTGTTAGAGCGTGAAGAACATCGATTTCTCATTTTCTTGATATCGCTACGGATTTCGCCTGGGTGGAGGATCCTGCATGCTGCGAGGGACGCACCTTGAATGCCATGATTAGCGCCAATGAAGGGGCAACAGAGAGCTTCAGGTTGGCGGGGCACGGTCTGGCTTTTGCTTTTTCTTTTGGCTTTCTTGATTATGCAGGATGAGAATCTTGGAGCAGGAAAAGGAAAGGTAGCAGACCCCGGTGAGGAAGATCGTAAATACTAGGGGTTGGGCTGTATGCGATGTCACTTCTTTAAATAAACGTAGTGACGTAAGTGGGCGTGATGGTGTGGAACGATGGATTGCGAGGAAAGGTCTAGATCTAGCGACGGGCGATGATCTCCAAGGAATTGAACCATCAATTGCCTTGTATCTGCAACACAGGTGGTGGGCCGCTGTCCCAGGTCAGGAGAGGTCACTTTCCCGCATCCATATTGCCACGTGACCTGTCCTACACAGTTTGCCGCAACCTGCCTCTCCGACTTGGAGATGAAGCTTTTAGGGATGTCACATCATGACGACGGGAGTCGGTAGTCGTTGCGTGCATGTCCACTCTGTGAAGTGGTGGAGGCCGGCAACATATGCACATCAAGTTTGGTTTTGGTCCCGCTTGGCCGCGAGCGTTTAGTGTAGCTTTCCCCCGGCTTTCATTTGGGCCGTGCCGCTTCCCCTTGGGGGCACTTCCAGATGGGACGTTTCTCCGGGAAGCCTGAGGCTTTAGGCCGGTTGCTGCTTCCACGCCGTAGTCGGCGGTGGTGTAAGACCGGCCTTGCCTGAATCACCGCCCCGATAAATTTCCAGACTCGTTTCCTCCGCGGCTCGTCCGCTCGATAGATGCCACACTAGTTAGTTCCCTTGCACCAGGGGCATAAAGCCAGAGCCTTTGTTTGCTGGATGGGCTCGGCGGAACAAAGCTATCACTCAACCTCCGGCGGGTCGGGTTTACCTGTGCGGGTTTCGGGTGAATTTCGGCTAAAGGGCACGCCCAACTTTTGGTGAAGCTTCTCTAATTTTTTCCCCTTTGGCCTTTCTAGTCCCGAAGAGCGCTGGACAACCAAACATCGTCATCCGACCGACAACCTCTCCACGCCCAAATTCGACTCGGGAGATCTCTACGAGGAAGTACGAACGGGATTCCGAAAAGATGGTTGTGAGAATCAGACTAGCGCGCTTCGGGCGCCGCAACAAGCCCTTCTACAACATTGTGGTAGCGCAGTCACGGTGCGTCCTGCTTTGAAACTAGCCTTTCGCGTCCCTCCCCCGAGCTGGCTGACATGGCCCTTCCAAGGAAGAAGCCTGGCCCTCTCGCTCCCTCCCCGCCCGAATAGTGATTTCGTCGGGAAATGCGCGCGTTCTGACAGGATCTCCAATTCTAGATCGGCGAGGAATAGCAAACCGATGGAGGTTATTGGCACGTTCGATCCGATCCCGAAGTTGGACCCCTACGCCAACACCGGCCAGTTTCACAAGGACATCAAGCTCGATGTAATCCGGGCCAAATATTGGATAGGTGTTGGAGCACAGCCCAGCGATACGGCTTGGAGGATATTATCTATGGTGAGCTTTTTTCATACACAATCCTAGCCAGTGTTCGAAAGACGATGGCGCAAACACAAGGGGTGTTCTCTACCAAGACGCTAGCGCCTAGGGGCAAGACTCCTAGCATCAGCTGCCTCGGATTTACTCACGAGCCTACGTGGCGTCATGTTAAAATCTCCTATGCTAACATGTTGACTCTCCGCTAGGCTGGAGTGCTCCCTAAACGACAATACGGAAACGCGCAACCCTCTACAAGCACACCCGCGGCCACAAGTGCCACCGCTTCGACCTAAAGCCTCCATTTCCTTCCAATCTCTCAGATCTCTCAATATCCCTCCTTTTTCTATCGATGTAATTTTATGAGAATTGCCCGTCGAGGGCCCTTGATGTACAACAGAAGATAGCTGTTAGGGAAGCATTCTATGAGGAGTTACTGTTCAAGACTTATTCGGGACGCAAGAGGATTTATTCTCGCGGGTGTCAACCCTTTGCATGTTGATCATTCTCGTGATGCATTTTAACATGACGCATCCCACTGCTTGTTGTAGAGGCTTACGACAGAGGTGAACATGCAAGGAAGCAGAGAAGGATTAGAAATACGCATAGACCCATGGTTTGAACCCTTCTATTACGCCGCTTCTTTACTACGCCTTGTCTCTGATAAGCTTCGCCTACTATATCGCCCTCGAAGCGTCAATTTTCCAGATACCCTTGCTCAAGTCAAGATTTTTACAACCGGGGTCCGTTCATATAATGGCAGAAATATTTTGATCCAAAGGAGACGTGTATTTATCATACACGGTATCTATTCTGAAGCCTCTGCTCGACTCCGGTAAAGAGGTCAAACAGGAAGATATAAAAAAAACATGTAGAGGAGTAAAGTTTGGGCGGCAGGCCTGAACCCGCCAAGGAGGAAGGAAGAAGAAAAAAGGTAGTGTATCAAGAATCCTAAAGAATTGAAAGCAAGGGAAAGGGAGCCTAGGGAGGAAAGAGATGGAAAAGAAAACGGATACTATAATTGAAAATCATCTAGGATGGATCTGTTCGTCGTTATAAAGGGTTAGGATACAAAACTCCGTTTACGAGATGCCCATGGTGTATCGTCCTTTGCGTGTCCTCGTTGCGCCTGCCGTGGAGATGGAAAGACAAAGATGATAGATGCTTCCAAATAGAAATAAGAAAAAAGTCAATTGGCGAATGGTTGTTGAGTTTCAGAGGGTTTGTCGTTGCTGCTGGCTGGGTATTGCACGTCTTTAGGAGCCACGAGCAGGTGAGGGCGTTGCTTTCGCAGATTCTAATGAGTAACACTGAACCATGTGTTCATGACGAGACAGACAACCATGACCATGACACCGTAGCCGGAGAGCGCCAGGGCCAATTTCCGGAGGAGACCGTGGTCGAGGTGCTCGAGGTCCCATCTCCACGAGCGCCAGCGGCGAAGAGAAAGGCTCGCGCTAGCCGTGCTCACCATGCTTCTCAAGCTCGTAACGCTAGTGGCCATTACCGTATCATCTCCATGGTCAGAGTCCGTAGAGTCAAGATCGTCGCTCTCTTTGGTCATACGTTGATGGTGGATACCCTCTGGGTCACTGATCTTGTAATAAAAGAGACCTGGCAAGATAAAGCTGATACTTGTCGAGCCAGTGCTACCGACATATGCAAGCATGCGATCGAGACTGCTAACTGACAAGGCGGTGATGTAGCTTAGGACGATGATCACAGTGGTAATGACTGCGAAGCGCAACTCTGAAATGCCATGAGAGCCACCATGGTCTTGCCTACCGGCATCGTTGGATGCCGAAGGAAGGAGGGGTCGGCTGCCTGGAGCGTTGGCAGAAGGCTTGTTTCTGCCACCGTTGGGTCTCCAGTTTACCACAGCATCTATCGAGGCGCGACAGGGATGAATCTGAAGAGGAACGGAAAATGTGACCAGAACAACGATAGCCGCCTTGGCTAGGGTTGATGCCACCGAGGAGCCGTCTTAAAAGAGAGACTGTAAGCGAAAGACCATAAATTATGGTTCTACAATGGTGTACTTACACATGGAGACGATGTTGCCAGCGACATCGTTACCAAAGGTGAGATATCCAGTGATAGCCACGAGAGTGTAGACACTAGCAGCCGAACCGATACTCGAGCCTATGACAGTAATGACGCCACTAGGGGAATCATCCGACAATTCGTTCAGAATTGAGAACATCTACACTACGGTTAGCACCCGGCCTCCGAAAGCCTATCAATCACGAATACCGCCACAGGAGATCAAAGAGAGAAGACTCACATTCTGGTGGCAGGTGTATGCAAAAACAACAACGGGCAAGCTGCTGAGCATTGAAACAGGCCCCTCCCATTCGATGACCCGGATAGGGCCCCTCTGACTCAGATCATCGACCAGGAAGTGGTAAACGACCAAGATGACGAGATAGCCGATCGATACCAAGGCGATGACACTTGTGTACTTCAACGAGTCGAGGCGCTTTAAGAAAGCGAGAAGGATGACAGGTAGCATGAAGGCAGTGATCCAGAACTTTCGATCTACTAGATATGGAATCTCTTCCGCGCGACTATCGAATCCGATCATGACGCCTGGCATTAGATCACCAATGATGATCATGTAAGAAACACCAACGCCAAAGCACTTGATTGCGATGGCGGCGTCAAATATGATGGATAGATTTGGATAGGTGATCTGAGAGAGAGCAAAAACGACGATTTTCCATGATCGAGATATCGGGCGCATCGAGACTGGAGGTAGAGGCCGAAGGCTGCGGTGAGGCCGGACCAAAGGATCATGAAAACCCCCAAGGTGACACCCATTTTGGCCATAACAGCAGGCATGGCAAGCGTACCGGCACCAATGACTATCAGGGACCGCATTAGGATGGTTTCCTAACCCAAAATAAAAGGGCTAAAGGAAGGGCCATGAGGTAAAGATACTCACTCGTATTAAGCAGATTGATTATGCTACTGATGATGGTGGCGTCGCCCCCGCCATCTTTGGCGCGAATCCGCCTTGTCCTGCATACAGAGTTAGAAGAAGTGCTCCTTTATCATCATTTGTAGGTCCAGAAAACGGCGTACCGGTTCATATCGTTGGCGGAACTGGACTGCGAGAGTAGCCCGCGAGATGTCGAAGCAAAAGCGGTCATTGAAGATGGAGCAGGCCAGGCAGGTTGGAGATTGCCTTGTGACAGAGTAGTCCGGGATGGTAGTATAATAACCGCAAAGGAGAACAGAGGTTCAGGTACGGCGCAAAGGAATCTCGATTTTAGCTAATATCCGATCGCTTCAAATGCGTCTAATGGTCGCTTCTCACGTCACCCGAGCCATCACGCCCCGAATTGCCAAGTCGGGGATTAGAGAGAATCAACGAGCGAGGTCGTTAAAAATGGTCGGGATTGTATTCGGGATCGTGATTCCGTTTTCTGCTAAAAGTAAAAGCTTGAGAGATTCGAGGTTAGGTATTTGCGGGGGTCAAATAATTGTCGTTAGTCGGTCGGGAAGGGTGAGTGAGGTTGTCAAAGGGGTGACGTTGGGAACTCTGTTTGACTAGACAATGTTCGTAATCTTGGGGTGACCTCGTGTTCAAATGCACCGCTTCCAGCAGCTGATTCAGTTTGGCTAGGCGGTCATCCTTTCCTTGAAGATGAGTGGTGAGAACTCTCCTCAAGGTGGGGCTGGCCAAGGATATATTAGGTAATCTGTTCCACAGCGCCAAGCTACCGACTTGGGAGCGAGCAATCCTCGCTGTGAGTGACCAAGTTCATATTATTCTCACAGTCGGGAGCTGCGAGCTTGGATGAACTTGTTGACCGCGGCTTGGGTCTGAATTCGGGATGGGCTTAGACAATGCCCCGTGCCACCGAAGTCGCTTCTAACCCATTCGCTACATCACGTCTTGCACGGCTCTTCACACAAACAATCATCAGGCCAATTTGACTCCGCGCAGCTCCTGGTAGACCAATTGCTCGCTGCATTGGCGCGTGACTTGGTCCGTCACGTCCCCCTGTGTATCTTATTTCTTTTCTCCTAACCTAAACGTAGCCCAGTTCAAGATTTAAAGCGAACACGAGGTGATATTGGCATCAGACAATAGGAATCGGAGTTATCCTAACCGTCTCCCTCAGTAGACATATTCTGCCTGCATCGTGCGCTAGCACAAACACCACAGCTCCTCTTCTCAGCATCTACTTTGCCTATAAAGATGGACGCACCGATGGACGCCACCTCCCTTGAGACCATCGAGCTCTTTGAGTCCCGGGTGCACCGCCTCGAGTATACGCTATATGGAGAGGCGACACCGGAGCACCAGACAGCAGAGGATGCAACCATCGCAGAAAAGCTCGAGGACCTGGAGAGGCGGTTTGCATCTCTCGTTACGCATGTAAGAGTTTATAATGAGCTCTTTAAAGTTTGTAGGAACTCCCCTCTCCTGACTCATAGGCCGAGCAAAGGGGAACATGCCACGCTTCGTCCAGCCCCTGGGCTTTTCACCATATACCAAAATACGCTATCATGGTGCTAACCGACGAGTAGATAAGACATACCCCTCATTGTTCCTTGACCCGGAACCTTCTACTCCCCGGTAGACCTACCCCTTGACGCTGTGAAATCGATTGTTTTGGCAGCGGCGTCGTCGTTCCCTGCAACAGAATCTGCGCTAAGGGCAGTGAATGACTGCCAGGTGCCGGATCCAGCTCAAAGCGCGGGCCTAGTCTCCCAGATGGAAAGAATGAAAGCTCTCGAGGTAACCCAGTTAGCTCAGGCAGCGGACATTGCAGAGCTTCGAATTAGAAGCGAGGAGGTTATCCGCAGATGGTACGAGACAAATGCTCTGACACCCTCTGACTTCATCGCGGAAATGGAGCACCGAGTCTCACGAGTCGAGAGGCTAGTGCGACGAGCGGAGCTTGAGGAGGATTCCTTATGATTGGGAAGCTCTGATAAAGTAAAAGACCATTGTGGCCGCCATACGCTTACTCCTCCTCCGTCAGGAAATAGCCGAAGTCTAGTTGAGTCTGGAAGATGGTTGACGTCGACGAAAGGCTACGGCGGCCTTGCCCGGCAGGTGGTTAGGTGATGAGGGGGAAACACGGGTGGGGAAACAAAATGTTGTAGCAATAACACCCACAAGCTCTCCCGGAGACAAGACAAAGACTCAACCCATGAATCAACGACCAGTACGAATATATGCAACGCCGGCCGCAAACTAAATGAGTTGATAATCACCAATCCCCCAAAAGGAGAAAGAAAGGCGAAAAAAATCCCCACAACTTCAAGTGTAGTTTCACGCTGTCCATAGGTGACTTGCTCACATCTTCACTTGATACCTCGAGAACCCTCGTTTTAGACAGCTCACGTGGCGCATCTCTACTTCGTACTTTGTATGAGTTCGTCACCGATTGAAAAGCTCATACGCACCGTTTAACGTGGGTCAGTTGTCATAAGTTTGGGCCGACGCAGGTACGTAGGCGGAGTCTATTGTTGGGATCTCGGCCTCCTGAGCGGGAACTACGTTCTCCGCGTTTCAAGATGACCTCGCGACTCGGGGAAGGAGGGCGACTTGAGGTAGATTACCATAGTGGGTACCCAGAGGAACAAGCGCAAGGAGAGCAGAAAATAAGGCATTTTTGGCTATGTGGATAAATCAAGATGGAGTCCGGGGTATTCGGATTTCCAGTCGTTCATTCAAATCGAGCGAACATCTCTGAGAATCATTGTTTATATTATGATGCTATGATTATTGATCGCATTGGAACATCATCGGTTGTCCAGTCCGCGTGTAGCTACACACACGCGCCCGATCATCCGGAGCCGAAGGAAATGCAATTGAAAAGTAAAGGGCCATTGAACTAGCATATGGACAATTGATAATTGTCCAACAGGCGCATACAAGATGCAACCAACGTTGACGAAAACCGAACCCGAAGACTCATGGCTGTGGTGCTGCTTGGTGATGGAGAGTATATGCAGGTACTCTCTTGTTCCTTTTTCCCCAAACCTAAAACGGGAACAGCACCAAGTTGAGGCCACCACGTCACTGGTTTAGCCCCCTTCGGAGATTCAACACAGCTTGGGCGCATCTAGGGTCACCTGTCGCAATGTTTTTCGTAGACTAGAGTCAAGAACGGGCGGACCTACCACTTCGTACCTGGGAATGGGTGTAAGAAGCCCTATCCGAATCGTCTTCGACGCCCTTACTTTCTCCCAAAGGGGACAGGCCCCATTCGCCTGAGGCGTCTCATCCGCAGCAAGGTGTCGCATCGTTTAAAGACGTCCTCCGGTCACCTTGATGACGGCCGGTCTGCATGGCTGGCTTCGTCCGAACCCAACCGGTGCGAGAGGGAGAATATGGGTGGGGGACCCAAAAACTTTGAGAAATTCTAGGGAGAGCTTGCCCATGCCATGCTCGCAGGAGATGGCACGTCCTCTTCGCTGCAAGTTGCTTCCATGTGTGTTCGGGAGGACCGTTGCTTGTCCCCGAACAACAGCCGGCATGATGCTGGTTCCTCGAGGGTGGAACAGTCGGTTACTTACCCTTGCAGAGAGGACCACGAGTGGTTGGTCTTCAGCATAGATGCCTTCCTTCGGAGATTTTTATTTTTATCTTGGGAAAAGTAGCTCAACGTTCATTGTCACAGGGGAGAGGATTGCCTGGAAGGGAGCATGGACCCGTCGGGTGGACCGGACTTCCGCTCTGATAAGTGTTCTATTGGCAACGATCTGAAGGTGGGTAGCTAGACGTGGGTGACATTCAACCAGTCCCTTTCCACTGAATCACTCCGCCGATGAGGGATAAAAAGAAAAAGAAAGGGGGAAGGGGGAGGAATGAATTAAAGGTTACACCAACTTGACCCGAAGATTCTCGGACAGCCCAGGTGAATTTTCTTTAAGATACAAACTAAGCACACTCTCCTCGGGCAGGCCAGGCAAACAACTAAGCAGGCAAGGGAGGGTTGCAGCTCTTTTCAATGACCAGGGGACTTCTGAGGGGTCAAGGACACTGAACCGGGGTTTGCATAACTTCAAAGATAGCTTATTTTCCCTCATGATCCTAGGGCCTGGGGGAACAATGCTGTTGAGGTGATCTCGCCCTGAACAAGGTACTCGATCTTGGTAAGGTCAATGTTCTGGCTGAGGTCTTGCCTCCATGAGAAAGATGATTAGACGCCTTGAGCAGCGCGAAGAACCCCGCGATCACCGAGGGGCATGATCCAGAAGACGGGCTCATACGAAGATCAATCGCTCTGTTCCTCCATCCATGAGAGGCCAAGCTAACATGGAAAGGACCCTGGGCCAAACCCACTTTCAAGACGGTGCCGGCCCCGTCGCTCACCACCAGCGTCACGTGGCGACCTCTGAAGGTTGAGGTCCACGGTTGCTTAACGTATTTCCACAAGAATCACAGTGACGACCCATTCACTCGATTCTGACTCTCAAAACCTTGGCCAGTCTTCCCTTTTCATTGTCTCAAGACTTCTGGAGGTTCTAATATCGTGGTTGGGGGAGGGGACGAGACTTGGCAACGAGACTTGACTTGCATCCTCACGATAAGCATGGCTGGCGAATCCAGCCTTCTCATGGGAATATTTTGGGAGAGGCTGATGAGAATGGCCCATTTGGACCCCTGTTCTGGTGGAGAACGAGCAAACTCGCAAGAACAATAATAGTGCTCAGCTTAGAATGCGTCAAAAACTTTTGGCACCCTTTGGTTCACATTTGACGGAAGGCGTGGCTGGTAAGGGAGGTTGGAAAGACCAAGGTCTTAGACACCCAGCACGCCGAACGGCAAGAACTTCGCGATGAGTAAAGAATGTTCGTTTTGCTCTTTTCTTGCCATTTGCTCCGTATTTGAAACGCGCTGTCCGTCCAAGAACAAGGGAGTATTGTTCGAGTGGACCTGGTTCTCGGCGGGCCCGCGGAGTCTTGCAGCCAGTCGCCGCCCAGGCCGGGAAGACAAGTCGTTGGTCAGGCCACTGGCGCGCGAGCTGCCAACCTGAATCTGCAGGAATCCCCAGAATAAAGATCCGATCAATCAAGGGAGCGAGACTTGCTTCCTCCTGCTCTATATCCTTGGATGGCGCTATGGCCTTGCCTCACACGTGTACATTGTAACTTTGGCCGATAGGCGTCACCAAAGCAAAGCAAAAATTGTATCTCGAGCCTGACGGTTGGTTCTCTTGGCAGGCTGTCGCAGTTTCTGGTAGGGGGTCTGAGCCAGGCGATCACCTGCTAGGGGAGCTTGAAAACCGGTGGTCCTGAGAGCCTAGATGTGACGGTAAAGGTCTGTGAGGGAGAACGACCTGCAAGCACTAAAAAACGCTTCTCACACCGTCACCCTTGCTCGATAGCCATAGCCTAACCAGCGCACGCAACGAGAAATCCGACCTCCTCTTTCAGGTGGGCTTCTCCCCACCCTTTTCACACGCTGACTGGAACCCCTGCATAGGAAGCGGCATCACGGAAGCCACGGACGATCCTTGGCCGCGCAAGTCTGGGAACTTTTCAGCAGGAATCTTGTCGAAAAAGAAAAGAAAAGAAAAGAAAAGAGGCCGTAGCCAGACAGTAACAGCAGCTGCAGTTTCGTTTCGATGTTGTCCATCCACCTCGCTTCATTGGAGTCCCTTGAGGCCTCACGGCTAGTTCCGGCCCGCAGGCAGGGGAGGCTTTTTTCCCTTCTCTTTTTCCTCCCTTCTCCACCACCGAGTAATACAAGAGAATTCAATTCAAGATGAATGCAAATCGGCGCACCCTCTATCTAAGTACGTCAGCAAGAGTGGTCTTTTAGCCTATCAAAGGCAACCCGGCCCCCTTCTCCAGGTGCAAGGTCCCCAAAATTGTTCGAGACGCTGCGATTGGCTCGATTCAACTAGGACCAGTCCATCTCAACGGACCGAGGCAGAGTTCTCAATGATGCCAAGAGGAAGAAGAAGGCGCTCCTTCTGAGCGGCCAGCTCAGGTCCTCAGATCCTCTGGTTCTCCATGGTTCTCTTTCAGCGGCTATCTTCAACTGCACTCCTGGAGTCCGGATGATACTCCTGCAGCGGAATGCATGCTGGCGGTTCGCATCAGTGAGAAATGGTTGGTGACTTGGCCACGAATTTGACCGTCTGGCGAAGCCACCCACTTAGGTACATATGTACAACCGTCTTCAAGTAGGGCTAAGGAGGCACATTTCCGTTTCGAAGTGTGGAGTTGGCGAAAAGCGATAGGGTCCAGCCGCACTGTGGAATCAGCCGCCATCTATGGTGCGACTTGTTAGCGCGAGGGAAGTGCCCTCATCGGAATACCGTGGGAACATGAAATAATGGATATCAATAAGGTTGATTTTGGTGCGAGGGAAAGAAAGTCAAGTGGTGGCTGCCCTTTGCCCGAGCTCGACAAGGTGCGGATTCAAGTCCACTTCGCGTGATAGGGAAGGACTCGGAGAAAAAGAAAAAGAAAAAGAAGAAAAAAGAGAAGAAGGAGCGCCACCCCAAAGACTGCACAGGGCCTGTGAGAATCCTTGCTCGGTTCGTTGTTTCGACCATAAGCGGGCGGACTCTGGATAACCGTCTGAAGAAACATGGTGCTTCCAACGGAGACTGGTTTGGGTGTGTCAGTTTCGCTCGCGTCACATTCCGCTGGGGGCACGGTCGCCTTGTTAGTGTTGAGAATTTGTGCTGGTGTATTAGCTCAAGCTTCTTATCACCTTCGTCATCGACGGTTCTCAAAGAAAGAACGGACATGTCTGGGGCATCGCCTTTGATCTAGATCGCGAGCTAGGACATCGCGCTCCCCACTTGGCTCAGGAACAGGCTGGCAAGATCGGCAGTCTAGAGGGCTTGAAAGTGTCAAGCCCATAGGCCCCACTCAAGAACGCGGTCTGTAAATTAGGGGCCACTGTTGGCTGATGCGTATTACTGTACAAAGACGCGGTGGGAGCGGCGGGGGCGCTACCAGTCCGCCAGGATCGAATTGACCACTTTCCCAACTCTAGCACAATTTCTTCGAGATGAACAGAAGGAGAGGAACCTTGTCTTTGGAGGGTGGAGTAGTGTGCACTGTCACAAAAGGAAGCAACCTCTACCTCAGTACTGCTGCGCTTGAAGATGTGGTAGCGGACCGTGCGATAACCGATCTCACTGTGCACGCGCAAGGGGGAAGGATGGATAAGTAAAGTAGGGAAGTAGGGTAGTAGGGTCGTAGGGTACTTGTGCTGGAAAGTCGGAAGACGACAGCGTCAGCCGTGATTTGAGAAAAGGGAACGGAAAGTCCTTGGGCCAAGTACTATTTTCATGTACAACTAGAATGAGCGAGGGATGTGGCTCCAGAAGGATACTTTCGCGCTCTTCCTTTCCCTCCTGCAGGCTTCATCCACTCCTCGTACACTCAGGGACTCGGACATTGACTGCCACCCATCCATATGCCCCCCTGCACCTTCTTCCGTTCATTGAAGCACACCCAATCCCCACGTCCACACGTCCAGCCTTCGGAAGTCACTCTCCACTTCATCTATCCTTCCGTTTCCGTCCTTCAATTGATTATTGCACTCGCCCAAGGTGGGAGGGCCAGAGGCGCAGTTCAGAAGGGCGCCGTCACTTCCAATCAATCTCCTCACCTCTCATCTCCTCCAACTCCACGTCGCCACTTTCTTCTCCCTTGGACCTTTCCCTCGATCTAGCCTCGAGATATTCTAAACTTCTTCATTCTCAATTTTCCCCTCTTTCTCCTTCCCCTTCCCCTTCCCCATCCCTCGCTTTCGCCCTTTTCCTTCTTTGAGCCTTGCGAGATCGTGCACACCTCGCCGATCCCGAAATAGCTTGTTGGGTTCATACGCGGACAGAGACCCTACAAAGGTTGTGCAGTGCTGCTGGCCAAGCCGCTGTTCTGTGACTGCCGAAACGCCCCCTCGAAACAATCAAAAACCACAAAACCACCTGTCTCGCTCACCCTCCACCCTCCACATCCACCACTCCCTTCAACTTACCTTGTTTTACCTTCAATTTTGCCAGTCCGTACCCAACCACCGAGCATTCTCATCCGGTTGCCAACTGCAGTCACTCCTTTTTCCATCATTTGGCTCTCGCTTCCTTTCTTATCCATCTTGGTTCTTTTCCTTTCTTTTTAACCCTTTTGTTCAATTCATCGTGTCGCGCCCCCTTGCAGAAATCGAAAGGAACCTCCAGCCCCGAGCAAGTCAATTTGAAAGCGGTTGGATTGGGACTTCGACTTACTCCCGTCCCCTCCCTGTGAACCTCCTCCCCCTTTGGACAATTTCAATTTCTTCTTCTCTTTTCCATTGCCAACGAGAACGAGAAAGACAAAAGAGACAAACGACCAACGAGAACGAAGGAAAGCAAGGGAAAAACGCGACCGACGAAAGGAAATTACTATTCGACCGGCTCCGAGACTTATTTTCTAAAGCATATCCACCATCCCGCTACTATCGAACGACGCCGATGTTTTAGAAGCGCGACGGCCGCCTGAAACTGAGTGTCAATCACTGCTATAACCAAACTGTGCTGGACTAGGCCAGAACCACCATCAATCAATCCCCCTTTTATTTCTCCCTCGTCGCCCCTTTTCTTTCCGACGACGAGGCTCATCTGAAGAGAGTTGGAACCGGCCTCTATGCCCTCATACGGCTCTTTGCATTCCCCATCGCTCAAGAAAATGGAAACTTCACGGGTCCAGTATGGGCGTAAGGGGATGAACATGGCCAACATTGTTGGCGACCCCTTTGCACTTGCGACCATCTCTATCTCGGTGGTAAGTTACACGATTACCAGTCGCAATCCAATGCAACGGGAATTATACTAATCCTCATGCGTTAGTTGGCATGGTTGGTGTCCTTCATCGGCGGCGTTATCGCCCAAATCCAAGTCGGCGGCACGAGAAGCTTCCCACCTTTTGCTTGGTGGTCTACCGTCTACATCTTCTTCCTTATAATAGGAATTTTCGTCACCGTTGCGTCTGATACCATTCAAACCTACCACGTCGCCGTTGTCGGTTATCTCGCTGCCGGCCTCATTCTTTCGTCCTCTTCTGTCAATTTCCTCATTTTCGTCAACCTCGGCTCGTTCCAGGCTACCGCTGCCGGCTTTATCCTTCTCTCGATGGTTCAGGTAAGGATACTCTAGTCAGCCGTGGAAATGCGTCAAGAAGAAACTGGGAATGGGCTGTAGCTAACAACTTGAAATTTAGATTGTCTGGATCTTTTACTTCGGATCGGCGCCCTCTGCCGTCCCTCGCGCGTACCTTGATTCCTTCGCCTTGACGAAGGAGTCCACCATGAACCGACAGCCCATGAACGGCTACGGCGGCATGGCGAGGCCCGAGACGTCGACATCCGTCCAGCCCCCAGATGTACACCTCGGCCCAGCTCAATGGTTTCGAGAACCCGTCTCCCGTCGCCGGCATGACATCCGTCACGCGAAACTCTGCCATTCCTGCGCCTTATGGCAATGGCAGCGCCACGAAACCCACCGTTGGCGCTAACGATACGGAGGTGGTACCACCTACGGAATACCCCTACCGCGCCAAGGCGATCTATAGCTACGAAGCTAACCCCGACGATGCCAACGAAATCTCCTTCTCAAAGCATGAGATTCTGGAGGTGAGCGATGTCAGCGGCCGGTGGTGGCAAGCGCGGAAGGAGAATGGCGAGACGGGCATCGCGCCAAGCAACTACCTCATCCTGTTATGAGTAACGACGGCTGATACTGTAATGACTTGATCTGGTTTCCTTTCCTTTGTGACAACATCATTTTCTTTCTCGTCGGGGCCGTGCTTCTCCCGCCTGGGACTGTTCTTTTCTTCTTCGACCATATTCTCCCCGTGTTTAACATCCGATCATCTGTCCCTGGTTTCACCTCCTTTTTTTTCCTTTCTTTTTTTTTTTTCTCTTGCTCCTCTTAGCTTCTTTACTTCATTTCTTGTCCTTTACTGTTTGGCGGGCGGGGGCGCTGGAAAAGGGAAATACTTGTTGCGGCCGCTCTCCAACGATTAATGAGCGCTCATTCCTCGCTTGTCCGTTTCTGCTAGGGAACAATAGTTCTCGGACGTCTTTAGAAGATGTGATATCAATAACCTGGGGAGAAAGGGCCGAGGTGTGGATGAAGTTGATTTGTGAGGGGTATCATTCTAGTATTATCATCGGAGTACATCTGGGTAACATGCAAAGAACAAAATAACGATGACTTTTCGAACCAATTCGTGTTAGTTCCCCATGGCATGCTTCAGGTGCTTGACCTCTTCCTCGTACTTGTAAGCGCCGTCTCCCTCGATAGTTGTCAGTTGCAGGATGGTCCGAAAGTCTAGATGGAGGTCGTAATTCAATTTCATCTCTTCAGGGTCATATTCGTATCTGTGACAGACGACAAGCCGGCGGCGGGAGAAGAAGAGTGCCTCTGGGGAATCCTTGCAGAATGACGACTTGGAGGAAGTGCAGCTTCAAGCCCTGTTCCGACCAGACGAATAGGTTGGAGAATTTTGTGGTTTCCGGCCCATACACCAGTCAAATGTATGCGTCAAACAGCTAGCCACAGCATCTCAAGGCAGCTAGTTGCGCAGGCACCGGAACGGGGATGCGGTACCTGTGTATCGAGACGGAAGACGGGCGCGGAAAGGCAAGATGATACCCGCCTCACAAGGACGAAGCCGCTCCACGCCCCAACCTGCAGACGCGGTAGTAGTCTCTGTCCCTCGGGGCACCAGATAATAGAGAATACTCCTCGGTCCGCTAGCAAGATAGTCCCACGCAAGGGGGCGGCGAGATGGCCCTCTATGATGCTCTTTTCGGGGAAAAAACACTCAGCTATCCAGCCTCTTCCTCAGCTCCCTCTCCTTTTGCAGAACCTCGAGCTCCAGTCTCTCGACGCTATACTTGAGGGCCTCCTTCTTCTGCCTGACGACGCGGGCGCGTAGCTTCTCTTCGCCGGCGAGCTTCCTCCCGGCGCTGCGGGCAGAGGCGGCGGAAGATGCGGTGGCGGAGGCGGGGGTGGAGCGACTCTCGGCGAGACGGCCGTGCTGGAGCTCGGCGCGGGCTTTGAGGGTTTCGACGCGGCGCTCGCGGCGCTGGAGCTGGCGGTCGGCGCGGTCGAGGAGGAGGGCGATGTAGGGGCCGATTTCGTCGCGGAGGGAGGCTTCGGCTGCGGCGAGGGTTGGTTGGGGGATGAGTTCGTAGTGCTTTGTGAGGATTGTGCGTTAGTAATGGTTTTGCTTTGTGCTCTCTCTCTCTCTCTCTCTCTCTTTCTGCAGATCTGCGTGCTCCTAGGTTGTGTAGGTGGCCAAGCTAGGGCCGGGGAAATGGGAAAGCTCGTTCCAGCACATGTACCAATGAATGTTTGGGGAGCTATCCCTAGACATGGGGGAAGAAGAGAATAGGCATGAGGACGTACGCGGACTGTCTTGAGAATGGTGCCCAGGCGGGGAAGTCGGCGACGCCGTTGCCCAGGGTCTCGACGGAGGACTCGAGAAAGTTGAGCGACGCGCGAAGAGACGCGACGCAGTCGTTGTAGGTGGCGATATTCTGGCTCGACATCTTTCTTGCTCTTCCGTATATTCGCTCTGTTGCCTTTTTCTTGCTATTCGCGTTTCTGATTGGGGGTTTGGGGGCTCTGTTTTACGAGAACACGCGTGAGGGGTGAGGTGGCCGTTGCAGTGTTTTTGGAGGGGCAGTCGCGAGACAGAGCCCTATTGAGGGGTTGCCGGGTACTTGGGGAATTAGCTAGGGCCGAGGCCCAAAACAAGCGTGGCAGTCTACGGTCGCTCCCGGAGATCCTTCGAAATCGTGGCGTTCGTTAATTCAAGCGATTGACTCTCTCTCTCTCTCTCTCTCTGAGGCGCCGCTTGTAGTCGTCCCTTTGTTCGTCTAGGGTGTCGTGGTTGTGGTGTCTGTGTTTTGTGTGCAAAGAAGCACGTAGGCTCGAATTGATTATCCCCACGACCAAGTTGACAAGTTGAAGTCAACAAGACAGTGGGTTGCCACCCCTAAACAAACAACAATTGGTCCGTGCACCCGCCATTGTCAACTGTGCAAGAGTGCACACAACTCGGACAAGTCTAGAGGCAAACGGACAAGGGTGGGAACATGAAGGAAAGAAAAATTGTTTAAATCTAGGACGATGTAAGAACCATCGTAAGGAGTGGGGAAGCCATTCATCTATACAAGTAACGATTTTAACTTTGTGAGACCCAGCGCTGACGCTGCCATCGCCATCGCCGTCAAAGGCTACCCGATCAAGGAGCCCGGCTCCGGACGGCCCCGCCTCCGTCCGGGAACGACAAACAAGGGCCGAGTTGTGGATATCAGCAGTCATTGTGACGGCGTGACACAGAAGGCGGGCCCAGACAGCAAACACTCCTCCTAATTCTGTCGCGTGCGGATCATATCCGGGAGAGGAGAGGAGCCAATGGAGGATTCTCAACCCGAGGTAGAGTTTACGAAGGGAGGCTCTCTTCTTACAAACGACGGCATGCTGAATTCGATGATACCACTTGGGACGACTCCTTTGCACTTCACCTCAAGAGCCTTGTAGGATAAAATAGCACCTAAACGTGGACCCCCTTTTAAACTCTTATGGGGAAGAGTTATCAGTGCTCTCTTCTCTATCTTTTTCCCATCCAACTCGTACTTTTTTCTCAAGCAACCTCGCCGCCCACTGATAGGTAACTAGAAATGTTCGCCCCTAGGGCATACGGAAGCGCGTGCGACGTGTAAGTAGCATGCGTCTTGTGTCGCCTCGGGCAAGAAAGAAAGCGCGCCTAGCATCCAAACAACGCGCGCAGCCTTCAACCAGATAATCCCGCACGACGGCGGGCTGCCGACTCGTTCCACCAACGCGGGTGCTTGCAACCCCCTGACCTCGCGCGACGTTTCTCCCGACTGTGGGGCCCGATGGGGTCCGGTGTACTCCCGGGTGCCATGTTACGTGGTTACTACCTCTAGGCTTCCTCGCGATGTCTGGCGCAAACCTCTTCTGCGAACCCGTTCGCATGTCGTACGATGGTTGTATCGGTGGCGGCCGAAATATGCAGATTATGGGGGCGTCCGTGACTGAGTCATGTACGTCACCGCCGACTCGTTTTCATAAAAAACCCCCAACCCCCTGCAGGCCCTGTGGGAATCCATGTTGTTATCGTTGACTGCGCTGCTCTTCACAAGGCGCGGTAGAAGCGCGACTGCATCCGCTATCTCGCATCATCTCGCTGTGTCAAGTGTTCCCGCGCGTTGGCGCACTGGATATGCTCTCACGGCCACGGTATAGGAGGCAGAGAGCAACGAAAGACATCCTCCTCCGTAGACAAGACTAGGGGTACCCAAGCCTCTTTCCTTTCTTTTTCCATCTACTTTTGCTAGCCTTATCACTAAGCTCAGTTTTCTGTTACGTTGTACTTTGCCGCCAACTACAGAACTTAGATATGGAGATGATGTGAGAGATATTAATTAGCTTGTTCCGAAGGAAACAGGAGGGGTTTCGTACTTTTTGGAATGCGTGGTAGTCGAGTTGGACCCTTTGCATACTCGATTAAATGGCGTACAAGAAAGCGTACACACTTACGATAGCCTCGAGCTGCCAAGCTGGCAAAGAGAAAAGAGGCCTTGATAGATACCCATTTGCCTGCCTCCACGGCGGGAGGCCGTAGATGGTCCAAGGAGCCCACGGCGCAGTTCGGCAGCAGTTCGCACCCCTAGGTTCACTCTTGCGTTCACAAGGTAGCGGCACACACGACGGCAACTTTGGCGGTGAAAAGCCCTTGCGTGGCCCCGACGGGACGATGCTTATATGCAACAAGGGACGCGGCGCAGATATCCCCGAGCTGTCGGCTACCCGCGTCGGGATCGCCTTTATACAGAGCACGTCGCTTGTGCATCTGCGGGAGGGCTCGCGAAAGCTTGCGCGGAGGTAGATATCACTTGTGTAGGGCGCAAAGGCGGGAAGATATAGTAGCAAGGAGACGCACGAACGTACAGGCACAAAGACACCAGAACGGACTCTTTCATGGCAAGAATTGATGTCAATGTTGCTGGCTGAAATCTCCGAGGAATAGAAAAGAAAACACGAGTGCAGCACAACAGTAACCCCCGACCAATGTCATCCACAAAGGCCTAACTAAGCGGTGCCTCAAGACACCTCATCTTTGACATTGTGCCCCTTTATTCTCCTCATTCTCCCCGCACTTGTCTGTTACGATTCTTCCGACCGCTAGCTGCACGATGCAAAGCGAAGGCGGCACCATGCCGGCCTGATTCCTCTCCTGCGTGGACAGCACCCTTGGAGTTTCGCTAACCCGTTCCCCATCTCACGGAGAGACGTGGTCTATTCGGCTAGCATGATGTCAAGGAAGAGATAACAGGGGGCATAGAGGAATACACCATCTAGGTACGTCCTGGCGCAGTAGGCTCCGGCTTACGAATATGTGCGTCGAGAGAAGAGTGGACGAGACTTGGGCATGGCGCTGTCTATTCTTAGCATGCAGACCCAAGAAAACCTCCGAGGCCGAAATCCCAGCGGAACCAAGACCAAAGGGTATACAGATAGTTAGGGAGGGCATGCGCCCACCTGGCGCAAAAGATTGCTGTCAAAATAAGCCCTGCCATGTAAGGGGCGCAGTGAAAACACAGTGAAGAGGCAGCAAAAAGACGGCGGACCAAGCCTAGATTAGTGACACATGGTGCCTTGCCTGTACCTGATCTTTGAATAGACTGAACATTTACACCCTCTGGCTTCCCGGGCATTGCCTTCTGCATCTTAAGGTGAGCGGCCGCCTCCCTCCCAAAATTTGTACGTTGACCTTTACGGGATGCCAAGGAACGACCGGCACCGAGGCGGGCCCCCGTGCTCCTTTCCTTTGCTTTACCCCTTCGATGAAGCAAGAACGTAAGAGCTTCTATATACATCGAACCTCGCGTGCTCTTGCCGAAGGCGAGGGGCCGAATGCGGGCTGACATCTTTGCTGCAAATTCTCGCCCACTCGGAAAATGCGGGCTGACATCTTTGCTGCAAATTCTCGCCCACTCGGAAAATGCGGACGCGAGGGAGGCAGCGAGAGGAGGAAGAAGGGGACAAAAAAATTGCCGAACAAGTATAAACGGCTCACCTCGCTCGGCGCAGGCTATATTTGTCCAAGTAATATTACTATATATTGTGAATCCAACAAGTCGGCAAAGCGAGGCTCAGGCCGTGTTTCTGTTTGTAGGGGGCTGAAACAATTTGGATAAAAGAGCAACCAAGGCACGCGAGTTCGGCCAAAGAAGCAGGAAGGGGTGGGAGTAAGAGAGACGGATAATTAAGAGAATGGAGAAGAAGAGAAAGGAAAGGGAAAAAAAAACCTGTTCGACTAACAAGTGAGGAAACGAGGCCATCGAGAAGAGTTTGGTTTCACGGGCGCGATGTAAATCATATCGAAGCTGATCACAAGATTCGCTCGCATCTGCAAATCCTTTTGACGGAGGACCAAGGCGTCGACGATGCGCACCAAGAGAAAAGAATATTAAATAAATCAACCCTTTTAGAGATTCTATTCTTGACGTGGTCAAACCTTTGACGTGGCCAGCATGTCATGGTTGACGTGGATGGCGGTGTGGCGGGAAGACAGTGGCTTTCACAGATCCTTTGGCCTCATGGCTCTGCAAGAACTTTGGGTTCATGACCCGCATACCCCATTTCCATGTCAGCGCCCGAGAGGAAGAGCACTGACCTCATGAGGGAGGTCTTTGCGACGACAAGTATTATTCTCCATCCGTCGAGCCAACCATCTTTGGGAACGTCTGGCCATATCATGACCCTCGTCTAGCCCGTGTATAGGCCCTGTTGCCCGACGAGAGAGCACATTGAATCAAGTCAGCATTCGTCAAGCAGCTCATCCACCAGTTCCTTGGCTAAGGAGGCGGAGAGGGGGACCGCGGCTGTTGTTGGCTGATGTCGCTGTTGTCGCGAAATGGACGGGTCAAAGACGACAGGATGCTGACACCGACGATGGTGGGGGCAAGGACGCATGCAAAAGGAAGAAGAGGAAAAAAAAAGAAAGCAGCGCTGGGCCGTCATGGTGTCAATGTTGAATGGAGCCCGGTGCCAGGACTAAATGCGACAATTTGGCCCTATCCGGATTGGCGCCAGGCACGGAGATGCAGGAACAGGAAAGTGCAATTCGACAGCGCACTGGCTCTTTCCCAAACACCTCCCACGCGACGCCCGGTACCAAAAGGCTACCTTTCCCGGCTTGGGCTTTGCCTATTGTTCCTGGCACGTTTGAGCCCCAAAACAAGGTATTCGGCTGGTATCTGCCAGCAAGGAACCGCTCCCCAGACATTCGACAGCCAATTGAGCCAAGTGGGCCTGGAAATTGCGCGCCGCTTGTGGCCAGTGCCCATCATCTTGGAGCAGGGATCAGAATGAGACGAGGGCAAAGAGAGCAAAGAGAGCAAAGAGAGGAGGGCGGACCCTTTTCTTCTTGCCAGAGATTTGATGCGACTCTCGACTCGAGCGGCCGAATGGAGAACCACCCCAGATTTGAACCCCCTGCTAGCACCTCTGGTCCACAAGGGGGCATGCACTCTCTTCCCCTTGGCTGGCCTCTTTGTCAGAAGCAGGTGGACCTGCCCATCCATCTCGGTGCTTGAATTGGAAGAGAGAAGAAAAAAGACAAGAGAATTACGATTCGCTCTTCAACTCCAGGGAGGCTTCTTTCTTCTCAACTCTGGGGAGCCATTCAGCGGAAAGAAATGCTCTTGAGATGACTCGAGTCTAATCTCGTTTGGCCTGGAAGAGAAATGCACGGCATTTGTTTACGGAGAACACTGAACCTTGCCCTTCCTCCTTGGCCCTCTCCATATTATAAGGTGTAAGACGTGCACCAGGAGCCTGTTGACCTGACCTGACCCTGCCTGCCTGGCCCCTGCTCAGCACGCAAAAAAATGACTCGTTTTCTTGGCTTCTCCATATCATTCAATGTTGCAAACATGGCCCTAGTAAATGGAGGGGGAACAGGTAATAAAAAGGAAGGAGAAAGGGGAGCACGCATTCGCTGATATCAATTGTGAATGGCGGTCAGTGAGTGCCCGTAGTGATTGCCGATACACGCTGGATAGATGTTCGATAATACAGCAGCGACCATGGCGACGATATGGAACCGGATAGGACTCGACAGGACGGGCCATTCAGTCAAACTTTGGTTTCAATATTCTCAAAATATCTTGCGAAATTGGACGTGGGTTTGGTGAACCGGAGCTGACACCGGCGACCCTCCGGATTTCGAGAACACTTTTGAATTTTCTCCCGAGCAACTGCTAGGATTCATTAGGCCAAGATCGGATCGCTATATTGATTGCAGCGTCCAAACCAGCCGTGGCGTACATCAGCGTCCGCTACCCTGCTTGGCGAATCGATTCTTCCCTTTCCGCTCTCTTCGAGAAGTAATACCGGCCGAAGCCCCTTTACAAAATGGGCAGTGCGGTTGGCTTCTTATTTTTCTTAGCCTTATAGAGTCCGCCACGAAATCTATCGAGTGGCTAGTTCGAACTCGTGCTAATTTGAGGGTTCAATTACGATGGGCTTGATTAATACCACTCTGAGCCCTTTGGTCAATTTTAGTTCGTTGGTGTAAGTGGCGGCTCTAATTAGCCCATTCACCCGCTAGGAGTAAAAGGCTCAAGTGCACTCTCTCATCTACTTGTATTATCAATAGGATGGGTCCATCTCGATCTCCCCATTGACGGATCGTGGAACGTGATCATCTGGGGTGCTCACGCACGAGGTTCCCCATAATACCTCGGCAGTCCATGTCGCATTCGAGCACCCTCCGAAACAAAGACTGGAAAGCAAAAGAAAAATTTCGGTTCCTCTTCTCAGCGGTTGTTGCCCAGCCATTGGTCGCAAGGAACTAGACCCCTTTCTTTTTCTGCGTAGATCTATCGTGTGGAAATAGATCTTTTGATAGGAAATCGAGACAGTACTCTCCAGCACGCATGCTTCCCCGTCTCTGATCGTGTTGAATGAAACATGCAAGACACGGCTAATAATGTCGGGGTCTTTTTTGACGTTGACATTGAAACTCCCGCTCACTGTTGACTTGACAGCCGTCATTGCTACGGTTATGGCTGGGTGAAAGAAAAAGAAAAAGCACAATGCCTACAAGTAAAGGTGGAGAGAGCACGGGAGATTTAGAAGGTTCTGTCTCAGGACCTCGATGGTTCTTTTGACCTTCGTCGGACTGACTTCAGATATCAATCAATCTCTCAGGCCTTGCGGGCAATGAGAATTTAGAGTGAGAGTGAGAGCCAGAGAGCGTTGTGCAAGCAGATAGACCTACCGAGGACAGGGACCGCGCTCCTTCAAAACGAGAATTTGAGCGTTCAGATCTACGATGCCACCATCTTCCAGAGTTGATTGGCGGCCAGAAGCGGGATGATGGCTGCCATGGATACAGAGTCGAGATGGAAGGTCGAGCGTGAGCGGACCTTGGCGATGGGAAAAGGGTGCATTGGATGGAGGCGGACGGGCCACTTGAGGCTCACGCACTCCATGGACATATGGACATGGGGGCATCGTTGCTTTGCTTCAGGTTTAGCGTCGCGACCAAGGTTGGCACCCTCCCCTCCTCATCACACAAACTCATTTGCTATTTTGGCACAGGGTGGCACTGGGACAATCCAGGCGAGATTTGCTGCGAGTTTTTGCCATCCATTTGCCATTTTCCCCTTCTTTCCTCTCATTTCCCTCCCCTCCCCCTTCACCTGCGCCTTTGGTTGGACCACCCTAACGCTGCGACGCGATGGATTCACACTCCCCCAAGCGCACCCCCAGATTCCTTTGGCCATCGCATAGCCATTGAATGGTAATTATTACACCACCGCGCTACCACCATGCACACCGCACACACCCGCACATCCCACCCGCACACCCCTCCCTTCCAATCTCGGACGTTCTCTCATTTCCTCGAGGCCGTCCGGCCTCTGTTCTCATGCCTTCCGCGCTTGCTCTGCGGGCCTATTATCATGTCCTTGTCCGCCCTCGTCCTGCCGCACACACCTCTTCCTTCCTTCTCTTTTCTTTCTGTCCGTTATCACGATCCTCGTTTTCGCAAGCCCGTCCGTTCTTTTCACCACAAATCCATCTGTTTCTCAACAGCACACAGGGCTTCGTTGGCAAAGTCCGCAACATCGTACTTGCAAAACTCTCTTCCACCTTGCGCACCAGCTAGCCGCTTGCCCGCTCAAAACGCAAACACAAACCACCACTTCCACCATCACTTGCCTTGCTCCTCGCGCTGCGTTGCCCTCGCTCTTGAAGACCGATTAACTCGCTTCCTCGCCCTGAACAAAGCCTATCTTTCTCCACCAATCCATCAAGATGAAGCTCTTTACTTTTGTCTCCGCCGTCATCCTCCCCATGCTCGCCATGGCCCAGACCGACGACGCTGCCGAAGCCACCACCACCACCACTGCCACCTCTACCACCACTCTCACCAAGACCATCACCCTCAGCAGGTACACCGAGACCGTCTTCTCCAACGGCACCGCTAGCATCACTCCCACTGGAACTGGAACCAACGTTCGCCCTCCTGCCGTCACCTCCACCAGCCCTACCGACCCTTCCGCTGGCGGTGCCGGCGCCCTTGATGTCGCCAACATCGCCTTCGCCGGCGTTGCTGGTATGATTGTCGTTGCCCTCATGTAAATCTGCCCGTTACACGGCCTGCATGAAAGGATCCAAGGATCCAAAGGGCATCGGGCATGGGCGACGTTGTTGAATCCTGGAGGAACCCGCTTGCGAGGCATGCCTTTGACCGACTTTAATGATCGGGTACTGTCGAACGACGGCGTTCCATCCATCCACTCTTCCAGAACTCTTTCTTTTGTTACTTGCATGATGCTGAACGACTTTTGAGGGTGTACGTTGACGCATTGGGTGTCAGTGGGAACCTCGAGACAGACAGGAACCACTGTCTACCTACCCAACCAATTCTTCGCTTCTGATTCGTTTTGAATACCCGCCTTCAACTTTCAACTTCTTCTTTTTTTTTCATTGTTCGGTTCCTCGTAGAAGGACCACCACCACGCCTTGATGGTGCGAGACCGCTTCAATCCAGGCATCAAACTCGGCAGCCCAGGAGACGCAGGCTATAGCGTGCTCTCCTCGAATGCCGTTTTTGTCCTGGCTGGCCGAGCCAACCTACTTTACCTCTGATGGCGACTTGTCGCCACTTCCCAAACCGACTCGGTGCTGGCCAAACGATGCAATGGGCAATGCGAAACTCGTGTAGTCACTCGCTACTCGTCGTCTACCGGCCAATCTTGGTAGCGGTGCGCTACATGAACCGTACCGGACATCAACGAACCTATTCATCGTGTATGGGCCCGGGTCGGCAAGGGAAGACAACAGGGAACCCTTGATGGCGCTGTGTACTTCTTCATACCCCTTTTCACTACCTTCTGAACTCGTTATGTTCTTCTCCCATCTCCGGACCCTTTGCTTGCTTTTCTGGCCGGAGATGTTGAACTTGTTTTTTCTGCCTCATGTCATTGATTTTAGCCGGAGTGATACGAAGGATCGGTGCGATTGGAGGTTTATTTTTGAATTTTATTTGCGCCTTTTCGAAGGAGGCGACTAGGCGTCCTTGCTTCGAGAGGGAAGATAGTAGCTGGAGGTACCCAAATATATCACGGTCAAGATCCTTTCGAGGGTCTTGGCTGATCGTTTGGCGTTCACAAAATCAACGTATACATGCCTGTGCCTGTGTGATCTTCCCCTGACGTAGCTGCATGTGAGCCTGGTGAATGGAGGCTGTAAATGGACGAGACCTTCATCGCTTAGCCCGAATAATGAGAATTTTAGATATTCACGGCGTGAGAACGGCTCTGGGCACTCGTTGCGATATCGCATCGTCAATGAAGTTGAGAGGAGATGATGCTTGAAGACCGTGACAGCCAACCGAGCAGGCCAGCAACTGACTCTGACGGCATGTTAGTCATCAATTTGGAGGCAAAAGCTCACCCTCGTTGACTGGGGGTGACTTTCCTTAGGCCGGAAGTATCCGATTCAGTGGGTGGCATCGGAATTGGGGAGTCGAAAATTTGTCATGGCGAATCACATAAGCCCCAATTTTTTTACCTCAACTCATCAATTGCCCGCCCTTCCATCCCAACAACATCTAGCCTCATCCACGTCACCACTCTTCCACCAAAAGGAGACTAATCCGAACCGCACACCACTCGACATCATCGACGCGATCGGGGAAACCGTACTGCAGAAAACCGATCAGCCCCGAGTCTACGTTGTTGGGAGTTGATCTAAACCATGTCGTCGCCATCGCTCCATCGCTTACAGCCGCAGCTCCGGCGAGCTCTGGCAGCTAGGTTGCCCTGCGCGTCCGCCAGGACGTTCGCCACCATCCCCGGCGAGGCTTCCGAAGCCACCCCACCATCCGGACAGACCAAGGCGCGTCGTCCGACATATTTCAAGGACACCACTGTCGGCTCCTTTTCCGACTTTGTTGGCGACTCAGCCCCCCACGCCGCTTTCCCCGACCGATGCCTACACGTTGCGCACCGCCGAGGTCGGCCCCGCCGGTCGCAAAAAGACCATCACCCGCCTACCCGAATGGCTCAAGACACCGATTCCTTCAGGCAACAACAACTTTAAGAAAATCAAATCTGATCTTCGTGGCCTCGGCCTTCACACAGTGTGCGAGGAGGCGCGGTGCCCTAATATCTCGGAGTGCTGGGGCGGCTCGAACAAGGCGTCCGCGACCGCCACCATCATGCTGATGGGCGATACGTGTACTCGTGGTTGCCGCTTCTGCAGCGTCAAGACGAACCGGAAACCGCCGCCTCTCGACCCGCATGAGCCGGAGCACACGGCCGAGGCGCTGAGTCGGTGGGGGCTGGGCTACGTGGTTTTGACGAGTGTGGACCGCGATGACCTGGCAGATGGAGGTGCTAGGCACTTTGCTGAGACGATACGGAGGATCAAGGCGAAGCGGGCGGAGCTTTTGGTCGAAGCTCTCACGGGTGATTTCGCCGGCGACTTGGAGATGGTCAAGATTGTGGCGGAGAGCGGTCTCGACGTATATGCCCACAACGTCGAGACAGTCGAGGCCCTAACGCCCTATGTAAGAGATCGCAGGGCGACGTTTAGGCAGAGTCTCAAAGTGCTCGAGGAGGTGAAGAGGGTGCGTGGCAAAGAGGGCATCATCACCAAAACCAGCATCATGCTTGGCCTTGGCGAGCAGGAACACGAAGTCATGGACGCTCTACGAGGTATGTTTTTAGCGCGCCTTTCCCACAACATCCACTCAAGGATAAGGGACTAACGAGCATCGAATTCGCAGAACTTCGCAAGGTTGACGTCGACGTTGTCACATTTGGCCAGTACATGCGCCCCACCAAGCGCCATCTCAAGGTGGAAAAATACGTTACTCCTGATGAGTTTGACATGTGGAGGGAGCGCGCCATGGACATGGGCTTCCTGTACTGCGCAAGCGGGCCGCTCGTTCGCTCTTCGTACAAGGCTGGCGAGGCCTTTATCGAAAACGTGCTCAAGAAGCGCGCGGGGCAAAAGGCGGTTGATCCGCAGAAGCTGAGCGATGCCATGGCTTTGGGTGGCCAGGGCATCGAGTCAGTCAAGGAGAACTAACTAATTTGGTACGACGGCTCGCAGATCCGGCGGCAACAAAGGGGAAGGAAGAGAAAGGCCGAAGGGGCAATGGTATCGGGGTGACCGAGTGGCTTAGGGCGACGTCTTTCCGTCGCCACCTATGTGTACACAAGTTTGCTGTTTGGACTGCCCTCTTTTGATGTGGTCGCAGCCTTGGTTATTTTTATTCTCTGTTCTTTGCTTGGGGCTGGCGTTTTTGGGATCAAACATTTAGAGATGGGGGATCAACTACTACATCATACAACAATTATCAAATGGCATCTGACTGAATTCGGGCATGATAGCGGGGGGACAGCACGAGGCAGGCAGAAAAGTCCATCTGCTCCCAACGATCAGGATCTATCATATTGCTAATAACATAGAAAACCAAAGGTGACGGGACAAGATGGAATAGAAGAGAACCGCCCTTCAACTGGCGGCAACATTATACCTATAACCTCTCCATACCCTTTTGTGTTACCTCTGATTTCTGCATGTGCGGTCCTCGGGTCTGGGGCTAGGGCCGCCACGCAGCATGTCGTCTCACGATCTTTCCTGTATGCTGCACACAGGATATCGACCCTGGTCCGTCGTACAAGATCCGGGACTTACATGGGCCTGGCTGGCGGCCGTTATCTGTCGCTTCAGGGGAGAGGGTTTCACTTGACCGCGCCAGATCCGCACCGTCGACCGAATCGACCGAATCGACCGAGAAGCCAAGAGCAAAAAGTGCGGGGAAAAAAGGAGCCTCTAGCTGCCAAGGACCCGACAAAGGGGAGAGAGAGGTTTATGTGAGGGTAGCGTCAACATGAGTCGAGGCCAACTATCACGAGCACATCCCGACCAACCCTAGTGCATCCCATTTTCCTTTGGCACGTTTCCACCTCACGAAGGCGTCTCCGCTCCTACACTTCCAGGGCCTATTTCTCATACGTTGCATCTCGGCTCGTAAAACCTCGCGCCTAGCTCGAGAAGAGGCGTTGAAGCCCTTGCCTTCTTTTGGCTGCTTCCAACGCATCAGATGTTCGAAAGATGTACGTCACGAGGCGGAACTCTCCCTCCTTTCTTCCTCCTTCCTCCCCCTTTTCCCTAGTCTTGGAAAGAAATGTCATCCCGTGGGGTAGTGGGCGTTCCAAGGTTGATTTCTTTCTTTTTCTGTTCCTACATCTCTCTTTCCGCCTCACCTACCCTCCCCTTTCCAAAGGCTTGGCCTTGTCCGAGTCAGAGGGCCAGCCTGGGCGCCACGCATGGCGAGCTAGTCTACCTATTTCTTGCCTCTCGTCTCCTTGAACCCCCTGACCCCCCTTGGGCGCCGGAAAGAAGACGAGAGGAAGACCCGGGCGTGCGGTAAGAATCGAGATCGCGGGAGACAAGGGAGGGGGCAAACGGCCCTTTGGCGAAGCCCGGCAGCCGAGGCATGCACGCTGGAGTACATGGCGATGGGTGAAGGGGAGGGGTGGGGGGGTCCAATTACACAATTTCCTTTCTCTTCTTTTTTGTTTTATCATGGTTTTTCTTACTTTCGGGGACGCCATTCTCGGCGACCACCCCTTTGTGCAAAAGTAAACGTGGGCAGGAGAAAAGAACTTGGGGGATGGATGCAAACAGAGAGACCAGTGCGACATCACGATGGGGCCGCCGTCTCGAGCCACGCCTGAGAGCCGATGATTGCTTCTTCCGCTCAGCATCTCGGCCAGTAGGAAGGCCCGATCTGGTGGATGATTGGGGGCCTGTCCCTTTCCTGAGGTGTCACAGGTGTGAGAGATGAGAAAAAAGTGGGAAAGGAAAACCGGAGCAGAGGAGCCAGGTGGGGAGGGGGAAAAAGGAAGGAGGAGGAAAAAGAAAGCAAGCCAAGTCGTGACTGAGATACGGGTTCAGTTGGGACGAACTACTGAGGGACTGAGGTCTTGGATGCATTTCAGCACAGGGCCACCTCTTGGAGCTAAAACCCAGCACTGGCTATCGCTTGACGTAGACTCGTAATGGCAAGAGCAAGGAAACGAGAAAGAAGAAGGGGAATAAACTAAGATCAAACAAAAACAAAACAAAAAGACCTTTGTCCGTGGGGAGCTGGCAGCTACGAGGGGTTTATCTTTTTTCTTTCTTGTTGTTGGAGAGACGATGTTTTGAACGAGCCTTGCCTTTGATGTTATGTCTGTCCCCTTTGGTTGGAAATTAACGGGGCACATTTCATCGTGTCACTGATACTGGAATGGCTAACGAGAACGAAGAAAACCTTGGTCGTGAATTCATCCAAGTGACGAGTTGTTTCTCTCATGTGTTCGGTGCAATCACCGAAGAGATGGGCCATCGACGATAGCCGGACCCGTGCGAGCTCTTTTGGCTACCTCTCATTGTTGAGCGATCTTGGGGGACCCTCAACCTCGATGACGCTCGGGAGCCAATATCGAATAATACCTCCCGAACTCATCAAATTAATTGGGTTCAATCGAACGATCCGTTCCGCTCCTACTCCTCGTGCCCTTAACCATTGATCAATGGGATCAACTAGGCGCTGGAGGACCCAACCCAAGGTAGAGGTGAGCTAATAATAGTTGGTGTACCTCGGTGTGTTGAGTTAGATGTATAATATACTGCACTCCTGAAGAGGTTTGCCAACTCTGTGGCTGGCCAAGCGGCATGGCGTTTGCCACGCAGCTTGATCAAGTTCTTGGCCCTTCGCCCCCAAACGGCGTGAGTATATGTAGTAATTGATGGCTCACAGAGGATGCGTCGTTTGGGATTTACTGATATTTGTGGATCCATGATCAACTTCCCTTGATGATTGATATTGAGGGATCTATAGTGCGCCGCGAGGTACGGGCAGACGGGTAAGAGATCGAGTGGAACCCTCAGGTACATGGAAATATTGGAGGAGTGTCTCGAGAAGCTCGTACAAGTAATAGGACCAAGGTACCAACAAATGACTTGGTGGATCAGTCAACCACTGACAAAAAGATCTGGCGGTGCCTCAGCCCTGAACCAACCTTTCAAACTGAAGCTTAATTTAGCGAGCATCCACCATGATGTTGAAGAGTCTATTTGACGGGACACGGAGAACGTGGACTCTCAGGTACCTACCTCGGGACACAAAGCATCAAACGACTATTCTGAACCCTGACGTGCCAACGGGCTCGACTTTCGCGAGGAACCGTTGGGACCAGAGAGCAAGAGCTTTGAAGGAACTAGATCCATTCAATTGACTTGACCATTGAAGTGGAGTGTGACGGAGCGCGGGCTCCGCTTGCACTGGCTCGAAAGGGCAGATGCCATGCAGCTCCCACTCAAAAGACATCTGGGGTTGCGACACCAAGTTCGCTGGCCCACTTGACGACTTCCAAGACCACGACTGATCTATCATCGAGACATATCAAGGGTCCCCTATATTAGTTGACGGGTGTTCCACCCTTCTCACCTGGTAATTGGTAATAGGTACAATTGAAGTATTCATGTGCCACTTTGTTACCATCCTCACCGGCGGCACTGCTGGCGACTTCAAGTTGCCCGCCCGTTCTAGGCCAATCTCTCTCTGTAAGCCGGACGAAGAGAGCTCCCGTGCCTGACATCCTGTAAATTGATTGAAGACCCCTTTTTGGAGGTTGAGAGAATTCCAAAGGTGCTCAGCCTGCCGGCTTTCTCGCGCAAAGTCATTCCGTGGTTCCGTCATCAGAGTCTCCTCATGTTATCAATGCATCGCGCGTTGTCTGTGCATACACGACCGCGGACCCTAGTCTCTCCTTGTAGGCGTCTAGTGGATGAAATCCTGTCTGGTTGATGCCGCGGGCCCCGCCGCTAAGCCTGCAAGGTACCAATCTCGAATCAACTACCGTCTCCTGTCCTCCTTTCACCTCAATGCTTGGCCTGCTTCGCTTCACCTGCCTCACTCAACGGGTGAGAGGTGAGGAGTGCCACTCAAGAGAAGTTGCAGAAAAAGGAGGCAAATGGCAAACGAGAATAGTGGCCGAATACTATCCCGGAACTTCGAACAACAAGTACTAGTAATCTGGGTTGAGGAATATTGCATACATCCAGTAAAGTACAAAGAATAGAGTGAGTTGATGGCAAAGGTTTTTGTTCTTTTTTTTCTTCTTCTTTCTCCTTTAATATTTCGTCTCTTTTTCTTTCTCGGCAAAACTCCAAGCCCCTGAGGCTTCGAGGTGTCATCAACCTCCCCCAATGTCACCTTCCAAGCCGCCAGTGGCTCTGAAACCGAAGGGAGGAGGCCCAAGTGCCTATGACCTGCCCTTCCTCCTCAAGGAATCGGGGCGGGGAGTGGTCCGGGGATGGTCCGGGGAGTGGGAGAGGCTCGCTCGGGGCCAACTGAAAACTTGCCAGGGACTGGGAATTCACGTCACGGATGCCAACTCGACGATCGTAATTTTAACCTCAGCCCGTTCCTCCCTTCCCTGAAGCCACTGCCCAGCACCCGCTAGGTCTAGTAGTCCCTTTCCTCCAGGGCACGCGATGAGCCACTTGGCTACCCAGCCCTGGAGCTGGCCACTCTTCCGCGGGACCCAGTGTTCTTTCCCCTTTCCGGCGTAGTTCCCTCGAGCTCCATGGTTGCTTGCATCAAGGATCTAGGGATGGGTTTGAACCAACCAGTAGCTTCGCGTTTCCCCCACCATCATTCGCCTTTTTCCCCGACTCGGCCCCGTAGCGCTGTCGTCGTCGAGTTTTCTTCTTTTCTGTTTTTCGCTCTTATCACGATATTCACTTCACGATTCCTCTACTCCCTTGCAAATTTCCCAGAGTGTTTTCCTTCGTTTTTCTTCTTCTTTTTATTCTTGGTAGTCTGGGCGGGGCAAATGCCAAAATCGAGTATCAAGTATGTGCCTGCATATCCTTCAGCATATCTGCATGCTCTTTCCCTCACATGCTTCGCTCGTTGCACGATGCAGCTCCTGACTCCCGATGGCCTCGGCAGCCTTCCCTTTGCTTTTCTCTGCCACGCTCTGCCAGGAGGGGCAAAGACCAGATGCAAGTAGATAGAGAGAGTGCAGTGCTACCTATCATCCTATCATATGCTCGCCACCTCCAAGGCACGGCCTGTGGGTGTTGTTATCTATTGCTTCGTACTCGCATCGCAGTCTCTTTACTGCTTTGGCAATGGAGCTGGACCGGACTGTGTGTATTGCTTGTTTGTTAGCGAGGGAGTGGTTCCTCAGCTAGCTCTGCTTGTCCTCCCTTGTCTGATTGCCAAGAGAGACAACTTGAGACCATGAGAGCTTGCTGATTGCTGATGGATCTCGTTGCAATGTCATTTTGTTCCTCCCTCGACCTGAAAAATCTTTTTGCCCATTTTTTTCTTCTTTGATTTTTTCCCTCTCCTTCTCTAATTGTAATAATTCGTTTCCTGTTTTCCTTTTTCTTGCCTTGAAAAAAGGAAGAAAAAAAGAAAAAGACAGGAAAAATGAAAAGGAATGACGGCGTGCTGGGTGGGGAAGTAGGGTCTCTTTTCACCTTGACTTCACCTCCGGATCAAGCATGCTGTACGTCAGAAGCCTAGACATTGATTCCGCTTCACTCGCTGCTCACGCTGGTTCTTGGGTCCAACTTCAGCCCCGCGCGGTAACCAGAGTGCATGTTCCCCAAACGGGGGCTGTTCAATGTATGATTATTGCTTCTAGGGAACGACGGTGTGAGTGGCAGTATTGGTATTCAAGGTTTGGGTGGTGTCGATGAACCAGCCACTGGACCAAAGGGTCGCGGTAACGTATCCTCGCAACAGCGCAACAGCGCAACAGGGAATCTAGACCTCAAGTTATTACCAAGTCTGGTTCGCTTTGGACCGAGTCGATGTTTGGGGCGTGGTATCCGTCCCTGCATGGCCTCGTACTTGTGCTGCGGGCAGGCACATAGACACGCAGGTACGAAGTAAATCACTAACGCCTGGCTTGGTACGCTGGCAAGCTGGCTGGCGTTGGGACGCCCGGACCTGGAATGAACCACGGGATCGAGAACAAGACCGGACCTGGTAGAAAGGGAAATTGGGCCATCCTCGATCGAATTAGCCCACCCTATTCTTGGCTCTTGGGACTTTGCGACTACGCTAGGAGTGTTTAGAAAGAAGGAAGGAAAGAAAAGAAGGGAAGATGGAAAGCGAGACTTGCAAGACAGAAGGAAGAGGAAATAAGAGAAAAAGAAAAGAAAAAGAAAAAAAAGAAAAAGAACAAGGAGTAAGGCAAGCAGGTGCGATACGGCAAGAAAGAAAAGAAGGGAAAGAAGAGCGCACTAGAGGTATCAAGGCGAACCAAAGGCAGAAAGGGACATCAAGAGAGCAAGGTGAAAGTGGCTTGCTGGAACGGAAGGCACGCGGTGCGATGGACGGTACGAGCACCGGACTCATCGATTGGATCCATGGTTGAGGCAGACCTCGAGTGGTTCTCAGTTGAAAGCCCAGTGCCCCATCAATTGATCTCAGGGCCCCATTCCAGGTCCCCATTCCAGCTCGCACGCTTTCCCCATTCCACTCAAGTGTTTTCGAGAGCTGTGCTGCCTCCACCCGTCGAGCAAAGGCTCCGGTGTCGTTCTGAACACGCATCACCAGTTCGGAACAAGGTAGTATTATGGGAGATTTCCATCTAAACTCGTCCATCGGGATCCATTGGGCCATTGGGTCATTGGACCAATTGATGCCAGAAGAACTGGAAAGGGACCAGTCCGTGGCCAGCGTAGCATCCCGGTCGCTTCCTCGACGAAGTTGGCCTTTTTTTTTTTTTTTTTCCTGAGTCTCTGGGTCCATTGACATTGGATCAATGTCTTCAATTGTCTTTCTTGTCCCGCTCGCCCATCATCAATTGAGCCCATCCCATCCCCACCAAGCTTATGCTGGCTCCCCCATGCCGTGGAGGTGTAAGACCCTATCCTTCATCACGGCCCGTACTCTACTCATCCTTCTGCCAATGCAGTGCCCCACACCCACACTAAATTGCATTCCTTCACACCCCCGGCCCGCCCGACTATGTATGTAATATCAGTTCCATCCCCGCCCGTCCTGTCTCCTCCTGCTCACTTACACTCGTCACATCACTTCCGTCTCTCTTCTTCACATCCTTGTCTCTCTCGTCTCTGACAATCCCATCGAGAGAGGGGACTCACACTCGTTTTTCTGTCGTTTTTCGACCTCACCCTCACTTTTGGGTCTATCGCTCTTTTGAAATAACCAACCATCCACACTCTCTTATACTTAATCTATAATCCATTCCCTTGCGTCCTGCCCACTGCAACTAGACGCATCACACCACACCCGCGCCACCGAGGAAAAGAAGAACAAGAAGAACAAGAAGAACAGGACGAGGAAGCAAGGTGAAACAAGGTCAAGAAGCCTCCTTTTCTTATAGCTCACTGCTGTTGTAAAGGTGGAAGCTTTGGTGGCGGACAGCTGAGCTCGGTCCAATTCATTTCAGCCCGAGATCGACGTTGACTTTCCTCTGGCCTCGTGTCGGCCCGCATACCTGCATACCTGCATTCCTCGTGATTCTCGCCTTGGAAGCGATCTTCACGCCAAACCGACTCCTTGGGATAAAAGGAGAAGAGAAAGAGGGATCAGCAGCGTGACCCCAACTGTCGGTCCTGGAAAACCGGGGTCTTCATCTATCACTTCTTCTCCCCAACTCTTCGCGCGCAGACAAGAGTTGAAAGACGCACTTTTCCCTGTCAACTCTCCGAACATCACATCCCTTTCAGGACAGCAAGTGCTTGTATTGGGCTAGATCCTGGTGAGTGCAAGCAGAGGCGCTTTCCTTCTCGTGCTCCTTGGGACGCTCCCTAATAATACTCCTCCACCACAGACGGTGATAGCAGGGCCACACTCCCATCAGAACCATGCGTCTGTCAGCCTCGCTCTTTTGGGCGGCCACCACGGCCGTCCAGGGCGTCGCTGCCTACTGGATGGAAGAGGTTGCCCACCAAGGCAAGGCTCCTTACCACGCCGATCCCGACTACCAAGTCTTCCGCAATGTCAAGGACTTTGGCGCCGTTGGTGATGGTGTAACGGACGACACCGCCGCCATCAACGAAGCCATTAGTGCGGGCCAAAGATGTGCTCCCCAGGAGTGCAAGCAGTCTACGACTTCTCCTGCCGTCGTGTATTTTCCTTCCGGGTAAGTTTCTCCCTCTACCACTGTTTTCATCGTCACCTCACGGCCCCCTCCAGCCTTGTGCTGGGTACCAAGGCTTCAGGGGATCCGCAGATCTTGCTAGAATCCTGACGATGGCTAATGCGCCTGGCCGCAGAACGTACCTCGTCTCCGGTTCCATCATCGACTACTATTACACCCAACTCATTGGTGACCCGACGGATCGTCCGGTGATCAAGGCTTCTGCTGATTTCCCCACAGACACCACCGTGGGTGTCATTGACGGCAACCGCTATGGCGCCGACGGCCTCGCCTGGATCGCCGTCAACGTCTTCTTCCGCCAGGTCCAGAACTTCATCATCGACACCACCGCTATCTCGGCCTCGGCGAATGCTATCGGTATCCACTGGCCTTCCTCCCAGGCAACTGCGCTCTCCAACGTCGAATTCCGTCTCTCCTCCGCCGCCGGTACCCAGCATGTTGGTGTCTTGATGGAGGAGGGCTCTGGTGGGCTTTTGAACGATCTTACGTTCCGTGGCGGCCTTGTCGGCGCGAAGCTGGGGAACCAGCAGTACACCGCAAGGAACCTTCAGTTCTTCGGGTGCGAGACTGCCATCAGCCAGCTTTGGAACTGGGGCTGGACTTACAAGTCGCTCCACGTGGAGGATTGCGGCGTTGGTATTGACGTCCTCGACAACAACACTGCTTCCATCACCATCCTCGATAGCCAGTTCACCAGGGTCGACCAGGCCATCAAGACCAAGCGCGACGGCGACAAGACTACCCCCAAGGCCTCGGGCTCCCTCGTCTTGGAGAACGTCTCGTTCGACACTGTGGGCGCTATTCTCACAGGCCCCAACGGCGTCGTGATCCCCGGTGACTCTGCTGGTGAAGCATTGATCGAGGGGTTCGCTGATGTAAGTGCCTGCTTCGCTCGTGCTCGTGCTCGTGCTCGTGCTCATTGTTATGTGCCCCCATCCACTAACGCTTATTCTAGGGCCATCTCTACAACTACACCGGCCCCAACGTCTACGTTGGAGACGACCGCAAGTACTTCCCCGCCCTGCCGCTTTGCTTGACGGTGACAAGTACTATGAAAAGTCCAAGGTTAGCTTAGCCCTCTTCACTTTGATACTTGAGACGGTCAGCTAACTCGGCACCACTCTAGCCCACCTATGGCGATGTCCCTGCTTCTCAGTTCGTCTCGATCCGCGACTTCGGTGCCAGCGGAGACGGCACTGAGGACGCGACCGCCATCCTCAACAAGTTTTTTGCCCATGTTGCGGGAACCGACAAGGTCGCCTTCATCGATGCCGGTTATTATGTCATCACCGACACTGTCACCATTCCTGCCGGTGTCCGAGTTGTTGGTGAAGCTCTCGCGTCCGTCCTTCTCGGCACCGGCCCAGTCTTCTCCGACATCGAGAACCCCGTCCCCGTCATCCGTGTCGGAAAGCCTGGTGACAAGGGCCGCGTGGAGTGGTCTGACATGATTGTCTCGACCCGCGGCGCCACTGCTGGTGCCAAGCTCATCGAGTGGAACCTCAACTCGTCTGGTGAGCCCTCGGGCATGTGGGATGTACACGTTCGCGTTGGCGGTTTCGCCGGCACGGAGCTTCAGCTCGCCCAATGCCCCAAGACCCCTACCGAGACCAACGTGGTCAACGAGGACTGTATCGCGGCCTACATATCCCTCCATGTCACCAAGTCTGCCGGCGGCCTTTACAACGAGAACTGCTGGGTCTGGGTTGCCGACCACGATATCGAGGACCCCGACTACGCGCAGATTACCATCTTTGCTGGCCGAGGTATCCTCGTCGAATCCGAGACTGGTCGCATCTTCATCTCGGGTTCGGGCTCCGAGCACCACGTACTGTACCAGTACCAATTCGTCAACACCCGCGACATCTACTTGGGCCAGATCCAGAGCGAGACGCCCTACTACCAGCCCAACCCCCGCGACCGTGCCTTTCCCTCCCGTTGCGGCCCTTCAGGATCCCGACTTTGCTACCAGCTGCCGCGATGTCCCCGACGACGTTCCCTGCGCCATGGCGTGGGGCTTGAGGGTGATTGGCTCCAAGGACATTGTCATCTTTGGCGCGGGCCTCTACTCCTTCTTCAACAACTACAGCACCGACTGCTGCCAGCCTACCAGTGGCACCGAGTGCCAGCAGAGGATTTTCGAAGTCGTCGGTTCCTCTTCGATCAAGAAGCGGGATTCTTGCCCTAGCCGTGGCGGAAGCGGTGGCCATGGTGGTAGTGGAGGAAATGGAGGCAACGGTGGTAACGGAGGAAACGGAGGGAGCGGCGGCAATGGTGGTAATGGCGGCGGCCACCATGGCGGCGGCCAACACGGCGGCGGCGGCGAAACCCCAACCCTCCCCAGAAAGGCAGCAGCCTGACGACCTACAACCTCAACACCATTGGCACCGTTCGGATGGTTACGAGGCATGGCAAGGACATTGCCTTTGCGCGCGACAACACCGCTGGGTTTGTCGACACGATAGCGGTGTATTATAACGCTTGAAAGGGAGAGAGCGTTACGCAACTGATTAATTTTCCTTTGTTCTGACTGTTATTTTGGTTTTCACACTGCCTTCCCTCGACCTTTTTATTTTTATTTTTGTTTCTCTTTTGAAAGTGTTCAAATGATGAAGTCTATTCGTACATAACTAGGGTGGATGTAGTCGGAGGGGTTGAGCTGATGAGAAGCTTCTCCTTCTGTTATATATATTATATCTCTTGCTATCTACTAAATGGCAAAAAGCCTTTGATTCTCGCCCTTTCCGTTTCTAATCGCGTTGTTGCTCTTCTTTTCTGCTGTTTGAATGCTGAAGCAACTAACCGACCCACACGCGAGGCGTTGGCATTTTCCAGTTCCCACTGCCAAGGCAAATGTTCCACGATAATATCAAGCGACATTTGGCTCCACTTGACCAACAAGTCGCAACGCAAGCGATCAAATACGGCAAGGTGCCAGAGTGGTTAATGGGTGTGACTAGAAATCACATGGCTTCGGCCGCATAGGTTCAAATCCTGTCCTTGTCGAGAATCAAATCTTTTTTTGTCTTTATTCAAGGCAAGTTCATGTGGTCGTTTTCTTTTATATTTCTTTTATTTCTTTTTGATGTTGATTTTTTTCAAACTCGCAGGCCTATGGGAGAGAGGAGGGGCAAGTAAGTGCCTGTACGTGGCTTACACAAAAACCAATGTGGGCAAACTTTTACTCGTGTTTTCACTTCACTTCTAGTTGCCAAGGGTATTCTTCCGTACGTGAAGGTTTCAATTCATTTCCTAAGATCCGTACATGTAGTGTTCCTTTTCGAGAATACCTCTACTCTCTCGTGCTTTTTTCGCCATCTTTTATTTTCTTTGGGAGATATCGACCTCTCCTTTGCCACATATGACCCTCGGGCAATGTTGAACATTGCGCTGGCCTTTAACACCCGTCAATGAGGGATATACTCACCTCCCGCCCCCCAAAACTAACTACTTGGGCATGGGAAGAGAGGGAAGGAAAGACGAAAAAAAGGACAAAGCGCATGGCTAAGAAGACTCAAACAACCCGCCTAACGCCGTCAAGCCAATGAACATGGCCTCCTCGGTACGAATGGTCCGGCTGCCTTGGCCGGGGAGGACGTTGATCCAGTGGTCAAAGAGCTCACGCGTCTTGGTTCCCTCCTGAAGCATCTTGCCAAGTTCCGGGTCGTTGCCGGCGGCATATTCGATGCCCTTGGGCCCGCCAAAGACGACGAGGAGATGCTTAAAGTCGGGGATCTTGCCGGGGGAAGGCGCGGGGCACGGGCTGGCCGCGCTCCGAGGTGCCGATGCTGACGTCGTAGCCGTCCTCGTGTGGGCTCTCTGTGAAGACGGTGGCGAGGGAGGAGCAGCGGCGGACGGAGAAGCCCCAGTAGTAGCCGCCCTCGGTGCGTGGGGCAGAGGGTGCACGGCTTCGGGCGTCGTGGTAGTTTCGGTGGCGAAGTGGAGGGTGACGCGGGTGCTGGGGGATCTCGTCTTGTATCGTTACGGGCTCGGTTAGGCCCACATCTACGAGAGTACTAATGGGTGGGGGCCCTGCTTGTTAGGATGCGAAGAGAGAAGAGAAGAAACGAAGAAACGGGGGAAAAAGAAGGGGGTCGCGGGAGGGAGGAGGAGAGGCTGTGAAGCACGTACCCGGTCTTGCCCTTGGGTCTCGAGATAGTGACGCCTTCTCTATAGGGAATCCACTCTTTGGGGTGAGGGTGATGGGGCATGTCCAAGCTCGGAAGCTTTCCGCCGAGGCGCAGGTTTTGGTGGAGGGGGAAGAGGGCCTTGCGCATGAAGGGCGGAGTTTCGAGGTAGGAGAGGACGTGGGAGAGAAAGTGGCAAGGGTCGGTGTCGGCGGTGTAGCTCGCGGGGTCAACCCTCCGGGGCGCTCTTCCACGGGGTGTCGTCGTATATCACGACTTCGTCAACGTTGAACACGGCGAGGGCGCGCCCTATCCGGCCGGGGATGGCGATCTGTTGATCGGCGGTGAATGTGCTGCGCGGGGTGCCTCCGTGTTAGTTTGGGTGAAGGAAGCGGGGCGAACCCATGGCGCCCTTGTTGTCTCTTTTTTCATTTTCTTGGTTTGGGTTGGGTCAAGCCGGAAAAAGGGTAGCCAGAGACGAGAAGGAGATTGGGAGTCGGCGCAGACAAGGGGCGTCTACTTACTCTTTGAGAACGCTGGCGCCGACCGCAACGGACAGGGTCCACTGCCTACCGCCCTCGATTGGGGTGAAGGAGGCCGAGGGTTTCCATGCTGTTTTGCCTGGGTCCCTGGCGTCGGCGCCGCTGTCGAAGTCGACCTTGCGCTTCTGTGATAGCCAGTTAGCAGACAGGTTTGCGTTTAAGAAGAGGAAGGAGAGAGAGAGGGGGACACAGGGAATTAGCGTACCTTGTTGGCCCGTTCGTATCGTGACATTTCTTTTTCTCCCTTTGGTCTTTTTGGGGGTTTACTCCTTGTGTCTCTTGGTTAAAGGGACGTCTGGAAGTAGTTGAGGAGAGAGGGATTGGATCAATCGCAACGGAGAAGAAGAACTATAGACCCCACACGCTCTCGCGAAAAGCTCAAGTTTCCCTGCACCCTGCAAGAAAAAAATTGGCGGTCTCTCTGTGTTCTGCGTTGTGGGGGAAGAAAGGGACCGGCAGAATATTTAGCTCCCGCACACACCGCCTTCTATTTTTGGCGACAGATTAGGCCTGGAATCCTCCTTGCTGGTTTGGCGGCGGCACCTCCAACTTGTCCTTTATTGAATAGAACAGCCGCCATCTTCCTGCAAGAGCACGCACGTACGCAAAGCAACGCCCGCCAACGATCCTCTCGATTTCCTCTGTCGCTTTCTCGTTTGCCAACAACGGACCATCGAACTCGGAAAGAATGGCCGGCCTTATCAGCATCAGCTCCTCCGCGGAGTGGGCGAACATTCTCAAAACCCATAATATCGTCATCGCCGACTGTACGTGATATTCGCCGTGATCGGCGGTCCCATCTTGAGGGCCGCGGGGAAGGGGAGCGGACGTTCATCGAAATACCCCCTCCCCTGCTTCACTCCCTCCGCCTTGCCCTTTGTCCTCCCCACCTCCCACACACTCCTCTCAGGCTTGCTAGGATGGCTTGTGCTAACTGCCCGTTGTGCTGCGTCCGCCCTTATAGTCTACGCCGACTGGTGCGGTCCCTGCAAGATGATCGCCCCGCATTTCGAGCGCCTCGCGAAAGAGTACGCCGTCCCGAAGAAGGTAGCCTTTGCAAGATCAACGTCGACAACCACTCGGGCATCTCCAAGTCGTGCGGCGTCAGCGCCATGCCCACCTTTGTCATCTTCCACGGCGGCAAGGCCATCAACACCATCCGCGGCGCCAACCCCCGCGCTCACCTCTGCCATCACCGACGCGCTTAAGCTCAAGGACAAGGGCGGATCCGGCGAGATGTTCAAGTCTCCCGGTCGGTCCCTCGGCGGCGGTGCCGCGCAGCCTGCGGCGTTCGACTTGAGCTCCATCTTTAGCTCCATTGTTCTTTTCGCGGGGCTCTATTTTGCCTCTCTACTATCGGCACGTGTCATTGCTTGGTTCCGCGGAAATTACTAGCTCGTATCGCTAATGCTTTTTCTACCTTTTCTCTTGTCTCGTTTTCTCCGTATTTAGTTCGACCCATATATTGCTGCACAGAACTCGAGGTTCAACATCGTCAACCCTTCACCACAGGTCCCGCAAGCCCAGGCTTCGGGCCAGCGAGGCACGGTGCCCGTGAGGAGAACGGCCCCTCGGCCGCGTATAGGACGCTTTCGGATTTGGGGAAGGAGGAGTAGAATGAGGGGCGAGGTGCCGCTTGAGACGTGATGGCGTGGTTCTTTTTCCTTTTACCTGGGATCTCGTCTTTTCCTCCTTTCTCTTAGGCTCATACTTTTTTTTCTTGACACGATTATCCAGTCCGGCGCTTTTTAGAATAACATGTAACGCATCATTATATAACTATATCCTCCTTCATCCCATCTCTTAACCCTCTTCGTAGTTCGATGGCCGTTGATTGTATGTCGACGAGGACAAACTTTGGTGGGGCCTTAAGTCCTGTTTATCATTTCCGTTTCTCAGCTTATCATAAGAATTATATGTGCACCTCTGTTTATTGCCGTCTTGAAAGGTTTGCATTGAGTCCGTATCATCCGACTATTTTAAACTGGTATCAGAGGCATAGAGGATAGATACATGGAGGGACACTAGTTGAGAGCTCAGGCGCGTTGGCGCGTTTGGTAATTCCTGGGCTGTGAGAGGACGATAAGAAAACACGTGATGCGATTATCGCTCTTATCAAAGCTAAAAAAGGTCTGGAAGGAAGTTGCGACCCTGCTGCACTGTGAGGTAAGTCGCGAACCAGGAGCCCGCAGGTGCTGCAAGGAAAGAGAAAAAAAGATCAGGGGAAAAGTTTAGCACCCGCAACCCCAAAAACAACAACATCCCTTTATCATCCAAGCACGCCCACAGACACAATATGTTGGCGGCTAGGACAGCTCGAAGCATATGTCCGATATGCAGGACAGCCCGTCCGGGCGTCCTCGAGCTCAACTCTGCCCCCAAGCTTCGTTTACCGTATCGCCATCGCATGTCGGCGACCTCGTTCGTCGCAGGCCGACTCACCACGCCCATCCGTCTCTACTCGTCCGCGAGCCCCCAGCCTCAACAACTCCCCGAAGGCGCCTCAAGCCAGGACCTGACCGCCCACGACCCGGAAAGCCTTGAGAAAACTGTGCGCGACGCGAAACAGCGATTCCGCGATACCCTACCGAGGGGATACTTGACCGACGAGGAGTACAGGCTATATGAGCGCTTGTACGGCCCGCCTCTGCGCGAGACCGCCCCCGAGGATGTTGGTATCCCTCACCACGCCGACATGGGTAGCGGCGGGGCGCCGGAAGGGACGTACGGCGCCAGTGTCAAGACGACGGGTACGCTGATGGCGGAGGATGGCGTCTCGGAGGCAGCCGAGCAGCACGAAACCGACCTGGGCGATGGATACGTTGGCATCGTGGCGAGGAATAAGAGAGAGTACGACGCGCTGGTTAAACTTGAAAAGGATTTCAAGATTGCGGCGGAGAAGGCCAAGCTCGACGAGGTCCGCGACGCCGAGAGGAGGAAGACCAGGGCGGTGGACCTCCTACAGGAGGTCGAGGACCACTACACCCAGGAACCGCAGCGACAAGAGACTGAATGGGACGAGGAGATTATTGAGGCCTTTGGTGAACGTGCCCGATCACACCCGTTGACCGAAGAGGGCCGGTTCGGGCCCCATCCCGGAACGGTGCAGGTCCCGAAGGAGAGCCTCGTCGAGCCCATAGCCGAGCTTCTGACGCGCAGCGACATCTCCCACATAAAAAAGGCGGCCGAGAAGGCGTACGGCGGACCTGGTTTACCTGACTCGGCCATCACCCCGCCAGGTATGAGGAACCGACCCATGCTGCCCATGACCCTGCAGGCCGGCCACCACCGCATGTCCGAGATCGATGCGGACGCCTTCATCGCCACCTACCTTCCTCAAATGTATGCTGCGTCCCGGAGCGTGCTCGCCGAGGTTAGGAAGCGTCTTGGCACCAACTGGATACGAGGCCTGCTTACCCGCAACGGCGGCGAGGGCCCTAGGATCCTAGACGCGGGCGGCGCGGGTGCGGGATTGGCGGCTTGGCAAGACATTGTTAAAGCCGAGTGGGATGTGATGCGCGAAGAGGGCCTGGTAAAGGGCCCCAGCCCTCTGGGCAAGAGGACGGTCGTCATCGGATCGGAGAACCTACGTCAGCGAGTGTCCCGCTTCCTCAACGCCACGACCTTCCTGCCGCGCCTCCCTAACTACCGCCACTCAGCTGACAATGCCGACAAACTCTTGGACGCCCCCGAGGTACCGCAGCCGCGCAAGTCGTTCGACGTGATCCTAGCCCCGCACCTCCTACTCCAGTGGCCCGAGGGCCATCGGCGTACCGCCATCCTCAACAGCCTTTGGTCCCTCCTCTCCCCCGAAGGTGGCGTGCTCATCGTGCTCGAAAAGGGTCACCCGCGCGGCTTTGAGGCCGTCGCTCAGGTCCGGTCCAAGCTCCTCAACGAGTACATACTCCACCCCGAGTCCCAGCCTGACTCGGAGGACGTGCACCCCGACTTCCAGAAGACGCGCGAGCCCGGTATGATTGTGGCGCCCTGCACGAACCACAAGCCGTGCCCGATGTACAGGATCCCCGGCAAGTCGGCTGGCCGCAAGGACGCGTGCGCCTTTAGCCAGCGCTTCATCAGGCCGCCCTTCCTCCATCGTATCATGGACGGCAAGGACCGCAACCACGACGATGTCGAGTTCAGCTATCTGGCTATCCGCCGCGGCGTCGGCCTCCCCGACTCGGTGCGGCAGGGCGACGAGGCTGCGGATCGCGCGTTTGAGGGCTACGGAGATACGGCGGCGGCGGCGGCGCCCCCATGCGCTCTCCCTCCCACGCAGTGTCTCGGCCCCCATGAAGCGTCACGGCCACATTCTCCTAGACCTGTGCACGCCGGCGGGTCGGATCGAGCGCTGGATCGTGCCGCAGAGCTTCGGGCGGCAGGCGTACCGCGACGCGCGCAAGGCCAAGTGGGGTGACTTGTGGGCGCTCGGGGCCAAGACGCGCATGGACCGCAAGGTCAGGCTCGGCAAGGGCGCCGACGTGCCCGACGACGGAGGCGTCCGAGCCCGGCGCGCGCGCCAGACCAAGGCCAAGGTCATTGAGATTGGTTACGACGGTTCGGGTCTGCGGGATGCCGTGGATAAGAGCGGGGCGGTGGAGAGGAGGTCCAAGGCGAGGAGGAGGTTGCCGAGGAAAGCGCTCCTCGAGGAGTTGATGGAGGAGTAAGTCGGAGGGTGTGGGAAAGTTGGGGTGGGGGCTTCGTGGCGTCCCTGGGGGTGTACGATAAGTTGGCCATTGGACGAAGGAGCGCGAAAAGGCGTTGGGTGAGCAATCTAGACCCTGAGAAAGGGTCGTGTACAACTATGTATAAAAAGAGAAGAGGACCAACCCACACACACACACATAAACACGACAGCACGAAAACCGGCTTATTGGCGGATGTATGAAGAGAAAAGTCCAAACGATCCGTTTTGGTGGGGAACGACATGCATAGAAAAAGAACGGCCGGGCGCATCTCATATGTAAAGCAAAGCTCATTATCTTTTTGGACATATCTACAGTTATAATGTATACCACTCTTTAAGACGAACTCTCTGAGTCCTCGGAAAATGGGCGAGTATTCCCTCTCACCGCTTCGTGCTCAATAAACAATCATCTTGCTACAGAACATGCCGTGGGGGTATGTTTCCTCTTTCCCCTTTTGAGCGGCCATGCGTTGATCATCGTCCTGGCAGGGATTCGGCATTCAAAGCTTTGTAGAATCGGTCCCATGGGAAGAGATGAAGGAGAGAAGACGAGACGAGCGAGACGGAGGGGGAGAGGGTGCGGGGAATAGTTGGGGAAAGGATGGGGGAGAGGCTCGTTACGAGGTGCTCGTGATTACGCAGCAGTCGGCTGGGGGCTGGATCTTGAGGGAAAAGTCGACGTGGGGCACGCCCTGGTGAATGCAGCTGGTGGAGAGGATATCGACATCTAGAGAAACATTACGTGTGAGCAAATCTCTTGTTTCTTTTGAGAAGAAGAAAAAAGAAGGAAAGAAACCAAGCACGACTTACAAGGAGTGACGTATTGCTCAGCATTGTCGAGCCTCAGGCCACCCGAGACCTCGAGGAGGAACTGCCTCTTGCCAGCCCACCTCTCCTTGAGGCTCTTGGCGGCGACCTTGACGCCAGCGCCGGTAAAGTTGTCGAGCATGACGATGTCGGCGCCGGCGGCAATAGCCTCGTCGGCCTCGGCCTCGGACTGGGCCTCGACCTCGATCTTGACGCTGAAACCCGCGGCGCTGCGAGCGGCGGTGACGGCGTCGGTGATGCTGCCGCGGCTCCAGACGTGGTTATCCTTGAGCATGACCATGGAGCTCAGGTCCATGCGGTGGGCGTCGGCGCCGCCGACGAGCATGCCGTACTTTTCCACGAGGCGAAACCCGGGGTGGTCTTGCGGGTGCCGGCGAGGATACCCGTGTAGCCGGCGCCGCGCAAGTTGAGGAGCAGGCCGCGGCTATAGCTCGCGATGCCGGAGCAGCGGGCGAGCAAGTTGAGGGCGACGCGCTCGCCGAGCAAAAGGCCGCGGGCGGGGCCCTCGACGGTGGCGAGGCGCACCTTGCCGAGGGGTTCGGGCCCGGAGCCGCTGGTGTCGATGCGGCAGCCCTCGCGGACGTGCCAGGTCACGGTGCAGCCGCACTGGGCAAAGACTTCGTCGACAAAGGGACGCCGGCGAGGATGCCGGCGGACTTGCCCCAGAGGATGGCGGTGCGGGGCACTTCGCCGACGACGAAGCCGCCGACGTCGAAGGAGGGCGTGTCTTCGGCGAGCCAGGCGGTGATTTGGGGCTTCCAGCTCGGGGGAGGAGGTGGTCGAGCTGGCCCTTTTCGAGGGGCATGTCGGGGGCGGGGAGGGGGTGTGTGTCGCCATGGTTTGTGGAGGTGGAAAAGGTGGAAAAAGAGGTTGAACGTTTGCCGGGGTAGGGAGGGTTGATGGCTGCGCGCGCGGATTCTTCCAAGTGGGTTGTTTTTTTAATCTCTGTTCGGTTTACTTGGGTTTCCTATTTCTTCTACTGTTTCCCGTGTCTCTTTGGTCGCTGGCCTCGTCCGCGGTATGGTATTCTTCTTCTTGTCGCTTCGGCTTCTGATGGTCGGGTTTGGCGGGGTTTTGTGTCCCGAGGTGGGTTCGGTTTAGCGCGCAAAAAGACGGAAGAGGAATCGAGGGGTGGTTTTTGTGATGGCCAGCAATGGGATGTGGGATCTTGGAAAGGTGATGTTCCAAGGTGTCGTTCAAGTCTGGGAAGGCAATGGAATCAAATGTAAAAAGAAAAACCTGTTGCCTGGGTTTGCAGTTGGAATGGAGATAGAAGCGCAAAAAAAAAAAAAAGGGTCTTGTGAGGAGGCCGAGGGAGTTTATGGGGATGAGTCGATGTCCGTTACACATGGGAATGGATGTACAAGTCTTGATACTGCGACGGCAAGCAGGTACGGAAACGGGTCTTGATACTTTCGAGTCTAGTCCCGGCTGGAATCGGGTAACGTCTGGTCTATTTCTTTTTTGCCTTTGGAGGGGTACTTTAGTGTCAGCCAAAGTACAAGTCGGCCCCATCTCTGGCCGTGTACGTATTGATATACGTATTAATCCCAAGCCATCGAGCATATAGATCTATTGTTTTAGTCTTGTACTCGGTAGGCGGGGTTCAGTTCGCGGGGAGGGGAAATCTCGCAGACGACAGAAGGGCGCGGCATGGCCAGCACCAGTTCCAGCGCCAGTCCTAGGCTCGGCTTGCGCTAAACATGGAGCAAGAGGAACCTCCCTTTGTCATGATGCTCCCTCTCCGCCATTGACACTAGATTGACTCATTGGGTTCATCCCGTTGATCCATCATCCTGGACAAGGTCACAATGCACTTGTTCCAGCTGGGACCTAAAGCTCTCAGGTGCTAATCCACAGCGCTAATCCACAGCGCGAGAGCCACAAGTCCACGGCATTCCCAGACAATATGAAAAACGGCCGGGGAGACGGGAGAGGGGGAGGGGAATTGAGGGAATTGAACTTTGATATTGACATGTCAGAGCATAAAACACTCGACTCACGCCCTTGCATCTCCCTTTTGGGCGGAAAGCGAGCTGCCTCCTCCCCCAAGCCTGCCATTGGCTGTGCCGTCTCCAAGAGATGTCTCTTCCCCAGGCCCATTCATCGATACATTCATGTCCATCCTCTTCCCCTTCGAAAAAAGTGATGTCTCTTCCTTTTGCTTTGGCGAGCTGCCGTTCGCTTACAGCTACCAGCAGGCACACCCTCGATACTTTAGACGGCGGTGTCTTGCCATGCCAAGCCGGGCCAGGCCTTGCAACGGCCCACCGACAAAAACTTGAATGAATCACTTGGGGGTTCCTACCTCGGTATAAAGCCTTGCTCTTCCTAAAACTCAAAAATAAGCCTGGCCTTCTTTTCCCTTTTGGTCGGGAGGTTATTGTTGTTTGGAAGCTGGGTGAACAAATTTAACATGATTCCGCACGCACCGTTCTTCATCATCACTTGGCCAACACAGACTTCTCCCCTACCTCCTGTGCCATGGACACGGAGCAAGAAAAGATTACGAGGGTTAAAAAGAAGAAACTCCATTGCCTGGCTATTCGTTTGCTCATATGAATTTGCCGCGTTCCCCCTTCCAAATAATACCTCCGCTAACATAATCTTTCTTCATGATCCCCTCTGCATCCCACATGATCCATATCGCTCCTAGACCTACACAACGCACCCGGAATAAGTAAACAAAGAAGAATGGGCCGTATGGCCCTCTTGACGTAAAGATGCGTGGCGGAACAGGTTATGTGGTTTTGACAGGCGGGTAAAGTAAAGGTCCCAACGTGCAAGTGCGTGTGTGGAGAGAGGGAGAGGGAGTAATATAGAGGGAGAGGTGGTGGTGAAAAGGGTAATAGAGAGAGAGAGATAGAGAGAGAGAGAGAGAGAGAGAGAGAGAGAGAGAGAGAGAGAGAGAGAGAGAGAGAGGAGAGGGAGGGGGAGAAAAAAAAAGAGAAGGTGAGAGACGATACATGAGTCCGATCAAGGACGAAACAAAGGAAAGAATGAAGAAAAAGAAAAAGGTTGACCAGAATCCTATATACCTTCATCACACTTTACACCATACAGGCAAGTTTCTAAGTATGAGCCCATGGCGGGGCAAAAACCAAAACCAAAAAAAAAAAAAAAAAAAAAAGGAAAAAAGAAAAAAGGAAAAAAGAAACCGGCGCGGGAAATAAAAAGGCGGGCGTCGTAGAGGGAGATGCCAGATGCCAGCCGCGTAAGTGAGGTAGTGAGGTTTCAACATGATGCGAGGATAGGACCGACCCGTTGCCATGATTTGCACAGTCGTTAGCATGATGGGGGAAAAACGCCGGAACCGCAGGAACAGGTTGAGGAAAAGTGAAAAGCCCGACCGAGGATCGTAGAGAGACGAGGAATATTATGGGAGGGCAGCGTAAAGAAGAAGAAGAAGAAGAAAATAGGTGGGGGAAAAGGACGAGAACCGGGCCCATCACAAGACGGCTTCCCTCGCCTCACCCCTTCTCCCGCGTGCAGAATCAGCTCCGTCAAGGATCCAAGGGTTGCATGCGGGCGGTGCTTGCGGGGTAAGGGAGTAAGAAGTATGGCCAAGGCACCGGTTGAGTGTTGTCGTAGGTAACGCCTCTGTCTCAAGGCAACTACAGCATCTCTTTATCGGTCGAGCTTGGGCGACGCTTGCCAGCCATTGATATACGCCATCAGTCCCATGCCGAGCAGCACAACCCCGAGCATCGATGCGTACGGGAGGCTGGCAGCGACTGCGGATTGGTCCTGTGCCTGCGCCATCCCTCCCAACGGCAACTTTTGTGGAGTGATCGTGTTCGCCCGGGATAGTGTTGGCTTATCGCTTGCGCCGTCGCTTTCTAGCTCCGTCGGCTTTCCGTTGGTGTGCGTCGAACGCTCCGTTGCTCCCATTGTGTGTGCCGTGTCGTTCTGCTCCTCTGGCTTCTTGGACTCGCCTCGTCTTCGGTTCTTCGATCGTCCCCGATCCTTCCTCGTAGCGTCTGATCCTGACGTCTCGGATGCTTCCGCCGTCGCCGTCGCCGTCGCCGCCGCTATGGCCGCGGTGGCAGTAGCAGCAGCGGTAGCTGCGGCAGCCGCAGCAGCAGCCGCCGCTTCCGAGGCCTGTCTCTCTTCCTCATGTTGGCGGATCTTCAGCACCATCTCGGCGAGCGATTTCCTATCCGCTTCCCGTCCTGATTCGGCAATTTCGCAACGGCTCCGCCACTGCTCCAACTGCTCCTTCATATCGCGAAGCTCCGTCGCCATCTCGTCGATTCGGGTTCGGTATTCGCTTGCGGCCGCTTCCGTGCTCTCCGCCTGGTCCGCTAGAGCCTTTTCAGCGATACTGTCCGTCGAGTTCACCTCTTGAAGCGCTGCAGATTCTTGGGGAGGGTCAAACGCTTCCGCCAAGAGTCCTTCATCCAAGCCGCCCTTGGCAGAGCCGTTCATGTGCGGGAGGATTGTTGCATCATCAGACGATGCCTCGGACCCGGCCCCTTCCAGCTCAGATGGAATGGCCGCCAGCGTCGCCGCAACGGCCGACTCCTCCAGCTTCCTCGCGATGTCTTCGGCCGATTCCCTAGCCAGCCTCTCCCTATGAAGAGATTCTTCAAGCTCGCGCAGCTTCGCGTCTCGGCCCTCGAGCTCTCGCTTCGTATTCTTAAGGTCTTCCTGCAGCTGCAGGATCTGGTGGATATTGTCCCGGATCGGTGACGTGTTGGAAGGGTGGGATTTCGGCCGCTCTGTCGTACCGCGCTTCAAAGCTGGTATATCAGGCTTCTCTGGCAGCGGTTGCTGCGGCGGCGGCGCGGGGGATCGGAGAATCGAGCTTTAGGATCGGCTCGGAACGGCATGCCATTCCCGTTGACCATATGCTGCTTCGGCGGCTCGGGTGCCTCGGGCTTTTCGAAATCCTTGACGTCCTCTTTCGTCATCATCGTAGAGAGAAACTGGCCGGTACGACCGAGATCCTGGGATTGGAGCTTCGCCCCACGCATTTCGGTCTAGCAAGTGACGAGCGTTAGTTTTTTTTTTTTTTCTGATCTATGTGTGGATGAGATGGAACCAAGCCGAGAAGTGGCGAGCGGTAGGAAGAAAGAAAAGGAAATGAAAGAGGGGTTGGGATAGAAAAGGAGACGAACCTGTAGCCGTTTCACTATCTGCTCGGCGGTGATCGGTGCTACCCAGTATCCACGTTGATGAGGAGCGCCGTTCGTGGGGCCGCCCATGAGACCGGCAGTAGAGATCATGCGACCATTGCCCATGGCAGGTGCGTTACTTCCGTTACGCGAGTGCGCGTGCATGACGCGCTGCCCAGACGAAAGGACGTTTCCGTTGGCGGGATCGAGGTCGCCAAAGTTCATGTCTAGCAAATTGCTAGAGGGACTGAGGAAGCCGGCATGCTCAACCTTGGCCGCGACTTTGTGATGGACGACCGTCTTTTGGTCCTCGCTCACGATGTCGATGCCCAGTTCGAGATGATCGGCCGTCTGTAGCTCGTGCGGCTCGGATTCGCGGTTCTCTTGAGACAGGCGTGTGCCGTTGACAAAGGTACCGTTGGATGACTTGACATCGCGAATCCATATCTTACCGGACCGGTCTGCCCATATCTCCGCGTGTTGCCTTGATAAGACTTTGCTGTCAAAATAGCCGTTGGATGGCGTCGGCACCGTTTTTTGGTTCGTCTGTCGGCCGATTCTTAATGTGTCGGGCGCAAAGGGAACCTGAATCGTCTTGCGCTCAAAGGTTCCGTTGAGAGAAAGGAGATGCAGCACGGGGATCCCGCCCGCCATTTGGTCGGTAAGCGGCCGCGTGACGGCTTGTTGCTGTGTTAGGTTTTGAGGCTGGCCTCCCGCTAGTGGGTGCATGGGGGCGCGCCGGCTATGACACCGTTCATAATGGGCGTCCGACTTCCTGCCATCCTCGCCAAATCAGCATGACCGTCTACTTTTCCCGCCGGCCAAGGTCCCTTGGACTGAGGTCGTTTTCGCGGCGCGGTACTCGGCCACCGGCTGAACTCTCCGTTGGACGACGCAGGAGTGCCGCTAAGCTGCGAGCTGGTGGTCGCGACGGTGGTCGTCGACGAGGTGGATGAATTAGAAGATATGGAAGAGGAAGAGTTGGATCGTTGTAAACCTTTTCGACCGAACATAGAACGAACGTCGTCGGTCATAGGTGTTATTGGCTGACCACCGTTACCACTCCATCCTGGTTTGTTTAATGGAAAGGAAGGGGGATTCGCAACAGCAGTCATGGAGGAGGAGGAAAGGCAACGGGGCCAAGGCGTGGATGATGAATCGGAGGATGAGGGGCGTCGTGTGCTGGCTGGTCGTGCTCCCGATCGTTTTCCAGGCTCGTCGTGTTTTTTTCGTTCCTCAGCGTTGACGCTCGCTAGTGAACTAGAAACGACGAGCTTGGAATGTGTCGAGCGATGGCGGAAGCACCGCAGACTAGGAACGCGCTGTGCCAAAAGGAAAAGAAGGAGAAAAAAACACGATTAATGATGTCGAGATCGGCGACGGGGATTTTTAGGGGTGTCGGGGACGACTGCTTCGTATGATTTTTGCCCCTTCTTCGTTGGTCGTGGTGGCGTGAATGGATAGGGGCTCTAGTGTTCAGGGAAAGGCTCGAAAGCAGAAAGACGGGCCAGTCGCGAATTTTCGGGTGTCGTCAGCGGGTGGTGTCCTCTGTTGAATTGGCGCGGCCGCAACAAGAGGCCGTAGGGATGGTGGCCAGGGATGACGGCCTTGCCCAGACTCTCGGAAGAGGAATAAAGACGTGTCGGGCAATTGAACCACGCAAGAGAGTCGACTTTGGAGATGGATTCGCGAAAGGTTAAAAAGGGGGAGTGTCGAGATGAGAATGTCTTGATATGGGGGCGTTCCAAATGGAAATGGAAACGGGACAGAATCGAGTGTTTTCCTGACAGTAGGAGTCTCGTCCCCTCCAAAACTCAACCGGCTCATTTGCTAGCTCATTCGCCAACTTTCCCCAAGGTTTTTTTTTTTCTTCTTCTTTGTCTTCCCCTTCTGTCTCGTCCTTCCTAAGCGCTGGGAAGGCGTGGGAATTGGCACGGAGTACTTACTGTGCGCCCCGGCAACACCCAAGACAACCATGGATCTGTGGATCCAATCCCCTTCACACCACTCAGACCGCGGTGGCGGCGAGGTCCAGCATAATAGCATCCACTACTATGTATGTGCTGCTCCCCCACAACGCGCAGACTGCACCTGCACCAACTGGGGTTAGAGCCTTCTCGACCTCAAGTGCTCTTTGTTCGTCTCCTCCTGTCACAGAACGGCGGGGGCGGTTTTCTTGAGCACTTTGGGCACACCACCAGCGGCAACAGCCAAACAGGCCGTAATTGATCAAGATCCATGTTCCGACGAAAACTCAGCATACAGGAGGATCGTGGATGGGGGCCAGAAGAAGTCTCGAGCACAGTGGCATTTTCTTTTCTCTCTTGCCCCCGATGCCAGCCATTCGACTATTGACCCTTGCTCTTTTCTCAACTACAGGTTCAAGTCAAAGAGTGTTGAGGGAGATTGGGAGAAGAGGGAAAAATAAAGAGGTATTATTTCGTGTCCTCCTCCCTGTAAGACCAAGACCAGGGGGAGACTCGGAACCTTGGGCCTCTTGCGACCCTGAACCCGCTTGCGGCGCACCAAAGGACTAAGCCGAGCAAGCATCAAGCTATTGTAGTGTAGGCTTCTCCTCACCGACGGAAAAACCCAAGCGGCTTAAGCTCCAAGTAGATATCCAGGCCTTCGCGATTCTACCTTCTCTCAAGCACGCATGTGAACATTGTCCCTTCGGGCGTCCTCCACCCCTGCTTCAAACAGCTCTGAGCAACTCTTCATCCCCCACCAGCGATCCCCTTACCCGGCGGTCTCCCACGCCCCTCCTTCCGCAAGGCGATCAACGCCAACCAGCCGTCAAAGAGGAGTACATCAAGGATGTCCAGCAGTGAGTTGATGCATAGGAAACACGTGATCCGACTGGCGAGACCGGACGTGATAGACCTTGCCTTGCCGTAATAGCCAGCACCTATTAGTTTCTGAACTTTGGTTTGGGGTTTGGGGGACAAGAGGTTCCTTTTTCTGAGACGTTTGCAGGAACATGCTGCCATGTACAGAAGCAAGCAGAACGCAGAACGGCAAAAGTGACTGGACAGGAAATGTTTGAATCAGTGTGTGAAAAATAATTAGCACTATGTACCAGATACCTTGCTAGGGAGGAAGAAAAAATGTTGCTTTGGGAGTTGGAAGGCTAGAAGTAGGGCGACCGAGAACGGTTGTGGTCCGTGCGCACGACTTCCCGCTCACTGTTTTGACGTCCCTTTGATTGGTATGACGGCTATTCTTTCACGGAAAATCGCGTTGGGAAAGAACGAGGTGGATGCCATGGAGCCATGGCTGAAAGACCAGCTGCCACAATCTTCGTGCGCCACATTCCACACGCCACACATCCCATTCACAACGACAGGCGGCTCTGAAAGATTGATTTTCTTTAGAGCCCAAACGTTTATGAATTGGTGATCCAATCCAGCGCGGCACACCTCACGTTAAGCTTTTCCCTCAGGCACAGCAAGCAGTTCTCTCTCAACAGCCTCCCCTCCACGAAGCCGCCAAAACAAAAAGAAACCCCTCTTTTCTTTTTCTTTTTCTCCCCTCCGGTTGCCCGACTTTTGATTCACCATGCCTCCTCCTCCTCCCCAGCATCCCGGCGGCCAGGCGCCTTCGGTGACCCAAAAACGTACGAGAGACAGATTTCCTCCACCTTTGCGCTTCACGTTTCTTGTAGCCGAACCGCTCTAACTTTTTCTTTTTTTCTACAGTTGCCATGGGCGCCGTGATGGGCGGGTGTATGTGATTGTCCTCCTCCTCTTTGCTTTGCGCAACGACTAACTTGTCGCCTAGCTGTTGGTGTCATCATCGGCTTCATTTTTGGTATGGACATGGTCATGCGAAGCACCGGGACCGTAGAATAAGCTCTAACCTTGGCATTAGGAACGACGACTATCTTCCGATACGGCCCCGGTCCTAACGGTATCATGCGAACGCTTGGGCAATACATGGCGGCCTCGGGTGCCACCTTTGGGTTCGTATAGTTCCTTTTTCTGCTTCTTAGAAAAACAGTAGTACAGATGAGGCCAGGTCCGCTAACCTTTCTCTCGGGGACTTACAGCTTCTTCATGTCCATTGGCAGCGTCATCCGCACCGATGCGCACCCCGTAGCCCAAGAACTCTACATGCGCTCCCGAATGCAACCTCTCATCATCGCCAGGCAAGCGTTCCGAAGGCCAGATGGCACCTCCTCTCAATGAGCGAAGCCAGCCGATCCACCATACGAAGTCGAATCCGGGATTATGACATGGGTTTATGAACTTCCTAGATCGGTCTGCCGGGCTGTACTGGTACCTGTACAATATATATCAAAATACTAATTGGATGAGCTGCTTGCTCTGAATATAAACCTACCCTTGCGAGGGCGTACCTTGTCCCCCAGCTTATGGCCAGTCTGTCCATCTCTCGGTTCTTCCGGTTCCAAATAAAAAAAACTCGGTCCTAGCCGAGCTGAGACTGTACTCGTGTGCTCAAAAACCATACTTGCTTACCAAGGCTTCTTCTTCTGCCCGCTATCAGGTGAACAGGCCATAATTCTCTGCCTGTCTAGGAAATACTCCATAAAAACCACTACTACGGCATAGCAAGAGATTATCCCCATGATATGGACGGCAAGCGCGTCAAGTCGTCCCGTATCGCCTAAGCTGCTGCCCTAGGGGAATGGGTGCCGCTGAGAAGATCTCGTAAAGTCGTAGCCACCCGTTCGGTGACCAGGTTTTACAAGCAATCAATACCTTAGGACTAGAACGGCAAGCTTCTCGCGCAGCAAAATTTGGAAAGCTTAGGCGGATTTTAAAGACTGATGTTTAGAAGCCTGGTTTGAACATAAGGTATAATTCGAACTGTGTGGCTTCATGATTCTGAAGCCCTTAGAGAATTAACAGGCACTCTGAAAGTACATGATGATCACTGATCAATCCCCGGATTCGCTTCAGTATCAGAAGTTGTTCCTCAATCGATCAATAGATGGCCCAATTATGACGTGAGCGCACCCCTTGCACCCCTAAAAAACCACCCCCAGAAAACGTGGGGAGGGGCGTAGCGCATTCAAGTTAGTTCACCCCGCCAAAACTCCTCGAGGCCACATCAATTGCCATGCACGAATTTGACGTCTCATAATTTTCTTCGGGCTGGGCTGCGATCACTGCCGCCTTGCATTTGCTAGTGATTTCTTGCCTTGATATCATCACTGCATTGATCCCTCTCGCTGAAGCCAATCACCCCACTCATCGCCTTCTGTTTCCCAGCCTTGGACAATTGACGAAGCGGTGTAGGTTTGATCTCATGTTCTTGAGCGCGTAGAAAAGAAAAGAGAGACTTCTCTTCTAGACCTGACCTGGCATAGACAGCTGAGGCAACAGCCTGAGCAGTGTCTTTTCTGACGCCATCTACAGTCCGCACGCAGTTTCATGGGACGACGCCGTCGCAGCCGCCGTCACCGCAAAATGGGTCAAGACGAGTCTCATGTTCAGAACAATCAGGCGCCCCAAGTACTTGAGGACCGGTCACTGTCGGCCGTCGCCAGCTATATCAAGGAGGAAAAGCCAAGCAGATTGTTGTCTTGACCGGCGCGGGCATCTCAACGTCAGCCGGTAGTATGTATTTTCCGACACCACCCAACCCGAATCCTTGCTTTGCCCCTGCCTTGGGAGTGATGATCGTGAAACTTACCAGGCATCTTTCTCATCAGTCCCTGATTTCCGGTCACCCAAGACGGGCCTCTATGCAAACTTGGCCAGGTTGAATCTCCCGCACCCCGAGGCCGTCTTTGACATAGAATTCTTCCGCAAGAACCCCGCCCCTTCTACGTTCTGGCCAAGGAGCTTTATCCTGGAAACTTCCACCCTACCCTCTCACATGCCTTCATCTCCCTCCTCGCCCACAAGGGCCTTCTTCACAAACTGTTTACCCAAAACATTGACTGCCTCGAGAGGCAAGCCGGTGTACCGCCCGAACGAATCATCGAGGCGCATGGCAGCTTTGCTACTCAACGATGCATTGACTGCAAGAAGCCCTACCCGGATGACTTGATGAAGATGCATATCAACAAGGCGCAGGTTCCCAGGTGTGCAGCCTCGGGTTGCTCGGGTCTGGTGAAGCCCGATATCGTCTTCTTTGGCGAGCCACTCCCGGCGGACTTTGGTAGAAACTCAGACGCCATGTTTGCTGCCGATCTGGTCATTATCATGGGCACGAGCCTGACGGTCTACCCTTTTGCCGCTCTCCCCGACATGACCCGCCCAAAGACGCCCCGCGTCCTTTTTAACCTTGAAAGGGTAGGGACCTTGGGCGGCCGGCCGGACGATGTCCTTCAGCTTGGTACCTGCGATCTAGGTGTGAAAAAGCTTGCCGAGGAGCTCGGTTGGTTGGAGGAGCTGAACAAGCTGTGGGAAGAGACCGTGGGGGACAAAGAGGTGGCGAAGCAGCGGGCTAGGCACGAGACCCCCGACGCCGACTTGGAGGCCATGGACGATGAGATTGTCGGTTCTCTGTTGGAGAGTATCGAAGGCATATCGCTGAAGGATCACAGCTCTGGTGGACACCGGGGCGACACAAAGGCTCACAAGCAGCGGCCGTCTTCGGCTAACGCCAAAGGACAGACTGGCTCTTCGCCTATCGTTTTGCCAAAGGCAATTGTTGGTCACCTTGAGAGTCACCTTCAAGACAAGCTAACAAGCGGCGCCGCCACCGGCAGCAAATTGTCTGAAACGACCTCAAACGGCAGTAACGAAGCTGCCACAAACCCCAAGGCAGGTGGCCCCGACAACAGTACAGGGAGCGAGGTTGGCGCAGAAAAGGCCGGCACAGAAGAGAAGGAAGGGAAGGCGGAGGATGAGAGGGAACCCGGTGATTCTAATACTCTCTCATCTGCAAACCCGGCTGAGTCAAAAGCTAGCGCAAGTAATACTGAAGGGAAGCTGTAAAGTCGTTTACGGTTTGCGGCGCAACATGTTACTTTGTGCTGAACGCTAAAGGCACGACCGGGAATGACAAGGAGAAGAATAGTAAGGGAAAAGGGCGCCGTGATAGACGATTTTTTTAACGTTTGGTTCCGGAAATCACGAACATCATTATGCATGATATGACCACGATGCCTGCCCAGGCAGAGTTCAAACGATCTCTTGTTGGTAATTCAACCCGTGCTACTCAATACTCCGTAACTTGTTGGCCCAGCGAGTTGGGGCCATATCAGGTGTCGTTACCTTTTAGATTCGCTTCTCTCAAGATCAGAGAACCGCTACCATGAGGAGAAACCCGCGTTGATTGGAAGGTCCTAGGCCAGCGATGCGAAGGACTTCACCTCTAAAGCAGCGGACGCGAAGGCGCGACGCAGTCTTGCCCAGAGATCGCGGTTTAACACACCATTGCATATGCATACGGCAAAGGTCCTTTGAGTGTGCCATATCAAATCTCACGCAAGGAATGGCGGCGGAAAGGGGGTCAAATTTGTAGAGACTACTCTCTCCGGGGCACGTAGCGGCATGACTGCGCGAGTCCGAGGCACACACTGCCCGTTAAACAAGAGCCCCTCCCCCAAGCACTAGTACCAGCATTTTCATATTATCAGACCTTGTAACCCCTGAGGCCATCCATTGTCATACGTGCCGGATATTGGGACGGGTGAATCCACAGACATAGACCATCGGCGGGATGGGCTGACGCTCAATGTGAGGGCCCTGTGCTCCAGCTCCTTCACGATCTCGGCTGGCGGGGTCAAAGCTCTGGGAGTCCTTGCCATACTCTCTGTCAGTATCGCGCTAGGCCTCGCCAATGCTAGAGAGACAAAGAAATTCCCCGCCCGTCAAGGCCTTGTCACGACTGGAGGTGCCGTTACGAGATCTTGGCGCTGCGGAACAAGCATTTAAATTATCATATCCTGGTTTTTGGCGAGGTGAGGCAGAGGGCCTCTATGGCCCGAAAATGAGCAACAGGGAATCGAAAACCGGTACGCGGTAGGGAAGCACTTCCGTCTCGGCGAAAGGAAGACGAAGAGATTCGAGAGCAAGAAAAAGACATGAAAATTCGGGCTAGGACCAAGGTGTGAGCACGGAGGCGGCCGGGTAGCGGATCGCGAGAGATTTCCGAGCGGTTGAGGCGATCCTTGGTATATCGGTATGAATAAGATTGGATGACTTGGATCCGCAAGAGGCAAGCGTCTGGGTAGGCTAGCAGTCCTTTTTTCTTCTCTATTTCCTTGTTCCTGCTGGATTCTGGCTTTACCCTGCGCCGATTTGATATTGTGGATGTCGCCCTAATGTTACCTCTTACAGGCTAAAACCAACGTTGAAGTGGATTTTGGGAATGGTGAGATGGCGAGAGTGGCTTGGTCAGACGTTTGGACTGCAGCGGTAGGGGAAACTAATCTATTCATGTAGGAATGGGGCAGAGAACGAGCTCACCCGAACACTCTTACATGAGGATCTAATAAACAAGTGATCTCCCCTGCACGCCAGCCGATACCCCGCAGAGACGAGCGGAGAGACAAAACGCCGAAACCTCTTTTTCTTCTCGTCCAGTGCGGTCCCGCCCGGTCGCGCTGCTGGTTGGTTCGGGCCTCCGGTCGGAAGAATAATGTTCTACGCTATTACTGAAGACGGCAAATTGCAAATGGGACAAGGAGGCTCGAACTCGGCAGCGGTACCAATCCTACTCGCTCGTGCCGTTCAGGCACAATATCCGCCCTGTTTTCTCCCGGCCAGGAATTGTGGCACAAGGAGGGCCGCAAAATGGGACTTCTGCCCACGCTCTCCACCTTAATCTAGCGACTTATTCTAGAACGAGATGCGCGCCGATGGGGTGAGCTCTCCTCCGGTCTGCGGCGAGCGTAGACTTGAACGGGGAGTGGGCGTGGGGTCAGAGACACCCCTCCCCCAGCGCTCGCCAAACCTCTTTCACGCTTGTTCCCGTAGGTGTCACTATATAAACGAGTCCGTCGTCCGCCTCTTCCCCACATGGGGGAAGGGGAGATGGGTTCCCTTTCTGCGTGAATGACCGTACTCATCTTGAAGTTGCGCATACACCTGTCTCCCCTTGAGCGGAATCAAACGCGCAGTCGCGATGTCCTTCACTTCTGTTAAGTTGGTCCTTGCGGCCCTGTCCCTCGTGCAACATGTTGTCGCCGCGCCTACTCGCGCCGATGCCGCCGTCATCGTCAAGCGACAAGCTGAGCTCCGAGACGAGTACGACTTTATTGTCGCTGGCGCCGGCACCGCCGGTTTGACCGTAGCCGATCGCCTCAGCGAGGGCGGCCAGTGTAAGTCTACCTATCAAGACCCCATCGAGGTTGTGGGGAGATCCCCAGGGAAAGAAAAAAAGAACGAGCGTGTCGTTAGCCTAATAAGAAATTTATTCTGATTTTTCTTTCCTTTTTTTCTGCATGCCCACAGATACCGTCCTTGTCGTGGAGTATGGCTACCTAGATGGGTCTCACTCCATTACCGCGACTGGCCCGGATGCGCAGCAAGCCGGAGCCATCGACTACCCCAGCGGCACCCGCATGTACAACATCACCTCGCAGCCCCTAGTCCACACCTCGGGCCGCGGCGCCCCGTGGCCTGCGGAAGCGTCGTCGGAGGTAGCTCCGCCGTCAACGGCATGTTCTTCGACCGTGGCAGCGCCGACGATTACGATGCCTGGGTACGCTGCGCCGGCGACGAGGCCGACGAGTACGCCCGCGAGTGGGGTTGGGACAACATCTACCCCTTCTTCCAGAAGAGCGTCACCTTCCACCCTCCGAGCGAGAAGATGCAGGAGGAGTACGGAATGACCTACGACATGGCCGCGTACGGCGGTGATACTCCCATTCACTCGAGCTACGCTCCGTTCCAGTGGCCTACGACTGGTAAGTGATATATAATCCATGGGGAAGACGGTGAAGAGAAGGACACCAAAGAGCCCCCCGCCCCTCTAGCCGTTTTTCCTTTTCCCTTTTCTTTTTCCTACCACCTTCGCTCACACTTACGATTTTTCGCAGTCGGCATCTGGAAGGCCTGGGAGACCATTGAGGGCGTCGAGTTCCCCAAGGAGCACGCCGACGGCAATGCCACCGGCGTCTTCTGGTGCCCCAACTCCATCGACCCTCGGACCGCACCCGCTCGTACGCGCGCCGCGGCCACTACAGCAACGCCGCTAACAAGCGCGCCAACTTCCACCTCCTGCCCGCCCACCGCGTGACCAAGGTCGGGCTCGAGGAGGTCGAGGGCGATGACGCCCACTCCCACCGCGCCACCGGCGTCTACATTGCCCCGCGCGACGGCGACCTGTGGAAGTCGGGCCCCGTCTTCATCAAGGCGAAGAGGGAGGTTGTCGTGTCCTCCGGCGCCGTCCACACCCCGCAGGTCCTGCAGCGAAGCGGCATCGGTCACCGAGAGGTTCTCGAGGCTGCCGGCGTCGAGGTCAAGGTAGAGCTTCCTGGCGTCGGCTTCAACCTCCAGGATCACTCTCACTACTCCATCTCTTTCAACTGTAAGTCAGAAACGGGAAAAAACTAAAGAAAGTAACGTTTCGGTGTTTGCTAATCAGCGCTCGGAATCCATAGTCACCACGAACCTAACCCCTAACCCTAACGATCTCGGCACCGACGCCGAATTCACCCAGCAGGCGCTCGAGCAATGGCGCGAGGACAAGTCGGGCCCGCACTCCGCCAACGTCAACGCCGGTGCCTTCCTCCCGCTCTCGTTCGTGTCGGACCGCTCGGCCGAGATCCTCGACGCCTGGCTCGCCCAGGACGCCGCCGAGTTCCTGCCCGAGAACACGCACCCGACCGTGATCGCGGGCTACGAGCAGCAGCGCAAGGTCCAGGCCGAGATGTTTGACGCCAAGAACTCGGCCGAGCTCGAGTGGCTCTTTTCCGGGCGCTCCTCGTTCAGCATCATCACCATCAAGATCACCTCGCGCGGCACCATCCTCCTGAGCCCCGAGGACGACGGAGACGCGCAGGGCCACGTGGAGCCCGTCGTGGATTGGCGCACGTGGAGCAACCCCATCGACGCCGAGATGAACGTCGAGTGGCTCAAGTTTGCCCGCTGGTTCATGCAGAGCGACGCCATGCAGGACACCTTTGGGCCCGTCGAGATCTCCCCGGCGCCGCCGTCGAGACCGACGAGGATATTCGCGCGTGGATACAGACCCGCATCAGCCCTAGCAACGGTCATCTCATCGGCACCGCTGCCCTCGGCCCCAAGAGCCTCGGTGGCGTTGTCGGCCCCGACCTCTTGGTGCACGGCGTCCTGGGCCTCAGCGTCGCGGACAACTCCATCATGACTACGATTGTTGGAGCGCATACAAGCTCTTCGGCCTATGCTATTGGCGAGAAGGTAAGCTGGCAAATTATTTGTTCTTTTTCTTCTTCTGCTTTCCCGTCTGCCATTTTCTAGTTCCCCTCCTCTTCCCTTGTTATACTAGCGCTAACGTGTTTGTTCTCAGGCTGCCGATACCATCCTCCGTAGGGCCAAGAAGAACGGTGACGCCCCTGAGGAAACTCCCGTCGAGGAAACCCCGTTGAGGAGGCCCCCGAGGAGGAGGAGGATGCCTGTGTTGAAGAGCCTGAGGAGACCCCGTTGAAGAGACTCCTGTCGAGGAGGAGCCCGTTGAGGAGGAGCCCGTCGAAGAGGAGCCTGTCGAGGAAGAGCCCGTCGAAGAGGAACCCGTCGAAGAGGAACCTGTCGAGGAAGAGCCCGTCGAAGAGGAGCCTGTCGAGGAAGCACCTGTTGAGGAAGAACCCGTCGAAGATGACACCGAGAAGCCCGCTCCTCCTCCCAAGGATGAGCCGTAAACCTCTCAAAGGGTTTCTCTTTCATTCTTTGTTATCAAAAGGCAAGAGGTGGAGGAGACGCATCCGCTCCTCCCTCTCGCTGAGAGGGGGATCTGCAAAAGGCCCTTCGTTCCCTGTTCCCTACCTCTTGTTGTCACTTTTTTCAGTGTAAATATTTCGCATTCTATAACAATTTCAATCCTATTCCGAAGACGTCCAAAACCGGAAAACTAGCGTCCACTCTTCGAAGCCAAGATGCCAAGGAAATAGGCTTATACAGCGGGTGAGGTTATGTTTCCTCTGGTTTCAGATCCCAAAGGCCTAGGCTCTTTCATCAGCCTCTGTCAGCTGAATGGAGTCGACGCGTTTGCCTCCAATTTCGTCCCATGTTGATGAACCTGCGCAACATTTCTTCCTCGTAGATAAGGGAATCCGTCATGATTCGCCCAAAATAAAGTTTTTGGCTGTCTGCTACGCATAAGGAGAGGGCTCAGAATTTAGAAATGGTCGAAACAAACGACGGCGATCATACGGTCCAGGCTGTGCAGTTGTAGCTCACGCTATCTGGGATTTTAAAGGAGAGAAGAACAAAAGGGATCCCGCGCGATCGCCCCCTCGTTCCGTCATTCTTTTTATTGAAATTCTCCGTGACATGTATAAATAAACACCTTTTTGTTTGGTCGAAGCCTCACTCTGGTCGAAAAAGAAAGCCGGCGATGACGGCCGGTGCTGGACCTGAGACGCTGCGGTGGATCGCTCGGCATACAAGAGTGCCGGCACTGGACGGAGGACCAAATGGCTGACGAGGCCTCTCTGGCTTACACGGCGGGAGGAAAGGAACTGATCTGAGTGATGTGCTGTATTCAGCACCTGGTTATCCTGGTCTATTGTTGCCTTCCCCTTTCTCATTCTTTGGGAATCCTGTTTAACCAAAGGCTCCCTGCCCTGCCTTCATCCTCTTCTCTCTAAAGACAATCTATTTGCGTTTTTTGTTGTTGATTTCCGACTCTTACACTCTTTTAGCTCTGACCGTGCTCCTTGATCCTCTGGAAGGGCTTACCATTCCGCCTCTTGTCTTCAACTTCCTAACAACACATAGCATGTACTAATCTTCGTCCTGATACCCTGGAGAGCATCTAGTTTACAGCAGAGTCAAGAAGCAGCGAGCATGGCAAAACCGCTCATGTGGGTGGCCCTGGCGGCACATCTAATCACACCGGCGCTCTCTGGGTGTGCATACGGAACGGCGATAGAACCAAGAGTAGAAGGGTCCGTCCCGGTCAACACATTTGGGTACATTGGGCTCGCTGTAAGCCTCCCTTCCTACCCCTTTCTATCCCCGGCCTGCTTCTGTACCCAAGTTCTCCTTCCCAGTATACTACGAAGCCTATCAACTCGCAGCGGACGTTGAACGGTGGCCACTTGGCCTCCGGACTTCCGTTGCCCTCCCCCGCCTAAATAAGAAACCCTTCTTTTAACAACGCGAACGCGAGAGAATAGGGCCCGATCAACTGGGTCGGACTAGACCCCGAAGCCAACGCCCTCTGCGGCATCGGCACCCGGCAATCACCCATCGGCCTCCCGAGCCCAGGCGTGTCCGCGCTCCAGGCCACCTCGGTCACGCTCTCCATCCCGGACCTACCCAACGGGGCGCCGCTCGAGAACCTCGGCACGACGGTGGAGGTGGCGGCCTCGGAGGCCGGGGGCACGCTCGAGGTCGGGGCTGACTCACCGCTGGGGGCGCTCGCGGGGTTCCGGCTGGAGCAGCTCCACTTCCACCTGCCCTCGGAGCACCTGGACAACGGCACGAGCCGGGCCATGGAGATGCACATGGTGTTCGAGGGCGAGGGCGGCCAGGTGGCGGTGGTGGCGGCTTTCGTCGACGCGGACGGGCCGGGCCCGGTGCTGGAGGATGTGTTTAGCGTGGTGGGTGACGTGGCTGCGCCGGGGAGCGTGGTGACGACGCCGGGCCTGGCTCTGTCGGAGCTGGCGAGGGTGCTCTCTGCGGGGCAGTTCCAAACGTAAGGCTTTTTGGTCATCTTTTTTTGGTTCTCTTTTTTCTTATTTTGCCTTGGTCCCTTTCTTTTCTTCAATCCTTCCCGTCTCGCCCCTGTTCGCTGTCTACCGGTGTTCCCCCACTCAGCCACTCTCATGTATGGTACGCACACACAAATGCACACACACACACACAAATGCACACACACACACACACACATATACATACATGCAGATGGGTCTGGAAGGGGAAAAGCAATACTGGTAGACACCACTAGACTACACGGGCGCAGAGTTGACATGTGTCACAATGTGCGGGGAGAGTGTGGAGGCCGGCAGGCAACTTGAGAGGCGAAAAGAGAGGAGATCACACAGGCAGGCAGGCGGACGTAAACTAGAAGAGAAAAGGCAAGAAGTGATTGAGAGCTGACATGCGTGTCCCACCGGTCTAGGTACTCGGGATCTCTCACCACGCCTCCCTGTACGGAGGGAGTGACCTGGCTCGTCTCGACCGAAACACTCAGCATCAGCCGCGAAGGCTTTGAGCGTGCGCGGGACGTCATCGGATTCAACGCACGGTTCCCGCAGAATACTCTCGGCGAGCCCAACATCTTGCAGGTGGCGTCCCAGGCGGGCGTGCCGCCAGAAGGGGAAGTCGTTGGAGAAGCGACGGCCTCCGACACGGAGGACGCAGAGCGCATGGCAAGCATAGCAGCCCTGGCGGCAGTGATGGCGACGTGGGTGCCAATCCCCATCCCGCCGTGAGCCCCCGTGGCGGGTCGCATTGTGAGCGGGGAAAATAAGAAAAGAGGGAGGAATAATAGAAGGGGACTTGAAGAGAGAAGAGGAATGCAAGTTCTAAGTGGGGGGCGTGGGTGTCTATTGTTCCCACATGCACCAGCGAGGACGGTTTGGCGTCGAGCCGGGCATTTGACTTGAAGAATTGCACTACTTTAGGATCATTGATGGGAGGGCCTTGTTGAGAAGACGAGAAAGAGAAAATAACAACAAAAGACTGAGTTCTTGAGAAAACATTGAACTACAAGTGGGTTGAGGGAAGGGGGACGCGAGCCGGGATCGCAGGATTGAGTTAACCTCTCCTCGAGAAGGGTGTAAGACTACTTACTTGCACTTATTTCATGTTGTCTAATACATCTAGCATTCCTCTCCACTGTCCTCCATTGTCCTCCACTTCTTTAGAAATTATCTCCGAGTTATCCCTTATTACGCGCCCTTCCGCCGTGAAGAAGTGAGAGAGGTAGGTGTAGATCACTTAACATTTTTACTACTTCGTACAAGTAATAATACAACAAGCAGACAAAAAATCGAGCGAGGAGCGGGACCCTTGCTCGGCCGAGATGGCGCGATGCGGGATGGGGGTGAGAACAAAAGTGCGACGTGAAGTTTTCCCCCTGTCCAAGATTAGATGCGATTGATAAGGAAAACGTCTCGTGGCCAGGGCCTCTCCATACAAGTAATATACCCCATGAACCGGTGTATGTGTGTGCATATAATTTGGGATGGGAGGGACAGGGGGTGATGGAACACAATAAAGCTACTTGGGAGATAGCAAGAGTAGTACACAACGGCTTGAAATTCGAAAGAGATGACAGACAACGAACACCCATTTTGTTTTCCTACGTCCATCGTTGACGATTGAGGAATAGTGGATTTGGGCCGGCACTTGTAAAGAACCATTGAATCTATTGGATCCATCGATGCCATCACATTTCAGCCAGACCCTGAGCTTCAGATGGGTCAAGCGCTTGCATCAAGTTTATGGCGAGCATACGAGTTAGCTGCGATGATATGATGCTGGGCGGACTCACTCTCTTTCCCTTGTCTCCCTATCCTTTCTCTCGCTCTCTTGTTCCTTCCCCATTCTTTCTACCTTTAATTGTGCCGTGGTATATTGCTCGTGTATATGTATGCGGTGGCACAATGGCGTAAAGAATCAGACGCAGCCCCGCGTACGGTTTCCGCGTTGGTTCATTCAATGGATCCGGATGTGTGGCCTAATAAAGGAACAAGAAGCGCGAGGAAAATTAGAACGGATAGAGCCTTGGTATGGACGGTTGGGCTCGCTTTCTTGTCGTCCACATGTCAGCAGATGAGCTTCGCCTTGGATCAATTGATAGTGGCATGGGCTTGGCTAACGAGATTCGGAGTGTCCCACTCCCCATCAATGAGCCTTCACAGCATTGTGGGCGACAATACCCTGAGAGCCTATACCAATGTACATTGATGGTGTACTTTGTGCTTTTATTCTTGAGGTTAACCATTGGGGTTTTCAGGCTCTGTTGTTCGAGGGCTTCAACCTTCCATCCTCCAGGGCTTAGGCTGTAGCAACCCTAGACGACCAGACGTCAAGCCAACGTCGGTTCGTCAAGGTCAAGAGACCCACGACCGCAAATGCCTCGATGGAGCCCAAGACCATTTTTGAAACAACGCTACAAGTACATAGACGATTGTGCGCTGTTTGAAGAGGGGACCGCGGAGGAGACGGCGATGGAAAGGCTGGGAGAAAGTAATACTGCCTGCCGGACGGAAAGAATTGAAAGATCACGAGCGTCTGATTTTTTTCCTTCGCCAACGGCAGACTCAGCCTGGCCGGCACTATCGTACACTAACAAGTTCATGGTTGGGCTGATCGGGGACGGCGACGGAGACGGCGACGAGATGGTCACCAACGAGATGGTCACATCCTCGACCTCCCCGATAATGGAATATGCACCGAGCAGGGGTGAACCTACTGTTTTTGGGCTGGCGCCTGCGGCCGACTCGATTAGATCCCTGGAAATCCCTACCTCTCTCGTCTTGCCTTGTAATCCCTTCTTCAGGCTCGCTGCATTGTTGATCCCATTGAACGCAGCGCTGGTCTCGTTATTGATCAATTGCTGGCTCTGGCTCTTCTTGGTCACCATCGCTAACTAAATTGTCCATGAATACTCCTCGGACTATAGAACAAAAACGGTACGGGGAAGAAATGGATTGGGGGACAATGAAAAAAAAAAAAAACAGCCGGAAGAACGTTCCAAGGACAAGAAGGTTGAACTAAAACGGCCGGCAACATTGATCCATTCTATCTATGCCCCACTACTCGCAGATGCTCAGAACCACGCTCCACGCTCCACGCTACACCGCTCACTCAACTCTTTCCCACCATCAGTTGGAGTTTGGTTACTCTGGAGCGTGTACAAAGTACCTGGGTTGGGGTGCGGTACCTCGGTCTCGTCCTGGTCTCGCTGGTTCAACCCGCTTGATCACGGCTTTCGGTGTGCATCCACCATTGAATTGACCTCTGCGACTCGCTCCATGCCATTGCGGGGCCCTGTTCCCGTTTGGCGAATGGCCTCCCTTCTCGTTCTCCTAGTTGGAGAGATGGAGAGAGGTCCAACCCTCTTTTGCCCAACCAGCGAGGGTTTTTCTTTCCCGTACTGTGCTCAACGTGGTGATGGTGTACAGAGACTTGCCTCCCCACCGTCATCTGAGACTGGCATAGTCTGCCTTAGCCTCCCCTCGTACAACTACCTTTACCCACTATGACTCGCCGTCCGAGGTACTGTAAGATCGCCCCCTTGTTCCTCACATCCAGTTCGACTTGCCATCAAGACCCCGGTTACTGTCCCTTGCCTGTGCACCAAAACCCGCCTGGGGCAGCACAGCACAGGCGGAGGCTGCGACTTCGGTGGTTAACGGGTGAGTCGAATTTTTTTCTCTCTCGCAGAAGTTTCCCTCTCCCAACTCTCCACCAGTTTCTCCTCCCTCGCCCGGCAAACCCCCTGCCCCTCCCCACATACACCACCCCCAAACCTCAATGATTCACACCTTGGAAAAATAAATCTTTACAGCTTCTGGCAACACAGAAAAGGCCTTGCCTCGTCCCCTTGGTCTCCCCTTCCGCCCCCGGTTAGCCAGAGCTCTCCTCGACGACGTCTTCCCCCTCTCTATCCCTCCCTCGCGCTCTCTCTCTTTCTCTCTCTCTCTCTCTTTGCATTTACGTCGTAGTCTCTTCGTTGTTTGTGCCCTCGTGCTAGAGAGAAATCTAGAGCCATGTTGTCCGCCCGCCAAGCGGCCGTCAGGGCCTCCTCGTCCTTGACCTCCCGTGCAGCAGTCTTCACCCGGGCCACCCTGCTCCAAAAGCACGCCCTCCGACCGCTCTCGACCTCGGTGAGCCGAGACCGTGCTGCCACGATACCGAACCCAAACCAGACCCTGAGGGATATCGTCGTCCAGACCGTCAAGAACATTGGCTCTCACCGCGAGGGCCAGCAGTACCTCAAGTACTTTACCTCGGTCTCTTCCGAGTCCTTCGCCATCATCAAGGCCGGTGGTGCTATTCTCACCGAACACCTCGACGATTTTTGCCAGTCCCTCCTGGTATTGCACCAGCTCGGTCTCTACCCCGTCGTCGTCCACGGAGCCGGCCCTCAGCTCAACAAGCTCCTCGAGGATGCCGGCGTCGAGCCCCAGTTCGAGGAGGGCATCCGCGTCACCGACAAGAAGACCCTCTCCGTCGCTATGAAGCTCTTCTACGAGGAGAGCGTTAGGCTTTCCGAGGCCCTCAACAGGTATGGCGTGTCCAACATGCCCATCACCTACTCCTCACCGCCGACTACCTTGACCGCGACCGCTGGGGTTACGTCGGCGACGTCACCGGCGTCAACCTCAACCCCATTGAGAAGGCCATCAAGGCTGGCTACATCCCCATTGTTCCCTCCCTCGCCTTGACCAAGGAGGGCCAGGTCCTCAATGTCAACGCCGACGTTACCGCCGCCAGCTTGGCTCAAGCCATGAAGCCCCTCAAGATCATCTACCTGTCCGAGAAGGGTGGCCTCTTCCGTGGCGACAGCGGGGAGCTCATCAGCGAGATCTTCCTCGACCAGGAGTACGACGAGCTCATGGCCCAGCCCTGGTGCCAGAGGGGCACCCGCCTAAAGATCAAGGAGGGCAAGAAGCTCCTCGATACCCTCCCCAGGACTTCCAGCATCGCCATCATCCACCCCGACGACCTCCAGACCGAACTCTTCACCATTTCCGGTGCCGGTACCCTCATCCGCCGTGGTGAAAAGGTCGAAGTTGCTTCTTCCCTCAGCGAGATCTCTGATCTCCAAAAGTTCAAGGATGCCCTTGCCCGTGGCCAGACCTCCGATACCGAGGCTGTCCGCAACGTGGAAGAGTACCTCGAGATGCTCAAGGACCGCCCCTTCAAGGCCTACTTTGACGATGCCATGAGCTGCCTTGCCATTGTCCTCCAGCCCACCGAGAGCCGCCCCTTCTCCTCCTGGGTTACCCTTTCCATCACCAAGCCCGGCTGGTTGACCAACACCGCCGAGAACGTTTTCCAGGCCATCGAGAAGGAGAACTCGGACCTCGTATGGGCCGTCAGCAAGGATGACGAGAATCTCTCCTGGTTCTTTGAGCGATCCGACGGCAGCTTCTGCGTCGACGGCGCCGTTCTTTTCTGGCGCGGCTTCAGGCTCGAGAAGTACTCGGAGCTCGGCCCCATCCTGGACGAGGTCAAGGCCTCTGGCTTCATCAGCCTCGGCGAGCCTAGCTCCGGCGAGCCCGTTGCTCCCTCCACAACCGCCTCCTCCCGCAAGCCCTCGTCCCGCCCCCAGCAGGCCCGTGCCTTCTCCACCTCTGCTCGCCCGAGTGTCCGCACTTCTCAGCAGCGCGCCGCCCCTGCCCAGGCCCGAACCTTCGTCACCGAGACCAACCCCAACCCCCTCGGCAAGAAGAATGCCTCCGCCGATAGGCCCGCCCGCGTCGCCCTCATCGGTGCCCGTGGCTACACCGGCCAGGCGCTCATCGACCTCATCAACTCCCATCCTTACCTCGACCTCACCCACGTCTCCTCCCGTGAGCTCGCCGGACAAACGCTCAAGGGCTACGAGAAGCGCGAGGTCGTCTACGAGAACCTGAGCCCCGAAGACGTCCGAGATCTCGAGAAGAGCGGTGAGGTGGATTGCTGGGTCATGGCCCTGCCCAACGGCGTATGCCAGCCCTTCGTCGAGGCCATCTACGACGCCCGCAAGGCCTCCAACCACAAGAGCGTCATTGTCGATCTTTCCGCCGACTACCGCTTCGACAAGTCGTGGACTTATGGCCTCCCCGAGCTCACCCGGCGCGTCGACATCCAGCACTCGCATCAGGTTTCCAACCCCGGCTGCTACGCTACCGCCGCGCAGCTCGGAATTGCCCCCTCGTCGAGCATCTCGGCGGACAGCCCACCGTCTTTGGTATTTCCGGCTACTCGGGCGCTGGCACCAAGCCCTCGCCCAAGAACGACGTCGAGCTCCTCGCCGATAACGTCATGCCCTACAGCTTGACTGACCACATCCACGAGCGCGAGATTGGTAACCACCTTGGCGCCCCCGTTGCCTTCATGCCCCACGTCGCCTCTTGGTTCCGCGGCATCCAAACCACCATCAACATCCCCCTCAACAAGACCATGACTTCTCGAGACATCCGCCAGATCTACCAGGATCGTTATGCCGGCGAGAAGCTTGTCAAGGTCATTGGCGAGGCCCCCAGGTCAAGGCCATCATGAACCGACACGGCGTCGAGATTGGCGGTTTCGCCGTCCACAGCAGCGGAAAGAGGGTTGTTGTCTGCTCGACCATTGACAACTTGCTGAAGGGTGCCGCCACTCAATGCTTGCGTAAGTTGCCTTGGGATATTCCTTCTTTCGTACTATTCTATCTGATCATCAACTAATCTTTTGCCTTGGAATAGAAAACATGAACCTCGCTCTCGGTTTCGCAGAGTACGAGGGTATTCCCGTCATGTAAACGTCGTGCCCGCACAGCATCGGCAGATCAAGGGGAAGGGAGGAAGGAGAGGGGGCAGGTCACATCGAACAGACTCATTCCTCAGATGAAGCTTCTGGCCCACCTCCCCTCGGAAGGGGAAAAAAAAAGAATCAAGCGGGTCAATTGAAGCATGGTGCAGCTAGAGGGCGTTTCTATCGGCCAGCAACGGACCGTGCGATGATCTTTTGTTCGGGGAGGGTGCAGATCCACTAGATTGTCTGTCCCCCTCCTCCTTCGCCTTTTCATAGCCCCCTCCCCTTTGTTCCTGGTCGGCCGGTTCATTCCCGGTCTCTATTCCTATCTAGCTGCTCTTTTTATTTTTGGCGTTTAAAGGTGGAGAGAAAGGGCTCCGCAGGCTGTAGCTTTTCCATAGTATGTCTGTCTGCTTTCTCGTTTATGTATATAAGCAAAACAAAGAATTTCCTGCCAACATCCATCTGATGGCTTTTCCTTTTCTGTCTAACAGGTGTATGCAAAAACAATGAAAAAGAATCTCACACAAGCTAGCATTTGGTCAAGGGTTCGGATAGAATAGTTCCAGCAGCAGGACGGCACCACGCTCTTCTTATAACTATGTACTCTGCTAATTAAGTCCATCCCTACTCCCTTGGCAAACTCATTAGGGGTAGAGAGCTACACCATGTCCTTAGGAGGGCGCGGGCGCTACTGACCCGATCAAGCAAGATATGTGCAAACAAAAGACATAATGGAAAGGGGAGGCACAAGGGCCCGTTCCTCCCCCTCCCGTAGAACGCTGCAACCTCCCACCCACCTCGAGAACTTCCCACCTATGCCTCTGACCAAATATACAGATTCCACGGTGGCCATGGCGAGGAGGAACAAGAGGAAGAGAACCAAACATGAAAGAAAGAGAGGGACAAGAGCAACGAGGTAGAGAAAACAGCAAGTACCAAAGTTGTTGCCTCACATCTTTAGCGGGGAATGAAACGTGCCACTGCAATAGAAGCCACCAGCCACGAAGGATCAAGGGACTTGAGAGAGAGAGAAAAACACGAAACCAAGCAAGCGTGTTGTACCATTTCCGTGCTCCATGAGTAAAATAAAAAACAAAAGCGCATAGTAAACAAAAAGTCCGAGACGCAGAAAAATCCCTTCGTGAGCGAATAACAGTGACATATCTAAAGCTTTCCTTCCCGATTCGTTGTCGTTACAATCCTTTTGGCTTCTTTGCCCCGTCGCTTCGTACCATCTCGCCGCTCTCGGCCATGTTCATTCCACGGCTAACGGGCATCTTCGATTGCTTGATGCAACGACGCGAGGCGATCGGGTTCGTCGAGGCGGATGATGCGGTACACTGTGAAAGACTGGGAATAGAACGAGAGCTCGCGAGAAGAAAATGCAGCCGGTAAAAAGACATGAGGAAGCACATCTGCTGACGTTTGCTGAATGAGACGGATGCAGATGTGAGGGTATTATGCAATTCCGCTTGCAGCGGTTACTTCTGAGATGTGACGACTGAGAGAAGAGAGGTGGAAGATTAGCCATTTGTGATTCAAGGGGCAGGGAGGGGAAAAAGGCAACAGCGAGGTGTTGGCATATATACATACCAGCTGGTACGATGATAATGACGAGGAGAATGACGATGCCGACGGCAATGCACATGCGCATCTTCATGTCCTTCCACCACATTTGCTTCCTGACACGGTTGGCGCCACGCCTGAAGCCTTGTGCTGAGACGGCTAGGTTATCGGTCTTGTCCTGGAGAGCGTCAAGGCGCTCACCACGCTGGGAGACCTTGTTGATGTTCTCACGCATCACATCGACGGTGTCGTCAATTTGCTACACAATCCGTTAGTACACTGAATAATCATCATAACTCGTTTGACTTCCTTCAAGCCGGACAGCATGACGAATGGATCAAGTTCTGGACACGCTCTGCGAGGGATGTAGCAGGCTTCACGTTGAAAGGCAATTAAGGTTCGTCCGTGTAGCTTATGGGAGGTGCTTTGTGTGACGGGGACATGGTGGCGATGACGCCAGCGATGCTGTCAAACGACTTCTCATCGGCTGCCATCGACACCAAGCCAAGGGGAGCAAAGCCACCCGTTGGCCCATGACCTCCGATGAATGGGAAGCCGCAGCATCGTGGAAGCAGGCGGCTCGTCATCCAGCAAGGTGTTGTTGTCGGGGGTTCCAAAGCTATCGTCCTTGCACATGCCAAACCAAAAGGGGTGGCACAAGTGACGGGAGCCGAAGCGCCAAAGGGGAAAAATATGAGAAGGAAGAAGAATAAAACTTACAGCTTGAAGAGCCTGCGTCCGCGCATTTCCTCCGGCCTGTTGACCCTGGCCCTGCTGGCCGGCGGGGATATAGGGATCGTAGGGAGCGTCCTGCGACGACATTGTGGTGATGTGGTGATGCGGTGGGAAAAAGGGTGGAGGTAGTAGGTGAGTGACTTTGGCGTCGCGGGATGACGAGACCCAAAGCTTTCAAATACGCAAGGCGAGTGTCGCGAAGAGGCAGATCAAGGAGACCAAAAGAGGTTCGTTCGTTTGTGTTATCGTGCGATGGACAGGATGGCGAGTTCGAGGTTAGGAGTCCAGGAATGGGGAGAAGGGGAGAAATGGGGAAAGGGAAGGAAAAAAGAGAAATTGCCGTGGTTGGTGATGACGGAGGGAAATGGGGAGATGGGGGATTTGAGACACTGGGAAAGGAACAAAGGAGGCCCCGAAACAGAATGGTTTTGGGTCTCGAAGGGCGGGTTGGCCTCAGCTCGTTGCTGGTGTCGAAGCCACCTTGGCCACCCAAGAAGAATGGAACATTTGATCAATCCCTCGCCCAGGGTACCGAGGTACCTTGCACAGTGGACCAACGACGGCCTTTGGCAGGGTCGACTGATCAACCAAACGGTTGGAACATTGCAACGTGCACCTCTTTCGGTTAATGACGAGTGCGAATTATCGGCTTGTTCACACGGCGTACAACTTAGGCGGAAGAATTGCAAATTTGGCTGGAGACCCCAGCCTTGGGTGTTTCTAGGTCTGTTTTGACAGTGTCATAGCTACCAAAACCCAACTATTACTTCGTACCCAAATCGAGGCTGTCCATCAGCTGCGAATGATGGTGATTACTCTTCTACCGAGAAGCGCTTGGAAAAGGAATGTTCAATCCCTTATCTGGACATTAAAATTCCTTGAAATACGCATCTCTCCAACCTCCTCTTGCTCTTTGTTCTCCATTCCTTGCGAGTGTGAGCAGCACACTCGCTCGCAAGAGTAGATGTTCCCTACAGTGCAACATACAGTTCGATAAATTTCCCAATCGAGGAAGTTTCCCGTGGCGGTGCATTCAAGTTGACGCATCCACACCATCAACATTATTAGAATCTCAGTGATTGGTATATGATTTCCTTCCTTGGCCACACGCCGCCACGCCATTCTTCAACCTTTTGCCCAGTCTCCGGGAGGTCCGTCTTGCTGATTAAGCACGTGACGTTTTCTCCAAGCCACTTCAAGGTTCAGGTTCCGTTGCAGCTTGGAACATGAAAGGCGTGGGCTGTAACAGATCCCGGCCATGGCTTGATGTATTAAACAGGACAAAGGAGAGCCCAGGGCAAGTCGCCGATAATTGCGTTTGGTTGCTGCGGCCTCTGGATTGCTTACTGCGTACGAGTGAGGTGAGCCTTCGGCCGACGTGGATCTCCACAACCGACAGTTTCGAGGGGCTGGGTGGGCTATTTTGCCGCCTAGGCTGAGTGACCTGACTTGCCACAGGAGACAGATGACCCAAGGCTACTGTGGTGGTCTTGTTCACTAATGCAAGCCCTCCCATTCACACTCCGAGCGCTTATTATTGTCCACACTGATCCATAAGGGTCCGCGTGAGGGCGGCAGAAATGTAGCATCCATTCCATGCAGATATGTATGGGGAAAGGGGCAAGTCAAACGGGGACCCTTGGAACTCCACCGTACATTGGGCGTCCGTAGCGCGATGTCTGCTTTTCTTTCTTTGTTCCGGCCGGGGCGTGGGGGACCGGTGGCTTCAACAATATGACGAGACCCTCTTTTCGATATTATATAGTCTCTCAGTTCCCTTCTTTTCAAGACAAGCGGGCGATGGCCGGCCGTTGCAGGGTCGCCAGCAAAGCCGCCCGGGTTAGCGACAGCCCGCAGGTGGCATGCCCCACCATCCCATGTCCATGTCCGACGAGCTGCATTCCCGCTCGCTCGGGCGTTGCAAAGCCGTTTCATCGACCCTGAGTCAGGCCTTTCCCTTGGTTCATAGGCAAAGGGGCACATAGCTCAGTCCGTCAATCAAGTATTAATCTCATCAACATATAGTATCATTCCGATAAAGCCAGTGTAGGTTGCGTGAGTTCTGAGACGCAAACGGACGAGGACGCATCCTTGGCGACACCAAGCTTGAGCCGACAATATCTGCCCAAATACCTCGCTCAAAAGCTTACTCCTTTCGTTCCCTAGGAATGCCGGGCTGGCTGGGTATGGTGGCCATGAGGCGATCAGGCTGTCGGGTTCTCAGGTTATTGAGCATCGATCTCTAAAAGGCCAAGGGCTGGTGTTGGCCGCCTCAAAAGGAACCATACCTTAGTCTGAGGGTGGGCGAGGGGAAGACAACAGGGCATCTCGCACCTCACCAAAGTGAGCAACAGGTTTTCATGAACCATGTGCCAAAGCGATGGTCGGAAACATCCTCATCATCAACAAGACTACCTCGGTACCATAGAGGGGGTAAAAGTAGGTAAAGGTGGTCTATTCGACGCACGGGGCTATCCTAAAGCAGATTTAGAGGGCAACACAAATCCAAGTTATCGAAAATTTTGATCAAACTATAAAAGATTTCAAGACAGAGAGGAATTCCCAAATTAGCTCGGGCTGCTGCTACTCCGTGGCTGGTGCCTCTTTCCAGGCCTGGCATGTTATTGAGTTCGTTCGTTCCTGACGAACGTCCGGAATCACCGATGACTAAGGAAGCAATCAGGTCGGTCCAGGGCCCGGAACCGACCGAGGGCGACGCTATTACCTCTCGCACACACACACACACACACACACACACACAATAGATGCACCTACAGAGCTCACTCCCTGACGTCAGGCTCCTCGTGTTCTGCGCCGGGCTGGCTGCCGCCCGATGGCGAAACCAAGCATGGCCGAAAAGAAGGCATCAATGACCGTAGCCCAATGAAAGGCCAATGGACAGGATAAAAATATGACAGCCACTTTGTCAGTCGTGCACCACTTTCCTGCTCAGATAGAACAGTCACGACCACAAGAAAGATGCATTTTTCGGTGTACAAAGTGCTTGGCCGGTCCACAGAAGCCTCCTCGACTCTTCCTAACTTGAACCTCCATCGACGAAGGAGGATGTGGAGGAGGGACGGAAGAGCGACAAGCAGCGGAGAGGAAACAGGGGAGATGAGAGGGGAACCAATTGTCGATCTGTTCCCTCGCCCCTGGGAGATTGGAGTAATAAAAGTAGTTCCTCGTGGACCGAGCAGCCCGCTCGCCTTTTGACGTGTGGCCCTCACCTTTTTCAAGAACTCTAGGCCAAGTTGTTGGATCCTCAGGAACACCTCGTTGGGAGCATACGTAATGGGCATTCCCCGCCAAACTTAAGCCTTTCCCACTTGCGCGTGGATATGGGGCGGAGACGAGCAACTTCTATTTTGGGGGTGGGCAGCGCATCGTTTCTCCTGATCCATTCTGATCCACTGCTGGTGTTGAGAGAACAATTGAAGGATTTCAAGGTCGAGTAATACGAAGCAACGGCAAGTGCGGCCCCACCACAGGTCCTCGACAGGCCAGGCTCTCAGACTTGGACAACCCACTGGAAAACCTGCAAAAGCGCCAGCAGGTTGATTGAAGGAATGGCTCCCGTGGGGCCATGCAAGCACTAATTGTTGGGGGCTGGGCCACCAGGCCAGGCCAGCCAGCAAGTCAATTGACCACCACGCAGTTCATCGAGTTTGACCTGCTCCATCTTCGTGTCGGCCGCAGTGTTCGCACAATGTCCACCGAAGCCTGCATTCATCCCTGTTTGAATGACCCACCAAAAGGAAGAAGAAAAAAACTGAATTGGGGAAGGAAACGATGGATTCTTCATCGTCCGATCACAGGCTTTGCTTGCCAAGCCTGATGCTGATATGGTCGTGCCGGGGTGGATGGGCGGCGACAAGTGAGGCGAGGGAAGAGTGGTAGTACGGATCTAACTCGAAGCAGAAGCAGAAAAGAACCCAAAAAAGTATTCAAGACGAAGAGGCCAAAAGAAGAAGAAGAAAAAAGAAAGAAAAAAGAGAAAAAGGTGCTTCCGCCTTCATAGGGAAACGCCCCCATCACATGGATTTCCAACCCGAACCCGGCCGGAAGAATTTAAGCACGGCCTGCTGTTTATAGTTCGCACCGGTGATCAGCGGGGCCTGGCCTGGTCCTCACATGAATGTGGGCTGGCTTCGTATTCCCCGCCATTGACGCCGGTTGGGGGAAACTGGCGAGGACCGGTCCATTTTAAAGTACCCTGTGCCCTGGAAGCCAGAGGAGGCAGTGGCACAACGTCACTGAAAGACATTGGGGCCCCGTCATCCAGCATCACCATGAGCTACATGTACCATGAGCTGCCATCCCGCACCCCGAGCTGCCGAAAGCGCGCAGGGTGCAGCAGGCCGGATCAGCAAACCCCCCTCCTCTTCTCTCTCTCTTCGATATTGATCCCCACAGTGTCTCGCAGAACCGCAGAACCGCAGAACCGCAGAACCGCAGAACCGCAGAGAGGCAGCATGGAAATCGGCAACCCGCACCGTGACGAAAAGTTTATCACACATCATTGATGATCGGAATCTGTTTTATAGGAACTAGCTGTCTTCTAGCGCCCTCGCATGCAAAGGAACATGGACAGACTTTTCTTTTCTGGGGGAAAGGGTCCGTCCGGGGCAAGAAACCGGTCGTGACCCTGACGCTCTGCTGGCAAGCAGGCCAGGACGTCAGGACGTCAGGACGGACCGGCGTCAAGTGTCTCCCGAGTGCAAGGTTCACGACTGGTTCAATGTTGCTTGTTCCTTTTCTCGTACCGCAGGCTTGGCAGAGAAGCAATTATGATCTAATGCTACCTACCACTAAAAACTGCCCGCTCTCGTACTCCGCTGGAGAGAGTGCAGTAGTGCATGCCTGCGAGTGTGCGCGTGTCTATGCGTGTGTGTGGACATGTGTGGGTGTGCGTGTGTGTGCGTGAGAGAGAGAGAGCGAGCAAAGAGAGAGCGTGTGTGTTATGTATGGATGGGTCCATCCAATGTAATGGATCTATTGTAATATGTGCATGTTGCGTGTGTTGTCCTAGCCTGGTTACACTTTTGGTCTTCATTGTCCTTAGTCCATCTATCCCGGGTTCGATCATGGATTGATCTTTTATACATTCGTTCCCCTTTTCCCTCGACCGAGACCCAGTCCTTTTCTTCTTCCTTTCTCTCTTTCCAGCTTGCCCCTTTCTTCCCTCACCTCCCTCTTTGGCACTCACTCACTCTTCACATTCTACGCTTGTTCTCGCATTCTTTCTCGAGCCCGCCCTTGCATAGATCCGTCTATCCACCCAAGTGCTCCAAGTGCTCACGTCGCTCGCCAGCGCATCGCTCACGGCTCCCCAAGTCCACCCTCCCGGCTTGGCACCATAACCGTATCGACCCCCTCTTCAACAAGCACAAGGCTCTCGCCATAGAACCATTCTTCTCGCACCGTTACCTCCTCCTACCCGGACGAGCACGGCTAGTTTTCCCTGGTGGCACCCTGCTCTCCTCCATCTTCTTTGGAAAGAAAGAGAGGCCAAAGGACGGCAAAGTGCAGCTTCTAGCCGGTGGTGTGTTGTGTGTGTGTGTGTATGTGTGTGGATAGCAAAAGTAGCGACAAGCTAGCAACGTCCACAAGCGCCGAACGACCGAGATCCCCCTCCCTCCCCCGGCAAGTCGGATGATCCTGAACCTTGAAAAACTCCCCTAGGCCACGCACGACCAGCCGATCGGAAACCCACACCCACGCCTAGCTTGACCTCATCGTCTGGGTCCCGCCTCCGCCTCTCGACTCCACATCGGTCCCTTTTATACGTCTTTTACGTCTCGAGTGTTCCCCAGTTTTCGGCTTCACTAAGAACCCACGCATCCATCCTTCTCCTACCCGGCGATCGCAACCGACGGCTTACGTCGACCAAAAAAGAAAAAAGGAATCCACCCTTAAATACCTAAGCTAGTCCGTCCTCGCCCATTGACGGTCGAGCTTCACAAACCTTTTTCGTTCCTTGTGAAAATCGTCGGGACTTGCCCATATCAAAAGAACAAAGAACCACATCACCTACTTGTTCAAAGCAAGGTTCTATTAGTCCCAAGCTCGCCCTCGCCCTGACGACCCTGTTTGGGCCCTCGTTTCTTCATCATCTTACATCAGTCTGATGCGGAGGCCATAGTGCAATGTTATATTATTAATTGCGTTTTCTTGATATTACTTTGCATCCTGGAACCTTTTTCTCCCTTGCCTTGGCACCCGAAACAAAAAATGTTTGTTTGGCGGGGTCTTGACCAACCCCACACTGCGCCGCCGGCTACGGCTACGGTTACGGCTCCGATGCGGCCACCACGAGCCTCAGTCGCCCGCGTGTGTCTCACTGCGCTGCTAGCACTGACCCCGTTAACAGCCGCCTACGACCTGGATCCCGACTCGCGAGGTAAGTTGCCCGCCCTGTCTCCCTACCCTTCTATCAATGGGGCAATCTTTTCTATTTTTTATTTTTTTCATCTTTCTTCTCTGTCATCTGTCACCTCTCCGGGCGCGAGGGCTGGGGATAATGGAAATGCTCGTTGTAAATTGGAAAAACTAATGCTAATGCCTTACCCACCTTGCAGAGTCGATCCTTGACGTCGCAAAAGACATGGCCACGGACATGATGACATTTTACACCGGAAATAAACCCGGGGCACGCCCGGCTATATTCCCCTGCCATACTACTGTAAGTTCATCTCGTGAATTATTCATCATTTCCGCCAGCACAAGTGGCCAGAACTAACGTCCATGTCGCCTTCCAGGGTGGGAAGCGGGTGCGCTCATGGGCACCCTAATCGACTACTGGTATTACACGGGAGACACCACATGGAACGAAGACACCACGGCGGGCCTCCTCTTCCAAGTCGGCGACGAAAGGACTACATGCCCCGCAACCAAACGCACACCGAAGGCAACGACGACCAGGGCTTCTGGGGCTTAGCCGTCATGACGGCCACGGAATACAACTTCCCCAACCCCCGCGGACAAGCCGCAGTGGCTCGCTCTCGCGCAGGCCGTCTTCAACACGCAGGCCGCCCGCTGGAGCACCGAGTACTGCAACGGCGGGCTACGGTGGCAGATTTTCGAGTGGAACAACGGCTTCGACTACAAAAACACCATTTCCCAGGCCTGCTTCTTCTCCCTAGGCGCCCGCCTCGCCCTCTACACGGGCAACAAGACGTACGCCGAGTGGGCCGAGAAGACGTGGGACTGGACCTCGGGCGTGGGCTACATCGACGACAAGTGGAACGTGTACGACGGCGGCTACATCAACGACAACTGCACCGAGCTGACCCCGTACCAGTGGACGTACAACATTGGCGGGTTCCTCTTGGGCGCGGCCGCCATGTACAACTACACAGAGGACGAGAAATGGAAGGACCGCATCGACGGCCTCCTCACCGGCTCGGAAAAGTTCTTCAAGGGCGACAATCGCGACATCATGACCGAGGTGGCATGCGAGTCCGTCGATAGGTGCAATATTGACCAGCAGTCCTTCAAAGCCTACTTTAGCCGATGGCTCGCCAACGTCGTCAAGTGGTACCCCGGCGCCGCCGAGAAAGTCATGCCGTGGCTGCGCGCGTCGTCCGTCGCCGCCGCCAGCCAGTGCACCGGCGGCGACAACGGTCGCATGTGCGGGCTCAAGTGGAGCAGCGGCAGCACCTGGGACGGCACGACGGGGCTGGGCCAGCAGATGGCCGCCCTCGAAGTCACCCTCGCCAACCTCATCGAGGAATCGCGCGCCCCCGTGACGGCCGACAACGGCGGTACGAGCGCCGGCGATCCCAGCGCCGGCTCGGGAGACATTGACGGCAGGCCGACATCGTGTTCAAGCCGATCACGACGGGCGATCGCGCGGGCGCCGGTATTCTCACGGCCGCCGTCCTCATCGGGCTCATCGGCGGTTGCGCCTTTGTCCTCTCAGAGGACAGCCACGAGAAACAGGTCAAGAGCCAGAGCCTCGGACCCCGCGCTCCCGGGAAATTTAGCTCGACGCTCGCGTCTCTGGGTATCGGGACCGGGGCGGCGGGATTCGTGGGCGGCTTCGGCCACGGCAAGGGAAAGGAACGGCTCGACTCCAACGAAAAAGTGGACCATGCTACACATACGAGCGTGCTTGCGTCGCCTCCCGAGATGCGCCAACTCCAAACACCGCCCCGGGCGGCAATGCCAGCCTCGGGGACGTCCTGGGCAACGGCTCCTCGGCCTTTAACGAACACCCTCCCGGAGGCTTTCCCGTAGGGTGGCCGAGGTTTGATCATGGGGAGCGCTTTTACGATGGGGTATAGTGAATATGGAAAAAGAAAGAAAGAAAAGAAAAAGAAAGGAACAAAAAGTGGGGGACAATAGAGGAAAGGAAACGGGTTGGGCTCGCATCAGGGTTTCATTTTCATCTCATGGACGGTTCCGGGCGGACGGCTGCATGGGAATGCATTCATTTTCTTGTCTTTTTCTGGTTCCCGAGGGCGTTTTACATGGGGTTCGTGGGCGGACGGTCTTGGATGATACACGGAAGTATTGTTTCCCTTTTTATGATGGGCAGGCTCCAGACAAGCTGTATGGATGTATATATGCATTGATGGGCGTTCGCGCCAGCCACGTCACGGATGGTCTGGCCAGACGAGACGCTGTTGTCTTCGAATATAGAGGAAGCCGAGAACCAGTCTCGCCTTTGTACCTAGTTGAACATTGAACATACCCTCATAGAAAGGGTTTACCTTTTTACATCATTTTTGCATCTTTAATGAAGTATGTTTCTAGGTTCACCGTGACGGACTTTGCGGGCCTGCGGGGAGGCATGCAAATAGCACAGGCGCGCTCCTAGTTCCCCTTGCAGTAGCATATTGAAAGCCCTTCGTCACGGCCGAGGGTATATCAAGTTGGCGCGCCCCCATGTGGCAACGTGGACAGTCGGCAGGCACATGTAGATGCTAGAAAGCGGCCCTCGAGGACACCATTGAAAGGAACAAGGGCGCGGAGAAAACGAGCAAATAACACCGAGGCATAGAGTTCCATGATACGTACCCGTGTTGGTATTCGTTTTCAAGAATTCTTATTATACCTGAATGCTGACTGGTTGAAATCCGAACATCGAACTATCGCGTAGTATAGGGAGCCAACTTGGGGGAACGCGGTTACCCGAACCGCGGGGCTGCCTCGACCCGCGGAGAAGAGGAGTTTGAGATAGAGTTCCTTTTATTCGCAACTGCCAGAGGAGAGTACCGAAAAAGGTAGACAAGTCGCCGATTTCCCCAACGGCTTTTTGGGGGACCTTCGTATTTCAAGCCCTTGAAAACCAATCGGTTCCAATCGAGGCTGGCCCGCATTGCATGCAACTCTGCTTCCCACAACCTTCTCCTCCATCTGACGTGAGCTTCCTGGATAGGGTAGGATGACAGCGAGAGCCAACACCGACAACCAAAAACCCCCAAAAAGCACGTAAAGAGTTGGGGCCTCTCCGTCTCAGGTATCCTATTCGATCAAAAACGATCCCTAATCGGCCCAAAGAGTTAGTTTCGGATCTTTCAAGCAGGGAGCCCTGGGTCAGGTGCATCGAAGAATGTGGTGTCTTGCTCGGAACGAGACCTTTGCGGGGTTAGTTATGCCTGGCCAAAGGGATGGGATGTGTTAATCGGGCGAGAAGGGAGATTGCAAGTCGAGTCGCTCATGAGAGGGCCGTTTCGGCCCCGAAGCGCTTCGGCGTCCATCGTGTTCTAGAGCAGGGTTGGGTTTCTAAATCTAAAGAGCGTGGGCTCGTATCCTCGCATATCTAATGGCGTTTACAAGAAGGATCCCGGCAATCCAAAACGGAAGGCGCATTGGACGGGCTCCCGGTATCTATATTCATATTCCATAGAGGGGCCAACAGGTGAATCACCATTCCTTCCTTATACTTATAGTCATCGTGCCCTACCATTTCTTTCTTGAATCTTTCTTTTCTCTCGCTGTTCACCTTTACTTCCTCGCGGCCTTCCCACCTCAGCTCAGCACCTCGTCCGATCAAGGTCTATACCATGTTCCGAGAGCTGACCTATCTCGCAGCTTCGGCGGCATTCGCCGCCTACGTTGCCGGCATCGTTGCTGAGACAGGCTATTCCTACTTCGTACACCCCAAACACCACCTCACCGCTTTCCATCCGGTCCTTACTCTTTGGGCGTTGCCCCTCGCCTTCGCCGCGCAGAGAGTCTTCCACAGGCGGTACGTCATCGCAAGAAAGGCGCGCGCGAACGGGTGCAAGCCTGCCAATGCATACCCGCAGCGAGACCACCTCCTCGGCATAGACGTGCTCCTGCGCATCTTGAGAAGCGTGGCCGAGGGCTCCATTATCCAGGAGTGGGGCCGGTGGCACGAGCAGTACGGAAACACCTTCACGACCGATGTCCTAGGGGCGACGACGTTCTTCATCAATGATCCCGAGAACATCAAGGCGGTTCTGTCCCGCGACTTTGAGAGCTTTCCAATCCAGGGCCCAAGGCTCCTCACCACCGTCATGATTGTCGGGGAACACTCGATCCTATCGTCGAACGGGAAAGCGTGGCACGATGCGAGGGCCTTGATCCGGCCTACCTTTGTGCGGAATCAAGTCTCGGACCTGGCCTGCATGGACCGCCACCTGGAGCACTTTTTGGCAAAGATTCCCGCGGATGGGTCGACCGTTGAGTTGCAGGAGCTGTTCCGAGTTCTCACAATGGACACGTCAACTGATTTTATGTGAGTGTTTTCTTCAACCCAATACAATCTTACCGTCCAAGGCTGAGTAGTAGCTAACTCACTAACGGTAGGTTCGGCCAATCGACAAATATCCTGACGCAGCCGACCCAAGAAGCCATCGACTTTAGCAAAGCTTTCGATTTTGGCACTCACGAGGCGGCAAGGATTTCACGAACCGGGGCGCTCTCGATTTGTGCCCAAGGCACAGTTTAACGCCAGCCGCAAGGTGTACACCAACTACGTCGAGCGATACATCAAGGATGCCTTGAGCAGGAAGGCAACTCCGGAGAGGAGCTACATCTTCCTCGATGAGCTAATCAAGACCGATGCTACGCAGGACCAGATCCGGGACCAGATCCTCGGCCTCATACTCGCCGGGAGAGATACTACTGCTAGTGCACTCTCCGTGTCCTTCTGGATCCTCGCCAGAAGGCCAGACCTCGTCGCCAAGATTCGGGAGGACATTGACCCCTTGAATGGGGAAAAGCCGACCTGGGAGCAGCTCAAGAACATGCGCAATCTCAACTTTTTCATCAAAGAGCGTAAGTGCGGGGAAAGGGGAACGAGACACGATAAATGCCGGGATAGAAACTAACTCGCGAATTTCCTAGTTCTCCGCTTATACCCCTCTCCCGCGGGAACCGGAAGGGCGGCAAGCCGGGACACGGTTCTCCCCGTTGGCGGAGGGCCCGACGGAAAGTCCCCTCTCTTCGTCCCCGCGGAAGTATCATAAGATGGACCATGTATAGTTTACATCGGCGCAAAGACATCTTTGGTGAGGACGCGGAGGAGTTCCGTCCCGAACGGTGGGAAAATCTGCGCACCTCGTAAGTGTAGCCTCGACCTACGGAGTGAATGCGAGGAGGCCTCGGAGAGTGTCCGCTCCCTTGCCGCCTGGTTCTGATATCTAATCTGTTGCTGTTTCTAGATGGGAGTGGATCCCCTTTTCTGGCGGCCCACGGATCTGCATCGGCCAACAATTCGCCCTGACGCAACTATCCTATACCATTGTCAAGATCCTTCAACGATTCGACACGATCGAGCCTAGATCCGACGAACCTTTGAAGCTTAACTATGGAGTAACCTCAACCATCGAAGGCGGATGCCATGTCGCTTTCACACCATCGTAAATCCATATGATCTCTGCTTGGCTTTTTCTTCTCTTTGTTTGTTTTCCCCATTGCCGGTTTTACATCTTCTTTAGGAGGCGCCATCATTGGGAGCGACGAGTTACGACAACTGAAAGGGGTTTTAGATCTCATAGAAGGGCGTTGATACAGAGGAAAAGATAGTGAGGATATTAAAACAACTCTCAAAAGAAGAGCCTCTTTTTCTTTCGCTTCTTTCTTTTCGTTAGCCGTCATGTTCCACGGGCACAGGGCCAGTTCCGTGTCCCCCATCGTGACCTTCCGAGACTAACATATTGTGGAAGGCAGGTGGCAGTGGTTGGGTGTGTCGCCGGCAATCACCCCGGGCACCCAAAGCAAATATATGACAAGCGCAAGTATACTAGGGTTACACATATTTGTGCCTAGGCAACACCTGACCTACCAGTGCTCTGTTATATTCCCGGACATTGCTTGGGGCTGGTGAAAAGCGGTACATATAGTCTGTGCAACGAATCTGTGATACCCATATTCAATGAGGGTTTAAGACAGACAAACCATCGAGTTGATATTATCTCAAGTCCATCGATTCTTTTTCAGATCCTCGGGGAGTAATGTGAGAGGTGAGAGAGTGGGTTGCCCAAAGGTCGCAGCTTATGGGAAACACAGGTTGCTCTGTATAGACCTTGGCCGCATAGATCTTGAAAGACGACTGCTTTTTCAGATGCTGCAGATGGCACTCATGCGGGCGCTTGCATATTGTTCCCGATGCAGGAATCCAGAGCCACCACTTAAGTGGTGCCGTCTCGCGGGCCCGAGACCTCGTAGGACGAGGAAACTAAAAGATGGACGAGTGATTGTTACCATTGTGCTTTCTTCCCTGGTATGTTGTAGCTTGAGACAAGCAGGTTTGGCAACTTTGCGTAAGGGAGCTCGTCTCGGGGGGAGAAGAGGAACACGGGACGGGGTTTGGGATTTTCTCTGGGAGTTTTCTCCTCTTTTCATCATCTTCTCCCTATCCATGAAAGGATGACTAGAGTCTCATCATGAAAGTTGTGTCTCGTAGCTGGCCGCGAGACGCAAGCGTCTCGCCTTATCACAGGAGTCTGCAAAGTAGGAGGTTCTATCGTGAGCATGGTATAAAACGTCCTCGTGATTAACGGTAGATGCAAAGGAGGACCTGAGCCCCCTAGTCTCCCCAATTCCGGGTACCTGTTCCCTGTTCATTGTTTACGCCGGGTGAGGCGCTCAGCAGTGAGGGTGCTACCGCACACATGTATCGGAGAGCTTCTTTTACTCATTTTCTCTGTCTTTTGGATGAGGGTTTACCCCTTCCCCTGGTCCCGAAACCAGCGGCAATTTGAATGCATGTCTCGACTTTTGCCCGAGTCAAGGCTGGCACGAGGGAGAAGGTGAAAAGTATATGGGGGACTAGCGGTAGGTGTCCCACCGACCCGAAAAGCCGTCGAAATGCTTGATGTCGACAGGCACAGAGGAAGATGGACCCGTGACTCTTCATAACCATTAATGCAGAATCTCAAAGTGACCCTGTCGTCCTGTAGAGATCCGGTCAGTGGTGAGCGAGGCCCAGAAGGGGCAAGGACTCGGGAGCCTGCCGACAAACTTGCCTCGAAGCTGTGCAAGTTCTAGCTTCGGCTGTCGGGGATGTCGGCGCCGATCACGGGCGGTAACCGAAGGCTGGGAAACTCTACCATGTTTGCCACTGGTGGGAAATGGTGATTGCGGCGTCACCTTGTCCGTCACGGGATTCTCCCTTCGCTCTGTAGTTCCCACGAGCTTGCGGAGCGGCTCCTCGAGCCCATTGGATAGGTCCCCGCCCCATATCGCTTCTTCTTCATTCACCCACATATATCAGGCGAGAAGACCATCTTTTCCCTCTTCTCTTCCCTCTTTCACCAAGCCCAATCGTTCTGAGCTCGGCCTCCTCACCTTTCCACAAGAGAGTCCAAGATTTGCCTTCTCACGCCTCAGCTAATCTCATTCATTCAAGAGCCACCTACGCCCGCCATTTCTGCGTACTCATCGCCAACAACACCTACACCTCCTTTTATAGCCGGCTTCAACAAAAATCATGATCTTACCGCCGCGCGAGAGCCTCCCGGAACCAAGTCGGGGGCGGTGCCGGCGGCGGAGGCAGCCAGGTCCACATGTCCCCCAACACGGACTTTGCGGGATCCGGGCGCGACAAAATGGGTCCTAGGGAGATTGGCATCATCGTTAGCTCCATCGTCATCTTCCTCTCGCTTATCGGCGGCATCCTGCTGCTCAAAGCAAGGGTCAGAAGGCGTCGGGCCCTGGCGGCTGCAAGAATGGCCGTAGAGCTTAGGTCGCAGGCGATCGCCTCCCAAAGCACGAGCACAGTTGGGCTGGATGTCAAGGGAGGGGCGAGAGGCGAGGCTGAATATGATATCACCCCGGGCTTAGCTGTCCGAGGACCCTTTCCACGTGAATGGTAAGACGCTGTATCTCCTTCCTCACCGTTAGCCCGCTGTTATATATGATTAACTCCTCGTCGCAGCGGAGGCCCAATCAGGAAGCCACTGCAAGTCTGAATTTGAGGGTTTGGGGGTTCGAGAGGCGTAAATGGTAGAGCGAGACCAATCAGGAGGGGTGAGAACAAAAGCACAACAGTGAGAAAGACTGCCACAGCGGTTGAGAGACTAGAATGCCACACACGTATGTAGAAGATAGATGAACCGATACGCAAGGCCCACTGCCAACAGGGGAGACAACTTAGGGTAAAAGTCCCGCTCCGGCTGCTTGGGAGTTGAAAGGCCTTGTCTAGGGACCCAGAGACATCCACAGCCGCCGTGCGGCGGAGAAAGAGGGCCTCCACAACGTCGATTGCTGGGCTGAGATTGGGATGAGAACGGCGATAGGTGGTTCGAACCAATATATATGCCCATTGGGAGTTTTTATTCTTTACAATACATGACCAAGACCCTCTTCGTAAAAGTACACATGTTTCGTTTCGCGCTTTACCAACTCGCCTTCTTGACGCCGGGGAGGTTTCCATCGAGAGCTTGTCTCCTGAAGTTGTACTAAAAGAAGAGAGAGGGAAAAGGTTAGTACAGAGCTACTACGTGACAGACACATGGCCGCTTACCCTCGTCAGCTTAAAGTCCCTCAGAATACCTCTCGTCTTGCCTCCAAGGATACACCTGTTCCTGATCTGGGACGGCCTCGTGTAGGCGTGCATCGTTGACAGCTGGAGCTGAGCTTCGGCGCGGACTCGAGGGGGAGGGTCGTGTTGCGAATGGCGTAGCGGAGAGCTTGCCTAAGTGACGAAACAGGAGACGCAGGTTAGCCACTAAACCCTCAGGAAAAAAAGTCGACCTCAACATCGAACTGCACGCCGCATAGAGGTTCGCCTGTGGTGTTTTCCTTACCTCTCGGGCTCGAACTGCTCAAAGACCTTGCGCTTGGTGTGGTCTCGGATGATGCGCGTGTTGATGAAGCAGCCCAGATCGAGCTTCTTTGCCCGAAACATCGACATCTTTGCGAAATTGACAGGTCTTGACTTTTGGTTCTCTTCCCCGCTAGGCCTTATTCTCGTCCTTTTCGTCCGGCGATGGACGCTTTCACTCTAAAGTTGGGCCGGAGTTGGTGAGTTGAGTCGAGCCTCGTCTGCGAAAGGTCAAAGGAGCGTCAGGATTCTTGAATTGAAGCTAAAGATTTCTTCGGCATCTTCCGTCGCAGCACCGCTAATGCTTGAACAGACGCATTATTGGGTGGCCCCTTCCACGCGCTGGCCCAGTGCACGGCACGCTTTTGTATCACGTGATCCTCCAATTTCCCCATGCACAGTGGACATGTGTAGCGCGGGCGCTGCTGCGAGGCGTCGATGACCACGAATAGAGCCTCACGACAACTGAACCACAACGAGACCTTCGGGACATTGACCTGGGCTGAATACAATCATATTCTCTGACTTGAACTTTTCCTCTCGAAATTCTCCAGCAATCCTTTCTCGCTACTCCCCCACTTCTACTCCAAAACTGGTCCATGGTGGGCCTCCTCACTCTTCAAATTAATGGCTTGCTGAACATCACCGAACAAGGAATTGTCAAAAATGTTCTTGCTTTCTTATTTTGATAGGCTCGTCCCGTCATATCGGGATAGCGTAGAATACACGGTTCTCTGTTTATTTTTGCCTCGCCTTGTATTGCCCATAGACTCTCTCCGAATCCAGCGCCCTACCCTGCCCTCCTCCCCTTCCTTTCCCCACCTGAAGCTAGTAGAACATCATCCCGCATAAGAATAAATGAGAAGTGAAGGAACGATCCGAGTCAAACAAAAGGAAACAAAAGATAGGTCGAGTTGGTAGTATGGTGTAGGTGTAGGTTCGATAGGGTATATGTGTTGAATAAATCATGGTAAGATCGGGACGCAAGAAAAGGAAGAGACAAGAGCTCTGAGCACATGTAGAAAAAAACACATTAAGTAGTGGGTTGTGTTGGTGGTGAAGCTGTGAAATATGTGAAGGAAACCGCCGAGGTCTGTTGCTCATGGAGCTGAATGTATAATGTCGTAAGTAAAACAGGTCGAGGAAGGGTAAGAAACCACACGGCCCTCCCGCGAAAAGAAGAAGAAGCAAGGGCCGCCGCAACGAAAAGAATATGACGGCCGACAAGAAAGAAAAGATGAAAAGGAATGCGAGATAGAGATGAGGATACTCTTGATCAAAGAAAGATGCTGGACTGGTTCCGTTTAATTGTTGAGTTGCTGACTCCGTTGGCTCCGTAATGAATTAGGCCCTTGGAAGCTAGCATACGCTGGCTTCACATTCTCCATTTCCATAGCATTGGTCGCGTCCTTGCGAGCCTTCCGACCCCTGTGCTCGCTCAGTCGTTGGTCGCCCAAGGCGTACTTGCTCTTGAAACGGTAGTAAGTCGGGGGCCGAGGCCGGCAAAGGACAACGATCCAGTTCTTGAACCAATTTCTTTGGTTAAACGCCCTATAGCGCTCGGTCTTGACAAACTTGTGTGAGTTGATGTACTCCCGCGTTGTCTCGCCGCGAGCCATGAGGAAGATGTGATAGCCCATCAAGGCGAGAGGGTACATGAGGCCGACAATGCCATAGATGACCATGGCAAAGGGAACCCGGAAGTGGTCGATGGCCTGGCTGAAAGATATACTTTGCCTGTTCCGGTAGGTCAGAACCTGGACGAGACTAGCCGCCGCGAGATAGGCGCCTAGGAGCGTCGTGCTGGTGACAAAGGTGAAGAAGTAACGGTAGTTTCGACGGCCCACGCAATTGTTGAGCCACACGCAATGGTGATCCTGGGTCTCTACACAATTATCACATAACCGGCAGTGATGCGCGCGAGGTGGGCGCCAAATGTTGCAAGTACGGCAGTGCCAGACAGGAACTTCCATGGCGGCAGATGACTTATCCGTGGACCGAATCAGGTACCAATCCGTCGTGGGAGGGCCAACTCGAAGTGGATCATCATCCTCCGGGGTAGGGAAACGGTGAATATTACGAGGAAGGATCTAATAACAGAGGGTTAGCCTAGGGCGCATGGGGGAATGATGAGCTAGACATGGGGCACCAAAAAACTTACGCCAGGGTCAGTAACGGAGGCATGGATGAATGACGAAAGACAGATGTACGCCAGGTAGGCAAAGGTAATGGGAATAGCGGGCGATACTTCTTTCCACAAGTACTCGGCCGAAAACACGAAGAAGAGGACGGTAGGCGCAACGACAAGCATTCCGGTAGCGACGTTGACAGGTCGTTGTCTCGAATTCTGCCACCTCCCACCAAAGCAGAAGATGGTATTGCCCTCAAAGTACTCGAATACTTTGCCAATGCGGCTCGGTTGGGGCTGGGGTGCCTTGGCTTCGGTGGCCGCCCCGCGACGAGCAGCATCAGCGCGGGGGTGGAAGCACCCGAGGATAGCTTTTCTACGCCCTCGAGGTTTCGATGGGCGGAACTCTGGGAGGCATCGTTCATACCGGGCAGAAGAAAGCTGGAGCGGAAAGAGCGAGGGGACTTGAGAACACCGGCGATGCTAGACGACCGCTCGGCATAGCTCTTGTCCACGCTGATATTGAGGTTTTGATTCTCAAACTTCTTCTTTTGTAGAGGTCGCATGCTCTCGGATATACTTCCATGGGTAGTATGGTGGCCTTGGGTCGGGCTGGTGTTGGCCGTCCTATCCACACCCGTCACCTCGGTGCCAGGCGAGGGTGGCGCAACAAAGGAGCCGTCATCGCTACGGGGGTCTCGTGTGAGGGGGATGTGGGGCTCTGTTGCAAATTACTTGTCGCGGTGCTTCTCGAGTCTCGTAGAGGTTCAGGTTGCTTCGCCGCCGCTAAGGGTCGAGGACCACCCCGCTGGGCTTGCAGCTTTTGCGAGCTCATGGGATGGAAGAAGGCGTGGGAGGTGAGGGAGGGGACGTGACTCCGACTCTTCGTACTACCGGGTCGGCCGACTGAACTCGCGATACTGCCGCCGCCCACACTGCCCTCTGCGCGGCGACACCGGTGAGGTAGTTGTTTCTCAGCTGCTGGGGGTGGGGTCGATTGCTCTTGGACGAGACGCCTGTTCTCGCTGTACCGGGGCGTGATTCGGATGGCACAAGACTCCGTCGCTGAGCCGGGCGAGATTGTTGAATTTGAGGTTCCTCTCCATCGTCGGATGCAATGTCGGTCATCCGCGAGGACACGATACTCGCCGGTCTCGCGGGGAAATTATCGTCCTGGATGGGCGAACCCATCCGCGGAGGGCTTTGCGGCGCCATCCCGAACGATAATTAAGATTTTCTGTTTCCTGGTCCTTCTATTTTCGATCGAGCAATAAAGCGATGGCGAAGGCGATGGCGAAAGTGATGGCGCAGCGTGCCTGTCCTAGTACATTGCCGTCACGAAGTGTTGAGGGTTGCTGAGCTCGAAGGGACGAGATCGAAAAAGATTTCGTTATTTCGTTGTTATGAGGAAGGAAATCGTCTGCAACGGATCCAAAGAGAGGGGCGGGAGCAACGGTGGCCGTCTTCCAGGAGATCAAAAATGCAAATGAGGGTGGTTGAACGCGGAACCGAAGTTTCGACCCTCCAAGTTGTAATGCTGCGAACCAGAGTTGGCCGGTCGATGAAACGGGGGTGGAGAGGTTGCAGAGACTGGATGCGGCGGGTTCAGGTGAAAGGAGCGACTGGCCGGAGAAGATGAGGTTCGAAGAAAAGGAGATGAAGAAGACGAATTATTATTGATCGGGACGAGTCGTAGGATCGACAGTCGACAGCCGGCCGATGGGGGAAAATAAGAAAAGGAGGGGAGGGACGAATGGCAGAAGATGAGATGGGTGCACAGAAAAAAGAAGGGATGGGTGGAAAGGAGAGAATTGGTCGATTGGGATGGGATGGCGAAGGCCAAAGCGTAGCGACCTCCCGTCCTTCTCCTTACCTGACGATAGTATTATTACCCCGTGCAAGCGTGGAAGTCAACGCGGGTGCGAGTTCAGGGGGCAGCATGACGGGGTGAAATTGCGACCTCACGCAGCAACCCAGCCCAGGCTTTTACTGGCCAGCCATCTTCAGAGATTTGGTCCCTTTGGACCTCAGTACCAACAAGGAAAGACTGTTACTTTCCATTAATACTCCTTGAGCAATTCCGATATCTACAAATACATGGAGGGCATCACAGTTCTCCCCTGCAGGCACTGAAGCCCTTGGCGCGATTCTTGTTCCATCAACTGGATGTTCCCCCAACAAACATTTCCTACAGTGTCCGCGGGGCTACGCAGTGATTGAGCAATTCACGCAAACGCGCCCTGGCATTTCATCAATCAAGCACGGCTCGCGGAGTGTGCGCGCTCAGAGCCAAAACCGGCAATGCGACGCTGCGACCTTGACGATTGAAGGACCCGCTTGCAGACATCAAGCGGATGTACGAAGTAATAACAGCGATGAAATGCGAAAGGCCTTCCCCTTGATAATGTCCCCGGCCGCGCTGTCGGGGCTGAGAACTCGCGACCTACCTGACTCAGCACATTGGTGCTCATTTCGATGATCATATCCTCGGTTACACCAACATCAGTGCACTTTTGACGAAGATTGATCTGGGGTTCTACTTAATAATATCGGAATTGATCTGGAGGTTGCCTTATGTAGAATCTTGAATTCGCCTCACGTCTCCTTATCAAAGGACCCCCGCCAGCTCGGAGACCCCATACCAAACAAGGCAAAATGTAGGTAAACTCTCGCGGCGAGTGCCACCGCCTTCAAAATCCGGAGTGCGTACGCCAAAATGGCCTGCATACTACAGGGAACCAGACAGCATTGCTTTTCGAGTCACCGGGTTGGCCATTCGGCATGCTAGGAAACACCAATCCCACAAAAAAAAAAGAAAAAAACAAGAGGCTGTTGGTTTGAAAGGGAAGGGGCACGATGACTAGGCAGGTGCAAAGGCCTAGCGAATCCAGGGAATATTCCGCATTCAAGGCTTCAAAGAATCATCGCCGACAAAGCTTTTGGCCAAGTGTAGAACCCCTCTAAGAATGCGAACTCTCCTAACCTATCTAGAGATGTACCATCTGTCAAGCCTTTACAAGTCTCGCACTAAACGTACTCGAGCAAATCTGTGCGTCATTGCTAAAGTTGAACTCTGAACTGCGGGAAGGCTTCGTAGAGGTAATTCGCGAGATCCATTGTTTGAGCCTATCAAGAAGCGACTGAAAACATCAATGATTTCCTCACTGGCTGTCCCGCTGACGCCAATACTCTCCCTGCAGCAACAAAAAAAAAGAAAAAAAGAAAAAGAAAAAGAACGGAAACACAGGTCCTAGAAGTCCCTTCAACCGAAAAAGCCGAGGAAGGGTACCTCGTTAATCTTGACTACTACTATGGACTAAATCCAAGCATCCAAACCTAATGTACCTTTCCCTTGAATACCCAGCCTACAAGTACTTCTCCAAGCACGTGATTTCGGAAGGAAAGAAACTTGACAGGATGACCTCGTTGCAGCAAAACATAATCATACGAGAATATTCATAGCTTGCCAACCCATATCGCCCTCCGAAAACCCCCTCGGCCAATTGAACCACCAACCTCGTTTTCGAACCTCTCCCATCGATCACCAGATAGCAGACAAGATGTCCTCGGTCGCCGCCCGCCGATTCTTCACCACCACCGCCCGCCGCCTCACCACCGAGGAGAAGGCGAACGCCAAGGCTAGCAACAGCCCAGCTATCGTGCGTCATATATGCCATTCGCGAACCGCCTCTCGAGATGGCCTTCGCAATTGAGGACTATGTGTAGGCCTCGACATCTTCGAACCAATTGGCTAACTTATTGCTCTTTTTCCGCAGGCCCTTGGTGCTGGTGTCGCCATTACCTTCACCGGCGCCATGCTCTACTTCCGTATGTTCCCCCCAGCACTCAGGCACCTCCTATACACATACACTATGCCTATCCAACTTGTCCTTTTCTTGCGCCCTGCCTCCTTCCACAGTAGACCGTAACTAACAGGCTTTCTTCCTTGTCCCTAGGCAACTCCAAGAAGGTTGGCGACGAGGCTCCCTGGGACGCCGAGACCCTAGCCAAGCACAAGGCTGCGAAGGACGCCCCTAGCGCCCTCAACGCCGTTGTCGTTCCCGCCCTTACTCTCCCCAAGGTACTACTTATTCTCAGCCCCTTTATAAATCGCCGGGATGAGGCGATCATGCTAACACTAGAGCACACAGGATGTCCACGACAGGCTCAACAAGTGGGGCAAGGACGACGGATACCCGTAAATTCAGCACCTCCATAGAATGGGAGGCCTTGGGGGCTCTTCGCCTTGGACCTTAACTTTGGGAAGACAATAGATCAAGCCGCAACACCGAGGGGATGTTGAGGATCCAATAGGCTTCCCAGTGTACATAACATAGACAAAAGAGCGGGCATTTGGATAAAACAAGAGTTATACACAACAATTCCTACACTCGTTGTCCCAAAGCTACTTGACTTATGGCGATTCCAAGAATGCGTGTGTATTGGAATCTCCTTTGCAGAAGTCGGACTAACTTCCCCAAAAAAAACTAGTTTACTCTGTCGTATATTTCCTTGCTCCCTACTCCATATCCCCGTTATTCTGCCCAACTTTCTCCAGCACCTAAGCTGTCCGCCATCGGTAAGCGGGTCTGATTACGCTTTCGAGCTAGCTAATGGGGCCTCCATCAACATTTAGGGCAGACATCATGGTGTCGGTGAATGGGGCCGAGGTGACGAGTCTGTTCCATTCCAAACCGAAATAATAATAAAAGTTCTTTACAGGGCGCGACTCCTTGCCTTCCTAAGGATAGCCCTACTGAGACAAGAGATGGATTTCCTCGGCGGTAAAGCCAAAGAGGTAGAGAAGGTCAAGCATCGTCTCACCATTCAGCCGGGCGGACGCCTCCATCTGGACCACGGGCTTTGCGTTCCAGGCAACACCGAGGCCAGCCGCCGCCATCATAAGCAAATCGTTGGCACCGTCACCGACGGCGATGACCTGGGAGGTATCGATTCCTTCCTGCTTGGCAATCTCGAGCAAAAGCTCCCGCTTCCTTTCCTTGCCAACGATAATGCCCTTGACCTCACCAGTCAGGGTATTGGTCGCCTCATCTATGATGACCTCATTGGCATGAGCATGGTCAATGCCGAGCTCGCCCGCGAGCCAGGAAGTGAGGGGCAGGAAGCCACCTGAAAGCACGGCGGTCTTGACACCGAGACGCTTGAGAGCCTTGATCAGGGTCGCACACCGTTGGTGACGTCGAGGACGGGGCGCAGTTGACTAAAGAAGTCGGCGGGCAGGCCCTTGAGAAGTTGGACGCGCTCCTGAATGCGCTTTCGAATTCAAGCTCTCCCATCATGGCGCGATGGGTAATGTCCGCGACACGCTCGGCAATATCGACGGGATCCGTGATAGTGGCGGCCAAAAGGTCAATGACCTCCTGTGTGATCAGAGTACTATCCATGTCGAAGACAACCAGTCGGGGGTGTCGTCGCCAGAGAGTATCGTACTGGAGAGCGACCTCGACATTCCACTCGCGCTCAAACCTATAAATCATCTCGTGCTTCCGCAAGTCGGCGAGGCTCAGATAGTCCGGAGAGGGGATGGGGAGAGAGTGAGCTCGACAATGCGCGGCTGATCAGGGTTGTCGAGACAGCGATGCGACGAGTGCATCTCATTGTCACCGGACGCGAGGGGAATGTCGACATGAGATGGAGGAAAGAAGCGATGCAGAGAGGGAGATATAGGATCCATAAAGGTGGTCGAGCTGCTCAGGCTCAGAGGTGGAAGGGGGTTCGAGGGGGAACTTCTCAAGCTCATTGGTCGGCGCGAGGTTCGCAGGGATTTCGTGAGATGCCTGGTCGGAGGTGGAAGTAGCGGAGCTCGCAGCTTGTCCGGTGGAAGAGGAAGTCAATGCGGGTTGGCTACCGTTGGGAGTGGCATGGCGCTTGTAAAAGATGGTGGCAACGAGGCGAGTGGTAGCCTTGCCAGGAGGGAGCGCAGTTCTGATGGGTCAAACTGTGGCTGACGCCCTCGATGATGGTAGGGGATGCTCTTCAGACGGAATGCCCTTGTAGGGAACATAGGGCTTAGGAGGCGACGACACGCTCAACGGCCGGAGATCCTCGACGACGGTGTCGATCCCATAGTGGGTCTCGGGACTCTTGGGCGGGCGGTACTGCTGATGCTCGCGCAGGAAGGAGCTGCTCCGCATCTCAGAAGTGAGCTGCGGTCGGGCCGGGGCCGGGGCCGCCGTCTTCGACGAGGTCGAAGGGCTTCTCGCGAGGCTGGCCATTCTAGGTCGGGGCTGGGAGGGCTGAGGGGGTTTGGGTGTGCGGTAGTGCCTCTAAACTTTTTCGGGTGGTGGTGGTGGTGGTGGTGGGAGTGGGAGTGAGGGGCACACAATTTCGGAATTCTGCGGGGTGAAGATGGCGTGGCAATGACGGAACTCAGACAAGTCGCATGCAACAAAGAGAGAGACCCTTGAGACTCTACAGATAAAAAATAATGTCGAGTCGAAGCAAAAGTTTGCCACTCAGGGGAAACACCCACAAAGTGACAATATATAGCGGTCTGCGAAACTTTGGTACAAATCGAGGCGTGCGAAATGGGAATTGAAAGAGGTGGAAAAAGTTGGCACAGGGAAAAGACTCCTCGGGCTTTTCCTCCGCTGGCGGGGTGAACACGCACACTCGAGGGGCAAGGCTGGGACTGGAAAGCCGGGCGGGAAACTTGGGGCAAGAGAGGGGTTGGCACTTGCACGACCAAGGAACGACCGAGAAACGAAGAGAAAAAAATCCACTGTGGAGGGGAAGGGAGGAAATAGCAGACCCGTCCAACATCGTGTACCCTCCGTGCCAATGAAGTCCGACGCTCCCGCTCTGCCACAGTCCAACGCACGTGTATTCGTCTTGATTGATTGATTGTCCCATCTATCGATGGCAACGCCTAGCTACTCACTGATAAGAGTTGACGAGGGCTACATATGATATGCCCTCACCTGCCTCGAGCATCGATGCTCACCTCATGCGACGGTGACGTAGATGAGGAGTTCGTGGCCTTCATACATGCGGGATTGGTCCACAGGCCGACAACAGCAAATGAGAAAGCCCGATTCACTAAATTTGCAAGCGAGCCCAGCTCATCGCCGGAGCACCCTTTCCGACCGAGCCCAGTTAAATCAAGGCATTCGTCGCCAGCTTTGTGTGAAGGGAACGGTTTGGGGGCTGGGGTCCATAACTGGCTACCAGACCGAGAGTGCTTGCCCCGCAGTTGCCATCACACCGGAACGTCTGGTTCAAAATCAATGCGACAGAGAAATAGAGTTGAATAGTTTTATTAGCGCCACCCAAGGAGAACGAATCCGTGTTCCTTTTGACCCCACACAAGCGCACTAGATATCACAATGCATTGTCGAGGCAGAGCTGGCTCGGAATATCTTGACTATCCATTGATCACTAAATGCTCAAATGCTTTCAATTCTTGGCCCCAGGGATTATCTATTATCCTTAACACCATAATTTACAAAAATCTAGCAGAGCTTGACGACCTTCCAACTCATGGGTAAACACTAAGGTTGGAAATATAGATGGCTGGCACTCCAGGCTCGGCGGTTGCATTACACGATAGGGCAACACTGAACAAAGGATCATAGGTCATTTGGTATGCATATGTGAGACCATCATACTCTAGCCAGGCCTCTTGGTTAGTACTATCGGCGACAACGCTATCCACAAGGTTACTTGAGCGAAAAACCCGGCCTGGATCGTACATCCATAAATATCAGCTCCAGCTGCAAAGCTATATGAGAACCGGAACCGGACCGTAACTTCAGGGGGCGGTTGTCCACAAGAAGGTAGGAGTTGGTTGAGATAAACCTGGGAAGGTCCAGTGGTATAGGGAATCAAGGCAAAGGCATAACCAGAGTTACTGGGCTCATACGGAAGAACAGCAGAGTCATATGCTACAACTTCGTCGCTGAGATACCATGGAGCTAGAACCACATTGGTAAAGTCCCCGTTAACCAAATCCTCGCATTCAGGCTGTGGCGTCTCGGTTGGCGTCTGGGTTGTTTCTGTCGTAGATAGGCTAGTATCTAAAGTGATAGAGGAGCTGATAGGACCCTCAGAAGTAGAGCTATCACTTGATGTGGCAGCCTCTGAACTAAAGGTAGAGGAGCTAATAGGTAGGTTGGTAGGAGTAGTAGGGGCGGAACTGACACTCTCTGTCGCCGACATGGAGCTGGTACTTCCCGAGGAGCTATGTAACGATAAACAAATTAGTAATTGAAACGTTGGTAGAGACTCGTGAGGGTCACTTCCCCCTTGGCTACAATACTTACCTCGAAGCGGTACGAGCACTCTCGGTATCTGACGTTTGTGTGTGCGGATATACGGTAAAAGTGGACTTCGATCTCGATGCACTCACACGCCCATTTCGACTATTTGAGAGAAAGGATCAGGTTTCGTGGACTCGAGTATCAGCTTGGTTCTAGCGCTTACCTTGATGGCCGAGGCCGTATTATAGGGCTAACCGGCTGCCCCGGGCGCCGCCCATCAACGCCACCGTTTCCGCCGGGAGGAAGGGTGACTGAGGTGAGCTCGGGCTGGCTGGATGCCCTTGTGAGTTCCCGCCTTCACTAGAGAAGGGTAGCTGGGGCCCGCTCGGGCGAACAAGCAAAGGTTCCATACGCCATACCTCCCAGAGGGCAGGGCTATCTGACAGAGGCGCACCAAGCTGGTCAGGGTACACGATCATTTGTTCTCGATCCACAGGTCTGCCGAGGGCATCCATAAGAGGGCCATCGGGCGCTGTCGGGCAGATGGATTCGAGGACCTGACCCCAATCTGTTATGGTTGGTGCTACAGTAACGACGATGGTAAATGTGAGGACCTGGGTGGCGGGGACCGCCTCCTCAATGATAGGTGTGCACTCATTCTGAGGGTGGTCTGCTGAGCTATAAGCCGTGGTGAGAGATAAGTTCACTAGAAGCACTAGTAAGAGCTGTGCCTGGGACCGCATCGTTTAACTCATGCCAAACCGCCGTTGACTGGGAGAGAACAAGTTGGACGCGCTTGACTCCGTGTACAGAAATCGCTGGCAATGAGCGCGGCCACTGTTGGAATATATATATATGTTAACAAAGATCCCACATCACTCATTTATGTTATTGTCTCCGATGTTTAAAGACAAGGCTATCTCACGCGAACAGCAGTCACAATAGGCATGAGACCGTCCAAATCATGTACAGCCGGTATTAGAGCCGCGCTCTCTCTCCCCATTTTGATGATGTTCTATCAGTATAGCATAGTTATAACTCAAGCCAATTTAACCCGTCGAGGAGCAAACGCGGATATGGGGATGCGCTTCAAGCTGATAAAAGGGTGCTCAAGAGGTATCTCAATATAAGGTGTGTGAATGGAGAGTTCTACGCGAACGAAAGGTCTCATATTCCAATTATGCGAAGAAGGGGAAAAATAAGTGAGAAAAACAGAAGATGAACAAACCGTGTGGAATTACTCTGGGTCATAAAGCTTCTGTGATATCATCCCTGAGACCTTTTATCCGGTGTGTAGGCCACCTTCAAAACACTCGATGACCAAAGTTCCCGGAGTCAGTTTTCGGACCGTGCGGAAAAAACAACAGGGTCCTTGAAGGCGGAAAAGCCCGCTCTCCGGAATTTGGAAATCGGCCGTATGACAAAGCAACCAATACTCAACAGCAATCGAGTTCCACCACCAACCTGATTTCGTAAGCAACGAACACGGCGGCTGCAAGGGAACCCATCGTCTTCACTCCTCCTTGTTTTTCTCGAAATACTTGTAAATGGCCAGGGGTGGGCTCTTCTCTCCTTACTTAATCAGAAAGCATAGAGGATGCAGCAGCCCGAATGCATGTGGCCTCGAACGCATGCCGCTGATGCCCGTGTGAGCCCGTGTGAGAGGCTGCGGAGAAAAAAAGGTTCGGAAGAGCGGCGGAAGAGCGGCGGCATCCCGGCTGCCGTGTTCCGAAAGCGTGCGGTATCGCGCTTGCCTCGTTGACTTCATCTCTTGGTCGGCCGGTCCTTCGCGATGCTTGAAATCGAGCAGTCCGCGACGCAACACACGATTTGGGCACGTTTGATCGTGTTCTCGCATCGCGCAAAGGGCTTTACTAACACTACTAACTTTTTTAACTCGGGTATCATTTTATTTTTCTAAAGACTTGTCCACTTTCTTGGTGGATTCTTGACGCTTCGCCACCGCGGCCTTGGACCAAGATGGCCCCGTTCTCGACAACGTGGCGTAGATAAAATATCCGCATGGGTTCTTCTCATCTTGGCAGGATTGGGCCCTCTTTCTACGGCCTTGGAATGAATGAAACCGCTCTAAAAGACCCTTCCTCTCGTGTTGGTGACCATGTGCAGTCGCCGTGTGCTGTGAACCTAGTCTCTGCCCAAGGCGGAGCGTGCCAAAAGACCACTCTATTCAAGCCTGAGCATCCTGATTTTCCCTCGGAAGAAGCAGAAGAGGCGAGGCAAAGCCAACGTAATTATTCAGCATCCATATCTCACAATTGCGCAATTCCGCCGCAAACTAGCGGTGGTAACCACTGATCCTGTTTTCCAGCCATTTGATTTCTCAGCAATTGGCTGGTGTAATCACACTGCCCCCTTTCATCCCAGATGCAGCAGGCAGGACAATGAAATGTATGATTATTGGGGGACATTGCGGAAATAGAACTTTCTTTCTTTTTCTTTCTTTTGAGACGAGTCTGGAACAACCACAGCCGCCTTTTCTGTTCAATGTACAGTACATCGGAGTGGAGGTGAGAAGAAAGTGATCATAGAAGGCGCCATCGATTCAAGCGCATTGGCGCCGCTGAAATCAAGAAAGCCTTTGCATTGGTGGGAAAGCCCAGGGGTATGATGAGAAATCAAAAATACACTCATGGGCCAGGGTATTGATGCATTGACTGGGGGTGAATGCCACCAAACCCGAACGCCCATCTGTGGGGTCCCGTGCAGTATTATTATGCCTCAACTATTGTTCTCAATCGATTGATACTCGTCTAGTCTTCCGGAGCACGACTTAATTTTGCCCTCACTACCTCGGTAGTACTGAACGCTTCCTGGATCTACTGAAGGGCCCTGTCTTACCATGTCCGTCTTGACGGCTGACAAGTGTTCAGTCTACGCTTTCACACTCTCTAGACTCTCGTAGCTCCACGGTGGCTCGTCGGGAGCTGAGTCCGGACTGATTCCCCATTTTCTAGCTGAGTTGCTTAGCCTACAACTAGAATGTTAATTCCTCGAAGCGTGTACATGGGCTTTGGCCACCGGTTCTCGGGTGGGCTCTCGGGTCTGGGACGAGGCCACAAACGAGGGTGTCTTTTCACCCCTCCTCCACGGCTACCTCCCTCCGTGACTCGGAGCGGCCAGCACACATCTCCAAGAGCAGCGAGCGTGGGGGCGAGAGAAAGGAACCCAGAAAATTCTTGGAACGGGAGGCATCTGGGCCAGAACCAGCTCAACCCCTCCTCAAACCAAGAGATGAAAGACGAATGACCGTCCTCGTCAAAGTAAGCCACAGTTCCTGATCTCAGTGCTTCAGGCATCCCGCCCGGGAAGAAGGATGTGTGTTTGAGATTTGAACAAGATTGGTCGGAAAAGGGAGGGTTGGCCGGCTTGTGAACCTCGGGCAACTCCTATGCCAGCTGGTCTGCACTAATTTTGGTCGAACGAGTTTTTTCCCAATCAATGCGGGGTTACCATACAGAGGCCGTCCAGTCCTTCTGGTTGCCTAGGTGGTAATCTGCCCCTCTTCCGGCACTTTTTCTAAACCGGCCTTTCGCATAATAGCGAGGCACCTCGAGGAGCCATATGTACCTTTGCTACCAAGGCGCTATCGGTGATTGATTGGGAAACGGGCTGCGCATCGCGTGGTGTGTGTCTCGTCTCACAAGGCAGGACCCACACCGCGGCCGGCGCTGGCTGCGTCCTCGCCGAAAATGACGACGTCAGGCTGAAGCAAGAGCTCCCCGGCTCCCGATTTGTTAGCCTCTTCAGATCACACTGTTCCCAGGAGCCTGGTAACGACTCTCTGATACCATATCACTGTCATTCGGTGGAGGTGTATTTGGAGGCTTGCCAGTCCCCTAACTGCCTGTTCAACCAGTTTCGTAGCCATCACGCTTCTGCCTCCCAACAACAAACGCATCCGGAGGCAAATTCCACGCAAAGAGTTTTCTTTCAGGGGTACCCGAAGTTTAAATGTCAATCAAAGTACTCGACGGTCATTTTTGTGCGATGGCTGCCGTGTAAAAATTCGGCGGGTTACTTGGTGAGGACATGCATACCCCATATGGCGAACGGGAAGACGGAGCGATCGACCAATGAAAATTCTTCGCTTCGATCACGAAAGGACTAGCGCGGATGTCGTGATTTCTGGGTTTTATAACCACATCGATGACATCCAACCTCACAGGAGGAGAGCCTTCGGAGTAAGAGCTGGCGCCGATTCTAACTCACCAAAGAGGGCAAAACAGGTCCCATTATTAATGTTAGATCGACGCGGTTTCTCGGGATCCTTCTCGAAGTCCGGGTTAGCACAATTTTGAACAAAAGGTGCCCTAGGGGTATCTTGTGCCTTCTGTCAGGGCCCTCAATATAGGAGAGGCCTTGCAGGTGATGGGATGGGTTGGGTGTGGTGCGGGAAGGCAGTTTCCAGCGCAATTCATCAGCAACACAAGCCCTCGATTCGCGGAGACCATAGCAGCATGGTTAATGGTTAATGATACTCTTTGTACATCGCTTTTGCATATTGCCATTTGAGGGGGCCATCATTTCCGAAGACAAACCGACAGGTAGGGTACTCCTCGATCCCACGGATGGGGGCTTTCATGTACTGTACCGTCGGCCTTGAGGTAGCGTATTAGTGAGCGGGCAGCGGAGGTGTGGGCCAAGAACTTGCCTCGCGTGTGTAAGTCCTTTACCCCAGTGCCACTGTTCTTCTCGGAATAGGGCTTATTGCGTGATCGACTTTCGTCTTTAAAGAAAAACCTTCCCGTCCGTCTTGCTTCCCCTCCATCCCTTCGAAACCACTCTTTCATAACCTGCCTCCCCATCACCGTGGTAGTCTTGACCCAGTCCTTGCATTCCCCTGCACCCCAGAGTCTTTGCCAACAAGCTTTCAACCAGTCGGACTGCTCCTCTCAGTAATCAGGGTTTCTTGAGACTCCCTTATAAGCCTCAACTCACCCCCATCCCCCTTTTATACACTCATCTTATACCGCCTCCTCGACAGTCATACCCCTCATATCGACCAACATGGCGTCCTTCTCCCCTATCCAAGAGACAGTCGAATCAACCATCCTGGCCCCAATTGACACCGATCTCGCTTCACTGAACGAGGTTGCCGCCTCTGAAAACGCCCTCTCTGCCTCGATCATGTCTCTCGATAGTTGCACAACTAGGGTTGAGTCCGAGGTTGAGTCTGGATATGTATCGTCAACCTCCGATTATGAGAACTCCAAGACCAAGGCTGTTCCCGCCACCGCTCCCTTCGTCAACCTGTCTCCCCCTACCTGGACTTCCTCAATGATCAACTTGAGAAGATGAGCCCCGTCGAGGTCCTTCGCTTCGTCAAGATCCTCTTCCCCAACGTCTACCAATCCACCGCCTTTGGCTTGACTGGTCTCGTCACCATTGACATGCTGTCCAAGATTCAAAAGGACTGGCCTGAATCTCCCAAGGTCGACCTTATCTTCCTCGATACTCTCTACCACTTCCAAGAGACGTACGATCTCGTCAACCGTGTCCAGGAACAATATCCCGAGCTGAAGGTCCACGTCTTCAAGCCCTACGGCGCCGAGAGCACCCAAGAGTTTGAAGACATATATGGCGAGAAGCTCTACGACCGTGAGTCCGAGCTGTATGATGTGACGGCCAAGGTTGAGCCTCTCCAGCGTGCCTACACCGAGCTTGGCGTCAAGGCCATCTTGACTGGTCGTCGCCGGTCCCAGGGCGGTGGTCGCCAGAAGATCCCCGTCATCGAGCTTGACGAGGAGAACAACATTATCAAGATCAACCCTCTCGTCACCTGGTCCTTCAGCCAAGTCCACCAATATATCAAGGAGAACAACGTCCCATACAACGCCCTTCTCGATCAAGGCTACAAGTCCATTGGCGATTGGCATTCCACAAGCCCCGTCGGCGAAGGAGAAGATGAACGCGCCGGTCGCTGGAAGGGCCAAGCCAAGACCGAGTGCGGCATCCACAACAAGAAGTCGCGATACGCTCAGTACCTCGAGGAGATGGAGAGGAACACGAGTCAGCCCGTCTTGGCGTAAGTTAGGACAGGCGAGAAGAGCGTTTATGAGTATGGTGGGCGGACGTTAATGAGGTGACGAAACATTTTTGGTAATGGGGCTCTTTTGCATGTTGGCGTTGGCGGCATCTATTAAAAATTTAGGACCATCATATGGGCTTTTGGGTTGATATATCATTCAGGGAGTTGTGTCGGAGGCGACCCAGTCATTATAAGCATTAGTAGAGGCGTAAATCAAACAAGGCAGGTTATGTTTACTTAGCAATATATTCAAATCCATAAGAACAGCACCAGCAGAACAGTTCAAAATGTTGCTCTCCCTAACCCAGAGTTTGTCGGGTGATGTGTCGTGAAGTGTCGTGAGGCAGGAGGCCTGGGATCTCTTGCCCCTCACTTGGGGTGCGGGTTTCGTCGGCTACTCTCCTCGCACTGTTCATCTTTTGGTAATTCTCTGCTGGCACGCCCTGGGCAGTCAAGGAATACAGTGTGAACATTAGAACCGTTTGAATCTGGCCCACGCTACAAAAATACCTCTAATTGGATGACCTACCCACTCAGGAATTGGGAAGAAGGTATTATTAGGTGACTGCTTGTTCATTGATGAACGGTCGAACTTTTTCTGAATGCCACAACAGCCCTATCTGATACGGACATTACACTCTTCTAGACCCATAAACTTTTAAGGGCCCGAACCCGCTGTTTCCGAGTTGAATAAGTATAGGACTCAAGAGTGACCTCTTTACTTTACAATCTACTTCGCACGACCACATCCCGCGAAACTGCAAGAATCTCCTCAAATAACGCCATCACCCCTCATATTAACTCACTTTCCCATCGCCCGCTGCTTGTAGGATGTCTGGGTTCCCCCACCTCCGCCTTCTTTCAATGAAAAGAAAGCCAAAATCATGGCGCAGCTTCAGCTGCCACCCGACGAGTACACAGACTTGTCCCCTAAGGGCTCTGTTGACGAGGCCCTAGTTGACGTTATCGACGAGGTCAACGCTGTGGAAGGCTTCGTCACAACGAGTAGCTGCGCGGGTCGGGCTAGCGTCTTCCTCGAGGGCAGCAGGGTGGCACCCGCGGCGGGAAGCGGGGAAAGTGGTACGGTTGCTGGTGTTGGCGGCAAGGGGGCGGCGGGACGTGGCTATACGTCTCCCATGACCCTTTTGCAGAGGTAGCCGAGAAGGTAGACTGGGAAACTGCATTCGGCCTGGTCAAGGACGGATCAGAGCCCGCGCATGACCGGGGATCTGACGACGGGGAGAAGAGGTTCATCCACTTCAAATTCGAGCCAATGGTATGGATAGGAGAACAGACAAGCGTGAAGGCGCCAGAGCTTTGTACCACCGCCTCGTTATCAGCGTGGGGTTTTATCGGAGTTGCTGTCCTGTAGAGTCTCTGCTAACCTGATGTAGATCCTCCACGTTCTTACAGCATCTCTTGAGCATGCCCAGGCCCTCCTCCGCTGCGCACAACAGGCTGGGTTTCGGGAGAGTGGCGTTATCAACGTAACTGCGGGGGCCGGTGAGCCAGACATCATTCCGATTGTCGCTATCCGCACAATGGGCTTAGGTTTCGAGTCGCTCATAGGGTTCCAGCAGAATGGAAAACGGCAGCCCATGGTAGAGACGCCATACCTGGAGACTCTTGTAGAGCTATCTAATACTCGGTTCGTGGAGAACAAGAAACGGATAGAAAGGTTCCGTGTCGGATTTCAAAACCTCATCTCGAATCGTAAGCTAGGTGGCCAAAAGAAGCCGGAAGGGTGGGAGGACGCCGAGGCGCGTCGGGCCCGGAAGAGAGCCGAGGGCCTCAAACGGCGGGAAGAGCTCAAAGCAGAGGGAGCCCGCAACGTAGAGGGGCAACCGGATGATACCGAGGGTGCTACATCCTTCCTCACAGATTTAGAGCTTCCACGCGAGGACGCGTGAGTAAGATAGCGGGCCTGATAACAGGAGTAACGTTCATTTATACCCATCCGTCTATACATCTCCTTGCTTTGGAATTCGCCGGTTTTTTCCCCTCATGGAAGTACTCGTACATGGCATGGCCGTCAATGGCCCGGTTTTTGTAGTGAATGCTATTGCACGAAGCGATGTCAAGATTTGCATCAAGAGGAGGCCTTCTCCACCCAGCCCTTCTCTAGCTTTCGCACTTCCTCCTTGAAAGCCTCAACCTCACTCCAACAGTTGAGGGGTTTCCTATCGTTGTCCCTCAAGCACTTTATCACGTTGCTCCTGGCCGTCTCGACGCCCTCTGGTAGATCCTTGATCTTCTTCCTACCCTCCAGGCGAGCGCGCAGCGCCTCCACTTCGCTCGAGACTTTGTGGCTCGTCAGCGTTTCGTCCGCCGTGACATCGCCGAGGAGAGCTTCTCGCGAGCTTCCTTTAGGGCCGCGGCCTCGTTATCGTGCAGCTTCTGAAGCTGTTCAGCAACGCGCGTCTCGACATGGATCTCCATCAGCTTCGCCCGGGATGCGTCGGTCTGGCGAGGGGAGCAAGTTAGCATGGGTCAACCTAGACTCCACGGGTCTTTTCTCAATGACGTTCGCGGTGTTACCATACCTCTTTGTTTGATTGTATCGAGTTAACCAGGTCCTGGGAAGCGCCAATGGGGCTTGAGCTGTAATGCCGCAAAAAGCTTGGTCAGTCATGAGCCCTTTCGCAAACTCGCCATTGCGTCGTGAACGTAGGTTGCGGTTAGATTTAGAGGAACTCACCCCTTCCACTCATAGGAGGCGCCGTTGGCAGCCGGCTTGGACGCAGTCGAACCCATGATTGATGGCGACGAGATTTGTTTGATATAGAGCCACTTTCGAACTTCTGATAGCCCGAGGTCGTTGACGGCCTCTGATGCAAATTCCCGAATCACAAAATCTTCCCGGGTTTCTCCGGATGCTTACATCATGCACAAGCCTCCATGTCTTAGGTCATCACATCGTTTTATCCTGAGGCAGCAATTGACACGATCAAAGCAAGCAGTCTGGAATAATACATGTAGAAAGGTGAGCACAATGAACATGGAATCCTTCTTCTTTGAATTGCCTAGACCTTGCGTCGTCTCATTTCTTCTTCGTTATTATGCCTTCCGCCTTTCCTCGCCAACTCTAATCTTTTCATAGGATGTGGACCTTCAAACCCCCAAACCTATCCCATTTGGATTCGGAGAGGCTGTTACAGTCACTATCACCTACTAATTTCATGGGGTTTCTATTCCATCATCTGGAAGGCTGAGCGCACTCCTCGGCTCGCTCTTCCAGAAGGATTATGTGAGGATCTGATATCTCTTCCCATGCCCGATGAACAGGCCTACGCTAGATTGCGTCTTCGACTTGGATAGATGATGCACCCTGTCCCTCGCATGCTTTAGCCAATGGTGAAACGGCGGTTCCCTCCGTAATAGTATTTAGAGCTGGGGTCTGCACAGTCGTTCTTGGAGAGCTGCGAACTAATCCTGTGAGGGCCCCTCTCATCCCCCTGCGATAGTCAAACCCATGAGCAACGCCGTTAGAGTTGTAGTGAAAGGTTGCACCAACCCACTCAAGCGGGAGGGGTTCTGGAATACGAGCGTGGGTTGGGGCGAAGCCTACGAGTTGATGGAAGAAGAGCTAACGGCTAACAACCGAGTTGGGTCTTCTTTCAGGACAGGCGGCGATGTCCCAATCCAAGAATGGCCCTGGACAAATAGTTGAGCCTCATCATTATTGTCTCTATCTTCTCCTTGCATCTCGGGTTACAAAGAAAACAATACTCGGTTGAACAAGACTGCCAGGATCCCCTCCCCGCCCCACTTTCAATTTTTACTTGAAGAAGCTACGAAGTACAAGGACGAAGTGCGAAGGAAGAGAAGAGAAGAACAAAGAAAGAGGAAAGTAAAAGACGAAGAGAACCCTTAATCCCTCGGTTCCAAATGAGGAAACCCTCTCTTCGAATGAATCGCTTCTCTTGGGTCAGACCCGGGGCGCATCAATTGTCAAACGAAATGATCGATTGTGATCTTGCTCGAGTTTATCGCAGTGTTTAAGATTTATTGTAGGCCGCCCCCAATCCTACCATGGCCGATCGACAGTGACCCGAAAAGCATCCCTGGTCGCAATCTAAATGCATAGGCCTTGGGTGGAGGCCAAGAATTCTCATTTGGGGATCATCCCATTCTTGGGGGAAAACAGCCCCTCCCTTCTGATTTGGGCACCCGCCCACCCTTGTTTGGCCGTTTAGAGGAATGTGGTTGAAGCCGCCATCATTCCGCAGCTCGTTATTTTTCCATCGTTCGATTATGATAGTAGGTGGCGGAGGCGGGGAGGCATGAGCATTGTTTTCCTTGAATTCCTTTGTGCCGCCAAAGTCCCCATAGGCTCCAAGGACTGATGACCTGCGAAGTCGTCCCCGGCTTGTCCGGATGACCTGTGAAGAGTGAATTCACGAGCGGTTGCAATCACCAGAAGCATCAAGAACTGCCTGCCGACTATATCGAACCATTAGATTAATCACTGGCCTTTTACAATCATCTAACGAGCAGATTTTATCTCTGTGTCAGACCAGGAATGCATCATGGGATTGAGATTGCAGAGACCTGAGATCGAAGGAACGACACCAGAGTGGAGGAATATTATTCCCATCCACTTCGCCGTCGTTTGGGAATACGGCTGCTTGGGATGATAGGATCAAGGTTAGTGGAGATCGAGTGCAACCCTGGGTGGGGAGGATCCCGAAGAGGCTCATGGCCAATCCACGACGACCGAAACCCCTGACAGATGGCTTGGCTTTCGTGCTAACCAGTGGCTCTCAATCGCCGCTAAGCAAAGGGGCGGGCAGCACCGTGCAGTTGGCGTCCTCCCCCTTTTCCCTGCTTGCCACCCACCCACTTGGGCACTTTTTGGAGAGCCGGTCCGTAAGCCACCGGCGAGGAACCACTGGCTACGAATCGCCCTGCACACGACGAATGTCTGGGCTCTCATAGCGTTTCCTACCAATCCGGCGGATGCTCCCCTCTCAAGGTGCTATGTTTCAAAAACATCGAGCCAGTTAGACTTCGCGCTTCCTTGGGCAGCATGAAAAGCTGAAAATCTGTCAAAGCCACCAGGCCGCGCTATACCCTATCATCACGACCCACCACTTACGAAGCTTGACTGCCGATAGTGGTCGTGTTCTCCAGTGGCCTAGGCTGACAGGTGGCGGGGTGGAAAATGTTCGCTGGGGCCGAAGGGTGGATTTTTATTCCTTTTTGACTTCGCTCCTGCATCTTCGCCATGCTGACGCCAAGCTGAGCGATGGATTCAGGGGACCTGGGCAGGAACATGGCACCATGTCTAGCCAAGGTGAGGGTCGAAAAGAGACCGCTCCCTTGCAGGCGTGAGTGGACCTCGTTCACCGATTTGCTTTTGAAAGAGCCAGGGTGTTCTTATTCGAGTTAGATAGATTCGGGCTCGTGGCAGGAATTGGCAGATTTCGTGTTCGTCCGCCTGCCCGCCCCTGTCACCTTTGAATGATGCCCTTCCTTTAAATGGACTGTGTCTCCAGTTCGTCGAGGAGGCTGGTTGATCGTCATTCTTTTGTGCTTTTACGATCGAGACGTCGTTGTTGTTGCTAGACGTGGCTGGCAGCCCAAACAAGAAAAGGAAAGAACCTCATAGAGGAGACATCAACGAGCACCCACACGAGCCTCAAGCGGACCTTCCTCTTTCTCTCTGACCTCACCAACCTTTTCCTTGTTCTAAGCTCTTGCTCTGTACACTGGTTCTCATCTTTCGCTCTTGCGCCAGTTCACGATACACAACCACACTCTGCCAACGCGTCGTTTACTCGATCCCAACCTTGTTTTTTCCTCTTTTTCCCAGTCCTCAACTTCTATCTACTTCCTCCTGTCTCTATTCTTCCATCAACGCTGCTGTGCAAGTTGATTCTGTATATGCCATTTTCCCAATCTCGATCAGGCAACCGAGACGACTTGACGTCACCCACAAATCTTTTATCAGAAACATCCCCAGGTCGACTAAGCTAGCCAGTTTCTAGCTATCCCGACCTTGACAGACTCTCCGCTTCAAGAAGTGTGAAGATTCTTTATTCAGTTGCAACATCTCTTTTCACCTTGCCCCAACAACACCCGGTGCTCGGCACAATCGAAGGTGTTGGGTAAAGGCAGCACCTCGTTTATATTGCCCACCGACTTTACACACGATCCCAGGCCGGGCCATCGTACGACGACGGACTCGTTATTACTGGACGGACAACTCCGGGGTATAAGCCGCCGTCGGTTATCATCATCGCCCACATCGTCGTTATCCTGACCTTGGATACAACAACAAGATCCTTTGACAAAGGCAAAGGAACGCCCAATTGCCTGGTCCTTTGTCGCTACCCTTTATTCGACATCCTTGCCCTCCACCATTTTTAGTCGAACATGTCCTTGTCCTAACCGGGAGTTTGTGTTCTTCACTCTTATTTCTACACCGGATCCATCTTGGCCCTTTTCGAGTTTCAAGAATCCGCCGCACGTAACAGTGACATTCCTACCTCACCCAAAAGAAGAAGAAAATTGATTAGAACAATCATTACCAATGGACCTTGACCAAGCAATTGGCGGCCCTTCGGGGACCCTCGACCTACATCCCCGTGGCCATGGGACCGGAACTCATGGTGCGGAGACAACATCTACTATCGCACCCTACCACAGCGCCTTGAATGGCGTAAATCAGCCCGTGAACATGCTGTTCAAGGACATGCTTTGGTGGACCCTGGGTATCATGGGTCTCGTCATTCTAAGCGTGAGGTTGCTCGAAATTATGTGGATGCATATCCGCCAGGTTTCGTCGATGACGGTCAGTGGCGACAGGCAGAACTTCTGGAAGTACGGCCAATGGTCCTGGCTTCCGACATTCAAGAAACATTTTCTCTACGCTCCTCTCTGGAAGAAGCGGCACAATCGCGAGATCAAGCTATCAACTGCGGTCAATATGGGCACCCTTCCTTCGAGGTTCCACTTTGTTCTGCTTAGCATCCTCATCGGCAGTAACATCATCTACATGTTTGTGCTTAACTGGAAAAACGAGAACATGTACTCCTTCTGCGCTGAGCTCCGAGGGCGCTCAGGCACACTCTCCATGGTCAACATGGTACCTTTGATATTCCTCGCGGCTCGCAACAACCCACTCATTCCCTGGCTCAAGGTGAGCTTCGACACGTACAACCTGATCCATCGATGGCTCGGTAGATTGGTTGTCATCGAAGCCGTCATTCACACCCTTGCGTGGCTTATTGTTCAGATTGCAGACGGAGGCTGGGAATCGGTCGGAAATAGGATCATGGGCGAATCCTTCATCTCGTCTGGAATGGTTGGAACCGTTGCCCTCATCATCATCCTCATTCTCTCATTTTCCCCAGTTCGACATGCTTTCTATGAGACCTTCCTGAACCTTCATATCATCCTCGCCTTCATCATCTTCGTCTGCACCTGGGTTCACTGCGCAGTGGCAGACATAGGAGTCCTGCCACAGCTGCCTTGGATTATGGGTATCATGTCCTTGTGGTTTGCCGAGCGCCTGTGGCGAATGATCAACTTGGCCTGGAATAACTGGTCCTCCAAGGGCTATACCGAGGCTGTCGTGGAGGCAATGCCTGGCGAGACGACCCGAGTTACTATGCACCTTCCGCGATATGTCGACATCAAGCCTGGTACCCACGCGTATATTCGATTCAAGAGTATCAAGCCGTGGGAGTCGCATCCGTTTTCCATCGCCTGGGTCGAGCATACTTCCAACTCGAAAGGTCTTCCTGTCGCGGAGAAGGAGAATTCGGGCGTCATTACCGACAAGAAGCACGCGACCACATCCGTTTCCTTTGTCATTGGCGCCCAAACCGGCTTCACTCGGAGGCTGTACGAGAAGGCGGCACTCAGCGGCATGCAAATGATTCACATGCGAGCCGCTATGGAAGGTCCCTACGGCGGTCACCATTCGCTTGACAGCTACGGCCATGCCGTCCTATTCGCCGGATCAACCGGCATCACGCATCAGATCTCGTACCTTCGTCCTCTAATTGAGGGCTACAACGCGGGCACAGTGGCGACGAGACGAATTACGTTGGTGTGGATTGTCAGGGATTATGAGGCACTCGAATGGGTTCGCCCGTGGATGGATACAATCTTGAGGCTGCCTCATCGAAAGGACATCCTTCGCATTCAGCTCTTCATCACCCGACCCAAGAACCCACGAGAGATCACCTCCGCCAGCTGGACGGTTCAGCTCTTCCCCGGCCGACCAAACATCCCAATGCTCCTCCGTAAGGAAGTTCGCGAGCAACAGGGTGCCCTTTGCGTTACGGTTTGTGGAGCTGGAGCGCTTGCTGATGACGTCCGCAGCGCCTCGCGCGAGGTCCAGGATGAAGGCACAGTTGTTGACTTCATTGAGGAAAGTTTTACGTGGTAAGGGAGTTGTGCTTCATCCCGTCTTTCGGCGTTTGAAGTCTACCGACCCCAGGTGTCGCTGATGAGGCAGAAAACCTCGGTTATCGCGAAATGGCGTTTGGATAGCGATGCTTTTAGATTTCGAGTGTTGGTTTCTTGCAAACACTTGCCACTCCTTTTTTCTTTTTCTCCCCCTTTTTTTTTTTTCCTTCTATCTTTCATTCTCATCTGTCTTTATTCCCACTTCAACAACTCTTGTTGCTATTTCTTTTCTTACTCTTCTTCTCCTCTTCTTCACATACCGACGGAAAGAGATTCTGTCTTTCTCAGTCACATTTTCTGTACATATCTTTCATTCGAACGTAATAGAGCTAGGCGCGAAGGAAGATGAGGCCGATGCAGGGCCGCAAGGGTGCGTGCCCCTGATGTACATACGACTCATGGGCCGAGTATGTCAGTAATCGTTGTCCATAGATGACTCTGCATTAGAAGAGTCGAATCAAAGTACATATTCTCAAATGACGTTCGCGAATCACCGACGATTTCTCTTTACATTCACAAGCATTGTTTCGCAGCAAGGTGCTGTTGCGTTTGTGATGAGTCAGGAGGCTGCGTGCGGTTTCGCTTGGCGAGTCACGAAGAACAACTTCGCGATTGTAGTTTCCCTCGGCTACTGGCGGGCTTTCTCGGCCTAGAATGCGGAAATACTGCATAGTGGCTCCTCCATGTGGGTTTTTCAAAGGGAGAAGACACAGGTGTCCCCCTCACTGAAGGGACAGCAAAGAGTTTGAAAACCCCCAAAAAAAACCCCCAGGAACTCGCGAGGGAACTTGAAGTATAGATGAAGGATGAAGAGCACCCAAAACCAAGATTGATCAATTCAACCTCCGTTGAACCAGCTTCCTTTAAATGTCCTACCATCTACAGACGCAGGAAGCCATTGGTGGCCGAGGCGACAACCCCGCGCTCATTGATGTATCGCCGGGGTACAATGGCCAAATCGGGAGCCAAAAGAATAAGCCACCTGTTGCAGCCAAGTGACTGGCACGGAACGACTAATTCGAGGCCCCCATAACACAGTCGAGGTCGGCCACTGAGAGGTTCTGTTCAATGCAATTAGGAGACCGGAAATGGCGGTACAACCGGTATGTCCGCCCGCCACGATCGCGCAACTTCCCACATGTACATCATGGCGACTTCGGGCCCTGCTCGCCCCATGCAGCCACAGTGGAAGGCGGTACCCACCTCCTACAGGCAAGACCCCTCACTTCTCCAGATGCCCCGCCAAAAGAGGAAGAGGCAGCCGCGCCGGTGCAGAGTCGGTGGTAGTGGTTGTTTAACGCAAAAGGCAAGGAGAAAAAAATTCTACCCGGAGTGGCTCGCTACTCGCCAGTGACTCCGTCTTGGTATGACGAGGGGTTCAAAACTTTTTTTGCCTTTGTCCAAGAGAAGAGGTACAGTACTAACTATCCTTGCCACGCTTTCGGTACAAACGGCCTTGCAGCAAAACTTGTTCCCTCTCTTCAAGCCGAGTTTTCCTAACATCTCGTGACTCACCCCTCGACACTTCCATCTTATAACCAGGGCGACGGCTGATTTCTTCGACGACCTCGAACATTGTGAGCACGACACACACCACAACCTGAAACCCCAGATAGCCTGTCCCGAGCTGGTCCCTCGTCTTCGTCCTCGCCCGCACCATCACACCTCCACAAAACCCCTCGGAGTCCATTCTCGTCGCCCCGCATCACCGCCAACATGCCGATGTAAGTCTTGACTCGTTCCTCAATTCATCTTTGCCAAGGGCGAAATCATGTTTGCGCGCTCCATTGAACGCTCATGACCTGCGCAAGTCAATTGCTAATGTCACCCGTCCTTCTAGGCTCCAAGACCCCTCAAAGAAGTATAAGAGGTTCCCGCCTCTGCACCTTCCCGACAGGCAATGGCCCAACAACACCATTGACAAGGCCCCTCGATGGCTGTCGACAGATCTCCGTGATGGGAACCAGAGCTTGGTGGACCCCATGGTAAGCGGGACTTCTCCCTACCGTCTGCTTCCTTTGGAGCTTTTCTTTTCGGCTAACAAGCATCATTTGCCTCATTTTAGAACGGTGATGAGAAATGGCGCTACTTCGAGATGCTCGTCGACCTCGGGTACAAGGAAATCGAAGTTTCTTTCCCTTCCGCCTCCAAGACCGATTTCGGCTTCACAAGACGTTTGATCGAGACACCCGGAACGGTACCCGATGATGTTTGGCTTCAAGTTCTGTCGCCCTGCAGAGAGGAGCTCATCAAGCCTACTGTTGAGGCTGTGAGGGGAGCTAAGAAGGCCATTATCCACATCTATCTCGCCACTAGCGAATGCTTCCGGCGCGTAGTGTTTGGCTTTACCCCGGAAGAGAGCCTGGCCTTGGCCGTACGCTGCACCAAGCTCGTGCGCTCCCTGACCAAGGATGATCCTACCCAGCAGGGAACCGAGTGGGCATTCGAGTTCAGCCCCGAGACTTTCTCTGATAGCGAGCCGGATTTCGTAGTACAGGTATGCGAGGCCGTAAAGGCCGCGTGGGAGCCCACCGAACAGAACCCCATCATCTTCAATCTCCCCGCGACGGTCGAGATGTCTACCCCCAACGTCTATGCCGACCAGATCGAGTACTTCTGCCGCAACATCACCGAGCGAGAGAAGGTGTGCGTATCTCTGCATCCTCACAATGATCGTGGTTGCGCCGTCGCCGCCGCTGAGCTTGCCCAGATGGCCGGAGCCGACCGAGTTGAGGGCTGCTTGTTTGGAAATGGCGAGCGCACTGGAAATGTGGACCTCGTCACTCTCGGCCTCAACCTCTACACCCAGGGCATCCACCCCAACATTGATTTCTCCGATCTGAACGCAGTCATCGATACCGTAGAGGTCTGTAACAAGATTCCGGTACACCCCCGTGCGCCCTACGGTGGATCATTGGTCGTGTGTGCCTTTAGCGGCTCTCACCAGGACGCCATCAAGAAGGGGTTCCAGCTCCGCCAAAAGGAAGGCAAGGCCTACGAGGATAAATGGCAGATCCCTTACCTTCCTCGACCCGGAAGATATTGGCCGTACATACGAGGCCATTATCCGCGTCAACTCCCAGAGCGGCAAGGGTGGGGCTTCGTGGATCATCTTGAGAAAGCTCGAGCTCGACCTACCCCGCGGCCTCCAAGTCGTTTTCTCCAACATTGTGCAACAAAGAGCGGACCAGCTCGGACGCGAGCTCTTGTCTGCGGAGATCACGGAACTCTTTGAGCAGACGTTCCACCTCAATGGCAACCCCCACTTCAATATCGTCGACTATTCCATCGCGCCCGACCGCTCTAAGTCGCCTGCCCCTCCCGAGCCTGGTAAGACCCAGGACACCAAGGATCTCATGCGTGTCTTTGAGGGTGTAGTGGTCATGGATGGCCAAGAGCAGAAGCTCCGTGGCCGCGGCAATGGTCCCATCTCCAGCCTGGCCGACGCTCTTAGGACTGTTGGTATCGATTTGGACGTCAAGGAGTACAAAGAGCACTCCATTGGCGGCGGACGAGATGTCAAGGCTGCATCCTACATCGAATGCACCTCTCCGGACGTTGGAGGTAGTGTCTGGGGTGTTGGTATCCACCAGGACGTAGTTCAGAGCTCACTGATTGCCTTGCTCAGCGCCGCATCTATTGTAAGTCGATTTTACCCCTATTCTTTTTCCTTCCTTTTCCTTTCCCCCGCTCTCGTTGTCTCTACGCTGTTACTAACACGTGTGATTGTAGCTCAGGCAAAAGAAGCCCACGGGCCCCGCCATCGTGAAGCCGGTACCGCAACGATCCCTGAGCCAGGACCTCAAGGCTCCTGTGGATGTTGCCGACTCGAGCAACGGTGCGACTACTGTGCCCTCGATTGTAGCGGCCTTGGAAGAGCAAGTAAATGGATCGCAGTAAACCAATCAACCTACTTTTGAGTCTCGGGGGTCCCTTTTCCCTTCGCCTTCCCCCTCTTCCTTTTACACAACCGACCCTTCCTTCCTCTCCCCTCTCTCCCCCTCTCTTCTGTGTATAGGAGGAATCCATAAACGGGGAAAGGTATCACAAGGTCTAGCCGGGCGTCCAAAATAGTATGAGTAAAAGAATGTTGAAAATTTAGCATGGGCATTGGGATGTTTGCATAATTTTGTTTAATTGTTTCCTGTACGGCCTACTTGAAGATATACAACCGAGGAGAATTAAAGGGTGCGTCGTTTTACTTATTACCAACAAGTGGATCCTCCATTCTCACCTTTGTTGATATGTTGGGATGTGAGGCTGGGGATTCGCCTACGTCTAAAGATTTTTTTCCCTTTTCGTAGGCGAAGTGATGACCTGTCCTTCCTTCCTCTAGAGAGCGGTGTGGGCTACGATGTTCAACAGAGAGTAGGTTCCTAGACAAGGGTCATTATGTGAGATGGGCCGCATTGCCATGGCCGACACTGATTTCGTCGAGAGAGACATTTCTACGACAAGCTGGGGCGGGCAGGGGTGTAGCAAGTAAGACACACGTCCCATTATGACAGGCTGTCCCGAGGGCCGGGAGACGGAGTCGGAGTTTGCTGCGTGGAGCCGCCGTGGTGCTTGGTGGCCTACCCTCGTCCCTCACACTCACTCCGCAGAGTTTTTGGGAGCCCGCGCTTGGGGTTGGGGGACGGGGACCATGACCGAGCCATGTGTCATCAGGGCAATGGCACGTATATACTTGTTTTGGATGCACCCATGGATCTCTGCATCGAAACGGTTGAGGGACGAGGGGCGTTGCTGGCTCCGGCAGGCGGCTCCGCTCGTAGCGGTCTGGGAGTGCGCGCGATGGCAGCTGCACTTGGGGGTGGCCAACGCAGCACCTCGACCGGGCCGTTTCTTCGTCCTGCCGTATCAATCAGAGCCAAAGCTTGGTACCAAAGGCGGGCCGGGAATATCACGTGTGGGACGACATACGGCGGGTGCAGACGCCGCAGACGGTGCTGTCCAGTCCATCCTCCTTTCGCCCCGTTCGGGGTTGAGAATGGCGTAAGCTCACGGGAGGGTTGCGAGGGTGCTTTTCCAAAAATTGGCCAGGGCTAACATCACGTATCGCCCAGAAAAAAATTGGAATTTGAAATTTTATTGCGAAGGAACTGCCACTCATACGACCTACGCATTCACATGATGGTGGTGAGCAACCTGTTCCAAAAGGGCGCGAGGTTATGAGTTGGCTGGTTGGCTGGTCGGCTGCCGGAAATCTGGGGCTGACGGAAGGGCTCCACTGATTACCACGGAGGCTCAAATGGAACTTTCTAGAGACCTCGCGGTCGGCGCAATGCACAGTCGCGCGGAACATGGCGTGCACATATTCGGTGGATGAGGCCAGGAAGTACTTGTGATGCAGCTCCGGTCACAAAAGTCGTAGCTCCGATGTCACAATGGAGAATTGATGATTCATCAACTTCGTGATACTGCCTCGCCTTGCCCTTTGATTGTGTCTATCTTTCCTCTTCCCGCCCACCTTTTGGAGGGGTAGGAACATGAAGGGTTAGGGAGGGGAACTTTGTTGCACTGTACGGGGGCACCCGTTCACGTCATTTCGCCAGAAACCGCCGCCTAGACCATCAATGACGGTGTTATGTTGCCTGGAGAAAGCTGCACGAACCCCAGCTTCCTTTTTGATGAAGAGCACGCCCATTAAACCTTGTGATAGACACAGCCAGCGTGTGCAAAGAGAGAATCCCATCCTGACACTTGGGCAAAAATATTCCAGGTAGCTGTGGCCAGCTCTGCCGGATGGGATAAGGGTCTATTATCTGCGCTGCTTGTTGGGAGGGTGTCTCGGGGTTTGCTTCTCCTGCATGTGGGGAAAGGGGGCTCTGGCCCGAAAGCTCTGACCCAGGTCAGGGCGAAGAGACACTTTCGAATAATATTTTTGTGACCTCTTCTGACCGTTGCCCCTCTAAGCTTTGGTACTTCGCCCTGCCTTCAATTGGAGGTACTAAAATAACGGATGATAAGTACCTGGTGGGGTCGGGGACAGTGATCCACCGTGCTTTTATTACGCAATACAACAGTCCTAACGAACGTTGTGTACAAGGCTCTGCGCTTCGCAAATACTTTCCTTTGGGGTTTACCGTGGTTCAAACTCTCAGGGAAAAGAAAGATCAAGACGCAAGAGAAGGGACGGTGGGATACTTGGGAGGTCTGACCTGCATTGATTCAAGTCAGTGCTAAAGAGAAATCTTGGGGGAGCAATCGAGCCTTTGACGGAGTTTCGTCTTTGACAGCCTCAAACTCGTTCAGAAACAGCGGCACACAGGGCGGGTATTGCGTGTCGAGCAATGGGGCGAGCTAAAGAGAAGAGCAGAGATGCATGCGACGCGACTTCCGAAATAGGCTGGAGGGGTCTGTTTACTTTCCAACACAAACAAACCGGCGCCCCTCTTTTTGATCAATTGACGGTATTTTATTTTCTTCTTTTCCGACCCTATAACCTGCAGTGCTTGCAGTGCTGTCTGTCTTTTCTTGCCTCACCCCTTCTCCCCACCACAGTCGCCGCTCAGCAAGCCGCCGGTCGAGTGCCTGGATGGTTTCTTTTCTTCGATTGATTCAACGTAACTGTCGTTTGAAGGGTCGGATGAACTGGGGGACACTTCTCCGTCAAAGGACCCATGACCGCCACCGCCACCGTTTTACTTTTTGGCAGCGCCGGAAATAGGAAACGACGGAGATGAATCTTGGACGCACTGTACACCATTATTACGAACCGTCAAGGTCGCCTTCATTTCCCCCTCCCCCGACCCTGCTACGACTCCTCCCTACGATCACTTCCTCCCTCCTTCCCGTGGCTAGGCACGGGGAAGACGATGGAACGAGGGACGCCAGCGCGGTGGACAACGGGCCACCGGGATAACAAGGAGGCAGCACTTCTCTTATAGATTCTTTGGCAGAGGAATAGCTTTTGTAGATTTGTTGGAAATCGTGTCTAGGCAAGCACAAAAGGGGAAGGAGCGGGGCGGTCAAGCCCATCCGCCAAAGGCAGCAGCCCCGACTCTACCGTAGGGAGGGGAGTGACTGGACAGAACGCGCTGGACAAGGGCTTGCTGGGCCATTGACCCATCCATTTCATCAATATGGATGGGAATGGATGGGTGGAAAAGACAGCACGGGCTGCGATGAGCACTAGGTAGAACGGGCTCCGCCGCTCTCCCGCCTAGCTTACGCGCCCCCCCGGCTGGCCTGGGTCTCTTCTTATTGCAAGTAGTACAACTATTACACTATTAGGACGGACGACCCAAGTATGTAATCAAAATCATCTCTGGTTCTGGGGCCTGATCCACGCTAGATTACATTATTTTGCAACTTCCGCCAGCCCTGTATTGTACCCTTTACCCTGCTCGCCCTTTTTTCAAACTTTCTTTTCCTCCTCCACTGCTCTTTCTCTTTCTCTTTCCCTCTTGACATCTTGTTTTTCTGACGCTTGTTTACCCTCAATTCTACCGTCTCTTCCCTTTTCCTTAGGAACCTTCACGCTGTCCCGTGTCCTTCCCTCCCGCACGGGTTTTATCCAACGCCATTGGTAACAACAAGCCAAGGAAGAAAAAAAACACTGGTCGATTTCCACTCCTTTTTAAGCATCGTCACCCTCTTCCTCCTGTACGGATCAACCCTCCGACAATTTTCTCCTGGCCTCGTCTTCCCCCCCACCACTGCCAGTCTTGGAAGAGCGAAAAGAAAAAAAAAAAAGGAATATAGGAAAGAGGAAATAAATCATGTCCAACACCGAGATCAATCAGGTTTTGGCCAATTCGCTGTCTCCAGGTAAGAATCTTCACACACAAATTATGGGGGAGAAAATGGAACTTTCCCCCTTCCCCTCCCGTTTCCATAGTGTCTGCCTATCATCATCTCGTGCAGACCTCCCACAGGGCTACATGCACATGCATTTGGAGGTCGAGCAGAGAATAGCTCCTAGCTCCCCGTCCACCGCCACGTCTTTGATTTTACCTGTTGAGCTTCCTAAGCCCTCTCTTATTTCTCACGTTGGTCATGTCGTCGAATACACCTTGCTCTGACACTTTCCCCCAGACGCGACTCTCCGCAATGATGCCGAACAACAACTTTCACAAGCCGCCGAAAACAACTTCGTATGTCCTCCTCACACTCATTCTCTCACTGATTTTGCAAATCCTTCTTCATTTCTTCCAGGCTAGGCTACCTTTGATATCCTTGCCTTGCCATTTTTCTTCGTCCTCCCCTATCCCCCTCTTTCTTCCTCTCTTGTTTTTGTTTTCGACTCTCCAACCCTCTCTGAAGCTTGGCTAACCTCTCCTCACGCCCACCTCTATAGCCCCTATACCTTGCCACTCTAGTACAAGAACTTGCCAACGAGTCCGCGCAAGGTCCCATCCGAGCCGCTGCCGGTATTGCGCTCAAGAACGCCTTCACAGCCCGCGATTTTGCGCGACACCAAGAACTCCAATCCAAATGGCTACAACAAACTGACGATGACACGAAAGCGAGGGTCAAGGAGCTCACCCTCCAGACGCTTAGCTCATCTAATGCACAAGCTGGTACCGCTGCCGCTCAGGTCATCGCCGCTGTCGCGGCTATCGAGCTTCCTCGGGGTCAGTGGTCTGACTTGATGACTATTCTTGTCAAGAATGTTAGCGAAGGTGCCCCTCATCAGAAGCAGGCTTCTTTGACCACAATCGGCTACGTTTGCGAATCCCAGGACCCCGAGCTCAGGGCCAGCCTCATCAGCCATTCCAACGCCATCCTCACAGCCGTTGTCCAGGGTGCGCGGAAGGAGGAGGAAAACCTCGAGGTTCGCCTCGCTGCCATCACTGCCCTCGGCGACTCGCTCGAGTTTGTCGGTAACAACTTTCGAAATGAAGGCGAACGTAATTACATCATGCAAGTGGTTTGCGAGGCAACTCAGGCTTCGGATCCCCGCATACAGCAGGGCGCCTTTGGCTGTCTGAACCGCATCATGGGTCTCTACTATGATAACATGCGCTTCTATATGGAGCGTGCCCTCTTTGGACTCACCATCCTGGGCATGAAGTCGGATGACGAGGACGTTGCCAAACTCGCCGTCGAGTTTTGGAGCACGGTTTGTGAGGAAGAGATCAGCATTGAGGATGATAACGCGACAGTTCGTTTCCACACCCCCTCACCCCACCCAACTCTCCCATCGCCAACCTCTGCAATTGTATAGAATACACATGCTAACCGAGCCCGTTTCACTAGGTCGAGAACTCTGACCAGATCCGGCCATTTTACAACTTTGCTAGGGTCGCTGCCAACGAGGTCGTGCCTGTCCTTCTCTCCCTCCTTACCAAACAGGACGAGGACGCTACTGATGACGAGTACAACCTTTCACGAGCTGCCTATCAGTGCTTGTCCCTATACGCCCAAGCCGTGGGCTCCTCTATTCTCACACCCGTTCTCCAGTTTGTGGAGGGCAACTTGCGCAACGATGACTGGCACAACCGTGACGCCGCCGTCTCTGCTTTTGGTGCTGTCATGGAGGGTCCCGAGGAAAAGGTTTTGGATCCCATCATCAAGCGTGCTCTCCTTCCCCTGATTGCTATGATGGATGATAGCTCTTTGCACGTCAAGGACTCGACCGCTTACACCCTGGGCCGCATTACTGAGGCGTGCCCGAGCGCCATCGATGCCGCGACCCACCTCCAGCCTCTGATTCAGTCCCTCTTCAACGGTCTTACCAACCACCCCAAGATGGCGGCTTCCTGCTGCTGGGCTCTCATGAACTTGGCTGAGCGGTTTGCCGGCGAGCCCGGAGCTCAGAGCAACTCCCTCACTCCCCATTTCAATGACAGTGTCACTCACCTCCTTACCCTCTCTGCTCGCAATGACTGCGACTCTGCCACCCGAACTGCCGTGTACGAAGTATTGAACGTCTTCGTTCAGAACGCCGCCAACGAGAGCCTTCAGGCTGTTGCCTCGCTCTCCGATGTCATCCTCAAGAGGCTCGAGGAGACGGTCCCCATGCAGTCCCAAGTCGTCAGCGTCGAGGACAAGATTACCCTCTCTGACATGCAGACCAGCTTGTCCACTGTCCTTCAGGCCATCATCCTCCGGCTCGACAAGGAGATTGCGCCCCAAGGTGATCGCATCATGCAGGTCCTGCTCCAGATTCTCAGCACCGTGGGTGGCAAGTCTAGTGTTCCCGAGGCCGTATTTGCAGGGATTAGCGCTCTTGCGACAGCTGTTGGAGAAGACTTCGTCAAGTACATGGAGGCCTTCAGCCCGTTCTTGTACAGCGCTCTTGGCAACCAGGACGAGCCTGGCCTCTGTTCCATGGCTATTGGCCTGGTCAGCGACATCACCCGCTCCTTGGCGGAGCGCAGCCAACCCTACTGCGATAACTTCATGAACTATCTCCTGAATAACCTCAGGAGCACCACCCTCTCCAACCAGTTTAAGCCCGCTATTCTCCAGTGCTTTGGTGATATTGCCGTTGCTATTGAGGGCCACTTTGAGACGTATCTGCCCGTCGTCGCCCAAGTCTTGCAGCAGGCCTCGAGCGTTACGGCCTCCCCGAGGGTCCTTACGAGATGTACGACTACGTCGTTTCCTGCGTGAGGGCATCATGGATGCCTGGGGCGGTATTGTCCCCGCGATGAAGGCGAGCAATAAGAGTAAGTTACCTTGCCGATTCAACCCCGTTCTCCTGGTCCGCACCAACAAGCTATGTCTAACTAACCATGGGGCTACAGCTGGTGCGCTTGAACAATTCGTGCCTTCCATCTTCACTCTCCTCCAGTTGATCGCAGACGACCTCAACCGAAGCGAGGCCCTCATGCGATCGGCCATGGGTGTCATTGGGTAAGTACCGCGCGCCTTCGAGACGGGCCATCCCCCCTCCCAAAGATATCGCCATGTTAACACGCGGTTTAGCGATCTTGCGGATGCCTACCCTAACGGCGAGCTTGTAGAAGCTTTCCGCCAGGAGTGGCTCACTACCATGATTAAGCAGACAAAGTCCAACCGCGACTTCCAGCCTCGCACGATCGAGACTGCTCGGTGGGCCCGCGAGTTGGTTAAGCGCCAAGTCGGTGGCCAGGCTGGAACCATGCAGCAGGCCTAAACTTCTATAAGTTGATTTCACCCGCTGGCAAATACGATCCCTCAACCCCCGCGCTTGGCGAGGTCGACTTACTCGCCTTTTTCTTTTTCTTATCATTGCCCCCTTTCCCACCAGCGCCCCTACACCAACCATCCAGCGTTCGCCCTAGGACCGAGCCCGAAGCCAACCCGACCCCTCGCAGAGGGAATCTAGGCTCCTCCAGGGCGTCCGAACTGGGATCCTTCCCCATCGCACCATATCACTAAGTCGTCATTTGCAAGGTGTCTTCCTGACGCCTGTGTATATAACCCACTTCCATTTTTTTACTGGCTCACTTCATAATCACTACCCTTCCAAAGCATCATACAGTTTCTTGCGTGCCACTTCCCCAGATCATGACACTACACAACGATTTATGGCGTACGACCTTATCGTTCTTCACATTCCCCTTTTTCCAGTATCCCTTGCTTAACATTACGCCCAATCGACAGCCTCCTCTTCCCTTCGTCTTTTTATCTCGTAATAACGGTCTCGCGCGCGCCCGCGTACGCCCCTTTACCCATTTACCCTCTCCCTCCCTTGATTTATTCCTTTATCTGCTGTTTTCCTTGTGTCCTTTTCCCTTGTCACTTGCGCATCCCCCACGGAAATAGAGAAGGCGTTTATCATGTAATGCCCTCGCGTCGAAGGATTTTTTTGGCCCAAAATACCCCTCGATTAGCGATTGGAGCAAACACTAGTCATGTAGATTTGATGGAAAGAGAAACATCTTGGGCCCGACATGTCCCCCTTCCCCTTTGGTCAGACGTGGGGAGAGAAAGAAGGTTTGCAACTCGTAGCTTTTTCTTCTCTCTCCCTATACCGCCAAGTTTTTTTTTTTTTTGGAATCGAAGAAAGGATCTGGGCAATACCTAGGACGCGTTCAAGTGAACGGTCCCCTGTGGGCCCGGAGTTGAGGACTTGATGTGAGATGTGAATAGATGGTGAATGAGAGTACTCCTACCCCCTTGTTTTGTCAATGGCTACACATCGTATTCTCATCGGCTCGTTATTTTTGATGAACTGTGCCTATCAAAATGCTATTCGATGTCTACGTGTAATCTGCATACCCGCCCCGCTAAACGTGAGCGGACATGTATCTCAACTGATATCCATATTTTGACCGCAACCGACAAGCATGTTACACTTGTTCAAGTGCTCATGGAACCTGGTAATGTCTACGACAACAACGCCATTACAAAACCAAGAAGCGATACATAGGCGGTCGTGAAATAGTCATCATTCATCATTATGTATATAAGAGTCCCTAACCCCTTCGGCTGACCCGCGAGACGAGACGCCCGGTGGACTGTGCCCCCGTTCTCCCGGGAGAAGCGCTTTAGAATAGCGGCAAAGGATAGAGTGAGAGTGGACAGAAAATAAGAAAAAGGAAGAGAGGTAAAAATGCGGAAGGGGTAAGAGGTGTGGTTTGTCTGGGGGCTAGGGTGGACCGCAGGTACGTTGTTACCAAGAGAGTGAAGTGTTCCGGTCGGTTTTTGATTATAGGCTGGGTTTGGAGCGAGATATAAACGGGTTGGTTTTGATGAGAAGACACGTGAGTTTAGGCGGTATCGTAGAGAGAGAAGAGTGCGTTGGTGCCAGGCCAGGCCTGCTCTCCATCAAGATAGAACTGCAATTCGGCCTCGAATCCGTCGTTACCGGGGCCGAAGGTCGTCGTTGCGGGCGAGTAATAGGCACCCGAGGGGTCATACATGTCCTGGGTGCTTTGCGGGGTGGTGGGGCCAGCCTCGAGAATATGACTTAGGGATGCGCTGGGCTGGTTCCCTGGGTGGGTGAATTGCTGGGTGAGCGGGATCAATGGGGTAACGATACACGGATTTGGCGGTTGAGCATGGTACATGTTATGGACGGGAGGAGGGAGGATATTACTGCTACTCAAAGCAGTCGTTGGTGCTATCCGCCTAGACTCTTCTAGCTGGTTGAAGCGGGAGGTTGGCGACGGGAGAGAGTTGGCTGCCAAAAGGCTCTTAGGACCTGGAAGAACAGTGGGAACAGGGTCACGCTTCTCGTGGAGAAAGGAGAAAAGAGAGTAAGGTAAGATTAGCACATTCCTAGACAAAGAAGGATAGGGTAATATAAGTCATCGGAAGGGAGGGAGAAAAAGAATGCTATGCAACTTACCCCATCCGCCATGCTTCCTTCGAAGGCAACGATAGAGGACCCTTCGGGTCGCGGGATGATTTCTCAAGCGCTTCAAGCGCTTCAAGCCACCGAGAGGCTAGCGGCCAGGTGTTTTTGCATTCGTCGAGGATTTCCATGGTACGATGAAGCATGGTGAGACCCTTTATGGAGATGCTTTGGTCCGGGCAAACTACGCAAAAAAATGGTTAGCACCACATCGCTTCTGTTAGCGAAGCTAGGGCGGTACAGCGGGAATCTCGTACTCCTAGGATACTTGACGAGGTATGTCGAAAATAGACCGCAGCTGTAAACACAAAATGCCTGTATTGCCAAAATTCTTAGCAAACTACGCAGTTTCTTTGATAGCCAAGGAGGGAGGGATTAGTGGAGGGAGGAGTCAACGCATACGGCCATTTGCGCTCCTACGTTTTCGTCCCGGGTCCGGGGATTAAACTGTGCATCGATTTGTTCGTAAAGGGCTCGGACGTTGGAAAAAGCTCGGCCGAGATGTGGGTATAGTTTGCATATTCGTCGCGATCCTTGATCGACTCTAGTTGGATAATTCTAAAAGATTATTAGGCGAGCTACTCAAGAAAACCGGGATGCAGACCCGCAGCCATCAACGATACCATACCTATGTAAGTGCCCCTGCGCAGGACTATATTACAGAGTCTCGTCATCATCGTCACGCCGAGATACGCCTACAATTGGTTAGTGAAAACGAGGCGCCCATCAATGCTGTCGGCTGAGTGCCGTAGAACCGACTCACCAGATTCTGCCGGTCAGTTTTGTAGCCTCTCAACATCATCGGACTCCAAGTGTGGTCTTTAGGGAGATTTTCTTCCCATGACCTGAGCTTGTCCACCCACCTTCCAAACTCACTCCCCGGATCCCGGTACCGTGGGAAATGCCTCTTACGCTCCATGGCTCGACGGGCGATGGAGCCCCAGTAGTAATGGATTTGTATAAGCGATGCAAAAAGCGAGCGGTTGGGATCGATGAGGAGATCGGGGTTTTCAATAGCAGGAGGGGTATCTTCGAGCGCGGCGCGCGACTCGGGAATCTTGCCATTTGCGAAGCTATCTTCATCGCAGGGGAGGAGGGTAGTGATGTCACTCGCCGAGAGCGATACAGGGGATACCGGGCCGGAGTGAAGGTTGTCTTGACCTACATTGTGTTGCCAGTCAGAGTCAGGATGGAGAGGAAGGAGGGAAGAGATATGAAGGGTTGCCGGCAAGAAACAGAAACAGGACCAGGAACAGGAGCAGAAAAGAGAAATAGGGATTAGAAAGCATACTGTGAAGCATCCACTAGCCGCGAAACGAAGAAAAGTTAGCAAGGAGTGCCGAGGGGATAGCGAGTTTAGCGCACAAAGGCACCGAAACCGCGACAGAGGTAAACCTTACCAAGGTGCGACGCGCGGATTCAGCTCGGATGATGTCGTCAAACGAGCGGTTTTCTGAATTGTACGTCTCTTCTCGATGGAGCTGCATCAAGATAGCCATCCTAATAGCAATTCCCATGTTGATCTGTATTGCTAGGTCGTTAGCTTGGGAAGAAGGGGGTGGGGATGAATTCAAGGCGGCGATGGGCTGCTTGTCAACATACGTAGCTAGGGTTTTTCCAACCACTTCCTTGTTGAGAGATGCTCAGAAGATAGAAGGCTTGACATGTTTCGAGGCTAGGATCGTAGATCTTGGTTATAGCAAGCCGCTGAGCATGCTCCATGAAGGTCTCGGCAGCCTTAACACCACTACTAAAGCGCCGGCTCAAGGAGGGGTGAACCTGGCTGATACGCTTAGAATGGTGAGGAGCAAAAAGGGCTCACGGAAAGGTGATCCTGCGCAAGGCGTTCGGGAAAACGTTGCTTCGGGATAAAGCCGAGCTGAAAGTAGTGACAGGTGAAGGTATCGACCGCCTCAATAACCTCGTTCAAAGGAGGCAAAAGGGCCCACTCATCCTCGATGGTCATGCTCTGTTGGCCGGGTGAGGCTAGAATGGACCCCGCGGGCTCCGCGGTCGCGCGACGACCCTTGTTAGGATCTCGCTTGAGCACACGCTCCGCCCTGGTCCGAGGATGACGGTAATCCCGATCACTATCGGGCTGACCACGAACGGGGAAAACGCTAGACATGTGTTAGCGTTTTTGCGGGACAAGGTCGCGGGCCTCGCAGGCAACTTCAAGAGGAATGAGACGATACCATTCACTCGCCGGCAAGTTGGCGTCTCTACACGCCTTACACGGCGGCGCCGACTTTTCGTGAATACACTTGCTCCTCATGCGACGACATCTAGGGGACTCATGTTAGCGATAAAGGGAACATGCTAGCAGACGACCGAGACGAGAACGAAGCCCTGGGGGCATCACGGGTATGGGGGAGCTCACCTTCGGCAAGCGATGGGCGCTCTCCTCTTGATTGGGGGCTGAAGTTGGTCGCATGCCAGCGATGCAGTCTCCGAAAATTCCGTCTTCAAGCTCGGGGCGACTCGTGGAGGAGCATGAGGGAGCGGAAGGGCCGGCCGCGATTGGGGATCCATAACTAGAGTGGTCTATCAAGGAACTGCATCTGGAAGGACGTGGGCGACGCTAGTGCAAAAAGGGCACTGGGTTTCCGGGGCCCAAGTCGCGGGCAGGGACCCTTTTAACTGATAGCAGCGGCTGCTCTTGCGGAAAGAGGACGACAGCTGCTAGTTTTAGGTAGGGCGTTTGAGGTTAGAGAAAGGGAGGGGAGGGGAAAACAACGCAGAATACAAGAGGCAATAGCGATTAGATATAAAAAGATTATCGACAGATAGACAGGAGAAGAAAAAGAAAAAAGGCACAGGAGGTACAACTGAACGAGGGGAAAAAGGCAACAAGGATCAAAGAAGATGATCTTGAGCAGGGCTGGATGAGGGGGTGAGAGAGCAGCTTTAGAGTCCGTGGGTGTGTTCCGACATTTGGGTGTTGAGGTCGACTTTGAAGGTTGGAGATGTGGACGGACGAACAAAGAGTGAGCGTCTAAATCTCCAGCTACCAGCGGCGGATGGACAAGGCTTAGAGCCCTGCGAAAGGGTCGCGCATCCGCAATATGAAAGAAAGCAGAGGTGCGGCAACAATGTCGAGGACTAATATGAACCAGGTAGCTTTGGCCTCCGGTCGGTGATATGATCGGACCTTTGGTTCTTTCCCTTCCCTTGGTGTCCTCTTTTCTCTCGTTTTCTTTTCTTTTCTTTTCTTTTCTCTCTCTTTCCCTCGGCTTTCGTTTTATAAAAAAAAAAAAAAAAAAGAAAAAAAGAAAAAGAAAAAGAAAAAGAAAGGTCACAGAACAAAAGGGGAAAAGCAAGCACAGTCCTTTCTGTTCACGTTTAGTCCTTCTCTCCTTCTTCACCCTCCGGGCTCTAAACTCTATCTCCGCAGGGAGCTGCGGGTTGGGCAAGAGCTGACGGGCTCGACGGCACAGACAGACCAGTTCCTACCCACCCAAAAACCTGTTCGAGCTTATCCCGGCAAGTTCCAGGATAAAGAATGTGGATGGCTTGTCGACTGGAGTAATAACGCAAATGGCTTTCATCAACTGCATGCGCAGGGGTAGACCTCATGAGATATGGAAAGGACGAACGGAAGAAAAAGTAAGAGGGTTAAAGTGAGAAGAAAAATGGCGAGAGAAATAGGGAAAGAAGGGGGAAAAAATAAAAAAATAAAAAAAGAGGTTTGTAGGGGTGGCGGACGCCTCAAAAGAAGAGACAGGAAGGAGGACCGGGGTTGTCGAGCTGGATCAATGCGTGTCCTTCGGATGTGGGTTCTTAATAGTGGAGTGGAGGGCGGGGGTTGGAGTTGTGAAGGGAAAAAGGGTGGTGAAAGAGATCAGTGTATGCGTCAACTGGTCTTTCTGGATCTCAAGCATCGGCAATGAGGGTTAGCATCAGCCAAATCATGAGTGAGATCAAATTGCGACGAGTCACCAAATTCTTGGGGTTGCCAAACACCTGCCTGCAGGCCCCGTCCAGTGCACATTAACTTGTAGAGGGAGACGATATTAATCAGCTACGTGTATTGGCCGGATTGATTCTTCGCCCCGTCATTGCCTCCAAGATCAAGGGAATGGAATCACTGTCTGTGCTTGTCGACTATGAATACCAAGTTGTCTGTAGCCGTCAGGGGTTTGCGGACCCTTGACCTTGACTGAACGGGTGTTGGGGGTCGGGCCAAGGGGCAGGCTGAAGCTTTGGTAATAAATGAGCTCAAAAGGGGAGGGGAAACCATCAGATCAATCTGTTGACGCCGCCCTCAATGCTAGATCAAATGGGCAGAACATCCAAGGAGGCAACAGGAATGCGAGGTGAGGATGTCGTGAGTCTGTTCTCCGTCTGACTGCTTTCCCCCTTCCCCCTTCCCCCAATAAGGTCAAGGAAGCGACCTAAAGGACGCAGGTTGCAGGGCTAGAAAGCGAAAAGGCGTGAACCCCGGAGTGACTCCCTCGTGGGAGGCTAGCCATCGCCCACCGAGCTCCCCAGCTCATGTTGGTGTTGGCTCAAGGGCAAACAACCCAAAAAGGCACCAACAGCAACAATAGTACCTCCACCATTGATCCGTGCCCAAAGTACCTTTAGAGCTTCCTGGCTTGGCTCTCATCGTGTTGTCCGCCAGCCGCTCCTTCCAGATGATGTGCGAGCTGGTTTCTTTTTTATCATTTTCTTTTAAAAAGAAAAAAGTACTCGTACAGCCGGCGAGAGGGTTGTAGGTGGTAGGTAGCCAGAGCCTGGCAACAGCGTTCTCCCGCTCTGGCAGTGACGAGTGCATGCGAGACGGGATCCGGTCCATTGGGCGTTTAGACACTCGACAGTGGTCCAGCCTCTGGTACTGGTATCACCAAGGACCAGACATCAATCATTGAAGGAAAGTGGGTGAGAGGGTGGGTCCCCCTTCACCTCAGCCTGGCCATGAATCCCGCGTCTCCATTGCATCTGCAGGTATCGCCAAAGAAAACTGCACCGGGCTGTCTAGCGTTGGGGTTGGCTCTGGCGTTGGCGCTGCGTGTGAGGTGTATTTCAGGGACGGTTCCAAATCAGTGATGCAACACAGCACATTCGGTTGGGTAGGCGGACATTTCGAGCTCCACTCTTGAGATCAATTCCATCCACTTTTTTGGTTGCACACGTAATAGTGGATGATGGTGGGAGATCAGTGACCCGGCGAGCCTGGCCAGCCACAGCGCGTGGTTCAGGGAGGATCCCGGCTACCGTCCCCCAAAAGAATAGCCTCCAGAGCTCCACATCCTGGTCTCGCTGGGCCGGACCGTGAGTTGCCCATCCCCCGGCCCATGTACGGTTACTCTCAACCTCCATTAATACAGCAAAGGTATTACATATTACGTTGTACGCTGTACATGGAAGAGGTAATGGCGCAATGTGCGATGTTCGTGCAAGCGCGCATGTGATTGCAGGGCATCAATCGTGGCTGGACGTTTCTTTTTCTCCTTTCAGGGTCATTCCCCTCCCCATGGCCACGGAGACAAAGGACATTTGGTGATCCCGCCTCTTACCATGAGCGCTACTGTTGTGCAACTCGTAGGCTTTCGGCGGAGGTAGGGGTGGGCGGCTGTTGATGAGACGGAGTCAGAAAATGCGGCATGAATAATAATAGATGCAGTGAAATAGCAGATGTTTTGCGTTTCGAGTCAGATCGCATCCAGCCATCAATGATGTTTCCTGCTCGGCCTATCCCGGTCAGATCATCGCACCCGCTTTGCAACCGCACATTCGGTTGTCGATCACATTGTTGAAACAATCAGCTTTCCAACTTGGCTAGCCCCCTTGGCTCAAGCGTCAAGGCTAAGGGAGGAACCAAGGGCTGAATTAAGCACACCCGATGAGACTCGGCCCCATCAACCAGTGTTTTTATTCTATTCCCCACAGCCATTTTTTTCCCTAAAGGAGAAAAAAACCCCCAAAAGGAGAGATTAATGGCCTGATCATGCCTTTTAACCGTGTGTTCGGGCCTTTAGTGCGAAAGATGCGATCTCCCATGTAACCCAAAGCCAAGTGCTAGATGTACTAGCATCTGTACGAGTAAAAAGGTTGACAAAAGGTTGACAGAAAGGTTGACAGTACACTTGAAGATCTGAGCCTGGCAAAACTTTAGGGATTCCGGCTTGTGGGGGAAAAGGGAAAAAGGGAAGGGAAAAGGGGCAAAGAGGGAGGGATGCCCACGACGATTGCACCATCTGCAGAGGCGGCCTCGGTTTGGAGTTGCGACAGCCCCTCCCCTACCTCCCTCTTTCCCCTTTCATGCTCTTTTTTTTTTTTCCCTTTCTCCCTCGGGGCTTTGCTCGAAAACGGAAAACGGGAAACAGAAGTGTGCTGCTGCTTGTCTCAAAACTTGTCCTCGCCAACTATGAACATCAGCCGGCCGGCACACGATCAAAAAGAAGCATAACAGGAGGCGAGCAAGGGGGTGATGTAGTGGGCAAGGTATTGAATATTGAGAAAGCGGATGGCGAATGACTGGCAAGCAGCAGTAAAAGATGCGATGTCTACTAGCGACCGAAGTCTCCAGCACAAAGCCCGAAATAATAATATAAAAATGAAAATGAAAATTGGGAAGAAAAAAAAAAAAAAAAAAGCCTAGGCCAAAGCATCAAAAATTTCGGGCCCATTCCTCTCGTTACACTGCCTTCGACCGGACGTTATCGGTGTGGAAATTGCCTCTCGTGCAAACCACTCGAGAAAAGCAAATGATGCGCGTCTGCGTCTGCTCAACTAGCTCACGAGCCTGACCAGGACGATCTGAACCAAGCGAAAGAAAAAAGGAAAAAAAGGAGAAGAAAAAAGAAAGCAAGTATCACGAGTCCCGAGGGAAGGAAACGTCTTGTTAAACCAAGACTCAACAGATGCTAGTTGGGGCGGGGCTCTTGACGCAGGCGCGGACTCTGGCTTCTTAAGCCAGCACGACTCACAACGACTTTGCCACTCCGAAATCGTGAAGAGAGAAGGAATCGCGGGTTAAGCGGATAGACTTGTATGGAGAGATAGAGAGAGACCGAGATGAGAAAGCCCCTGTGGACTTCTTTCCCTGAGAAGAACGTTGAAGATGAAAGAGGGCGGAAATTTCCTTGCGAGTGTCGGTTAGGCCAAGGACAGGCTCGCCTCACGCACACCGTTGACCCGAGGCGGAACGTCACGGATGAACACTATCCCCGAGCTAGCTGGAGCCAGCCATTCCTGTGTAACCGCCATCTCGCCTAAGAGACAGCCCTAGCTCAAAAGGACACAGCAGTGAAGCGGCACGCCCTCCAAGGCCCCCAAAAATAAAGAATTGAAATAAAGAAAGAAAAAGGAAAGGGGAAGGAAGAAGGCGGGGCTGCTCACGTCTCGCCGAAATGTGCGTGGCCGACTTTCTTTTCCTTTTTCTTCTTCTTTTTTTCGATTTCAAAGGGGAAAAGAGGGAGGGAGGCGGCAAAGCACATACATGGTGTAATAGCGCAAAGGCCAGTAAACGCCATTGATCAATTAGATCAATTAGATCCATTGGATTGATCAGTTGTTGTCTGATTTAAGTTGGGGAAGATCAGCTAATTTTGCTTGGGGTTGGTTAGAGGCCCCGCTTCTGTTGGAGGCCTACGGCATGATCAATCGCGCCTCTCTTGACCGGGTGTTATTAGACCAGTGCTCGAAGTTGGAGAACGGAGAAACCTAGCAATAGAGTGTATTCTCCGTCTCGGCGCACTGCTACTCATGGACCCTCGCCAACGGGAAAGTGGGAAAGCGGGAAAGCGGGAAAGCGGGCCCAACATTGAGGACAAACAGCATCACTGACCATCACATCAACACCCCCATACCATTTTTAGTCAAGAACCTCGGCTGAATGACACTTGCCACTGGCTTCGTTGTTACACATTCTTTGATCTGACCGACTCATGAAGGTCCGCGCTAAGGGTGGTCCCTTGAAATAAAATTGGCCAGAACTCTCCACACCTCCCGCAATCTTCGGTTGAGCACGTTCGGGCCAGACCTCTTAAGAAGAACTGGACGACTCAGCTGCCGCCTCAAGGCTCATAGCGTCTTTAAAGTTTGGGGTATTCGACGGGGCGCCGTTAGAGTACGTTTATTGGGACTACCGAGGTACACTATTGACGTATGTCCATTCAATCGACAGATCCAGTAGCTGGGCCCTCAGTGATCTCCAGGTCAGAGTAGCCCCTGCTGCCGTTAAATAGCACTTGAGAATACGAGCTCGGAGCACGCCGTTTTTCCCTCCCCTCTTTTCTTTCCCCTTATTTTCACTCCATATACCGAGGTATTGTGGTTCATATAATTGATTCTTCTGTCCCTTGGCTGCATATGGATGCTTGACGTATCGGGGCTCGAAACCCGTCAACGCCGAACAGCAAAGACCTACGTGATGTACCTATAGCTACTACTCCTCTAGTTTCTTGAGAATGAGAAATACCCCGCAACCACCATCCATCCACAACGATTCTCAATCGGAAAGAGGGGTAGGAGTGAAAGAAAGGAATTGCTGCATGTGGTCACCCACACCTTGATCGACATCCATGATTTCTCAAACACTTCGCCGGGTTCAGGGAGTCTATGCATGCTGAGAAAAGCCAGCATGAAGTGTGAGGTGCCGGCCGCACCCGCCCAACCTTGAAAACGTCGCACCAGGAGACCGCGCATATTGTCCGCGTTGTTGATCATAACCGCCCTTTTTCCGTCACTGGCCCGGAACCAACCAGATCGCAGTAGCCCTTATATCACTACAAGTGCTTCGTCCGCGACCTGATAATGGTATCTGGATAGGATCAAGTGGCTCAGATTGTATAGTTGTTGCACATGGCGAGAATAGGTCCAACGCAACCGGCCTCCTCCGCAGGTTGCTCTTTCCCCTTCAGGGGTCTCTTCTTGCACCCTAGAAACGGGTCCTCAAGTCTCCATACGATACAGCCCGATCTCACGCGCGAGTGCAATGGCGAGGTCTCCGCCCCTCTGGAGCAAGCACTGGTTATCACCGCTCATGATTAGGGTGATTGGGCTCCCAGAGTATCGTCCGAATCAGGACGGAGTAGGGGAAGGCGCGCTCGCCGCCTCAAGAGTCACCCCTGGCCTTCCTTAATCGAACCCAGCAATTCATGACATCTCTACCTATCGATGACTGGAGCTAGAGAAACGGGGACAGGTAGAGGGCTCGTGAAAATCACTAGAATTAGCCCCGTCCCAAAATGGTATATAAGTCCGGCTCCCTGAGTGCCGATCATCTTCTCTTTCTTCCATCCCTGGAACATCCGCCTCTTCAACCGGCATCTCTCACGAATTCCGGAAGCCTGCCTCTTCTTCCCAAGTCCACCAAACCGACCCTGAGAGTAAGCGAATCTTAACCCCCAAGATATCCGTTAGAGAGCGAAGCCATGCTCTTTTTCAGACGGGGCGACGGTAGGAGAGGTTGGAGAGTTTGGGCGACTCCCCGCGGGCTCGAGCACCGCCCCCAAGCTGGTCCCCTCGCCGACGTCGTCACCGACGGCACGTATCTAGATCACCAGCACCATCACCATCGCCATCAGAATCACCACCACGATCAACATCGAGATCAAGGAGTACCGAATACTACCAAAGAAGCCAGTCTCGAGGTACATCCGTGGACATGGACCGCGGCTCACAAAGACGGGCCGAGCTCCCCCGAAATCCTAGACGCGTTCGAGAGGAACATGAACTTGTAGCGCGAGTCCACCAGTCTCCTAGAGAGCATCCACAACCGCGTGGAAGTGATCGAAGCACGTCTTGCAGCGAATAATCCGACAGGGCAGGGGGCGCCCCACGACACGGTACCACCACAAGCCCACATCGCCCAGAACACCGGTTCCGTGTACGGGCCACATATTTCCATTCAAGCCAATATGAAGCGTCCCGCCGGAGCGGAAGCGGAAGTAGAAGAGCAAGAAGCCCGAGCGTTCCTCGAGCCCAAAGAGATAGATCGCAAGCCTCTCAAACCCAGTGGTCTCGCAGAAGCGGTCCCGCCCCGGAGGGGCCTGGACGGAACGGAGCGATGCATCGACGGTAGTTAGCCAGCAGGCCCAATCCCGAGGAACAGCCGAACCGATGAGACCACATAACCGCCAGGGCTCCATCCCTCCGTTCGCTAGCAGGGCCTCGTCGACCTATCACGACCGAAATGAAGCACGCACTCGCTTTAGGGCGCCTTCGCAGTCCGGCTAGGCCACGGACCGACGATCGGGTCCCGCAGCAGGTAACGCACTCTTCTACAACCCGGTTCCCTCTACAAGTGAGCGGGACTCTGTCCGAGATCCCCAGCCAGGCCCCTGCCAGTGCTCTGGTGACAGCGTTAGTATCCAGAGCGAAACACATACGGTTCCCGGCTATCTGTACGATCCTGTTCCGTCAGTGAGTGGGTCTTCATACCGAGGTGACTGCGAGGACTGTGATTTGTACCGGAGCAGAGTGTGCTGTGGAGGAGGACGACGCTACTAGTTTCCATTACCGTGGACTCTAGACACGCATGTGTAGCTTCATCGATCGACGACGCGTAATTTCCCCTTCGCGGGACGCGATATCTCCCAGCAACACCTACGATGGCGGCCTAGTTTTGGAACCATGCATCCCTTAGATCGAATCACGCTAATTCGTGAACAAGGTGACGAGAATGTTTGCTTGGAGATAGAAGAAGCAAGTTTGACAAATGGGTTATGTCTAGGAGGAGTTGATTTTGAGAGAAGGATGTTGCAATCTTGGGAAAAACAACCTAGCAAAGACCTCTGCTAGATCACACTTGCAATACTAGGATAGCTATCACTCAAGAGGGAACTACTGGTCTAGCTTGAATAGAGATTCATACTTCTCGTCAAGAACAAAGGCAAATCGGAGACTTTTTACTACTATCTTGCATTATTCTACTCACGTGATAACAGGGAAAAGCACACTGCTGCACACCCAGGTGATCGCTCCACCTCAAATGGCACTTGAATGGTTTGACTGACTCCCTCATCTCAGGGCAGACCTAGGGAGCCTGGTTGCTTTTTTAACCTTCCTTCCCTCTTCTTAGTCCTAGTAGTGTTGACCAGAAGTCCCTCTTTGTTCCTGCTGTCGCATTTGCCAGAAGTGGACCTTATTTTTCTCATATCCGTACAAGCCGTTATCGAGGATGGAAACCCCCGCTGGACGCTGGTACGCCAAGCTAGCTACATAAGGGCCAAGGAGAACTATCGACGTCATATTCGTAGCGTACGTGCATGCAGCGCTTCCGACAACGCAGAACATTATAACACTGACGAATCACGTCTCTTGGCCACGGAAGCTGGCCGCAGCGTCATCTCCTCGGGGCAAAGTGAAGAATCGCGATGCTCAGTATCAAACGCGTCTGCTGGCCAATCTCAGAATAGGGATAGGGAATACTTTTTGGTAATACTCTTGGAAGGCGAGCCTATTCGTCAAGAGCTTGGCTGTTTCTAGCTGTTACAACTAGCCGAGACCACTAGTCCGATTCTACCTTGATATAGTATGATGAAGCGGTTAATACTTGTCAAAGGGGTCCGTAAGTTGATGGTAGATAAGCCTCTACCAACTGCCCTCGTGTCTTGCCTGCCGGGGGCACGCCTTAGAGTTGACTTACAAGGACCGTGGGACAGGTGGACTTTCTCACTCCGTTTCTTCTGTTTTTTTCTTCCTTTCTTTTGTTCTTTTTACTTCTGCCCTTCTACTTAGAGGTGGGAAGAAGAAAGATTGAATCGATACACCTGACGAATCTTAATCGGAGACATTGATGGAGAAGACGTAGTTGATCGAGGAAGGAGGAAGAAAAAAGCAGGTCAAGATAACACGAGCCAGAGAAGGAAACAGGGAAGTCGTTCCGGTAGTCGGCAAACGGATCGTCGTCCCAACACGTAGTCTGGGCGATAATAATTTCAACTAAGTTACATGTATAATTCGCTCGCGCGAAATGAGAAAAGTATATACTCGGCCGTCATCAGTCTTCCGGGAATGACCCCTCCAACGCCTTCAACCCGGAAGTGCAAAAATGTAAAGAGACAAGTTGAGAAAAAGAGTAGGGGACATGGCTAACAGTAAAGAGGCTAGCCAAGGAAGGTACATGTAGGCTTTCCAGCACGAGGGCCCCCGGAGCATGAGTGAGGCGAGAGAGATCCGCGTGGTGTGGAAGGCAATGAAAACAAAACAACCTGACATCCATACATGTAGCAATTGTAACAACAGGAACCAGCCGAGCCGTGAGGCAATCCAATCTTGCCTAGCCGCGAGGCCCATCCATCTTTTTAAAGGGAAGAAAATCGTAGAATAGCTTCCGCCCTAAGCATAGGGTATATAGAAAACGCAGGTCGATAGTGAACTCGTAAGTGGGAGGGAGGGGGAGAAAACAGGGTGGTTTAGGAGGGTAAAGAAACAAGGACAAAGAGAGAAGAAAAAGAAAAAAAAAAGAAAAGGGGCTGTCATCTAGGGGTTGTAGTTCGGGCATTGCTCGAGACCGCCAAACTTTGCATCAAAGCGCAAAGATGATACGGGCTTCTCGCCCGCTAATACATAGGCCAAGTGGGTATATGCGGTCCTGTTTTCTCCCGCAGATGGAAATACCCGGATCGTCGATACGAGCGAAGCGTGACGTGGTTGACCTCTATTATCTCATGGCAAGAGATTGATGTCCCAGTCCAGGTGAAAGGGTGGTATCAAGGTTGGAACGGCGGTTGAGGGGTTGCCGACAAGTCCGAAGAAAAAGTATAGGAAAGAAAATAAAAGAAATGTCGCAATGCCTCGGAAGAATGGCTAAACGAATAGCTCCGGGCTAGGATGGTCTACCGCCTGTGCTTCTTCGAACTCGAGTGTTTGTGCGACGAGGAGTGATGCTGGTCATGGTGTCTCCTGCTACTAGAACCGCCGCTGCTCTCCAAGTCCCTTTCCATTGTTTCAACCCTCGACCGATATCCGCGAACGATATCTCGGATGTTGCTGATTCGATCAAAGTCTTCCTCGAGTTCGTCGAGTTGTCTCAAGATCTCGTGGAACCTCGCAATTTCGGCGTCGGCGGCCTCGATCAGATTCCCGGCGCGGTCATACTGCGTCTCCGTAAACATGGCGCTCTGCTCACTCAGGTACTCCATACGTCGCTGCACTTGGCTCATTAGGCTGTCGAAGTAGCGAGAGAGCTGCGCCAGGGATGAGCTATCCAGTAGCAGTATCCCTTGGCTAGAGGCTCTGCTTGCAGCCCTCGACGAACTGGAGCCGTTGCCGAGTGTCGCTTGGCCCTGACGTAGCAGTTGAATCTCTTCAGGGGTTAGCCCTAGTTGCGTGTCGGGAACTCCTTGCACCGCAGAGCTCGGCATATTGGACAGCTTTTTCGGTTGATCCACTAGACAATGCGGCGTGCGTCTAAGGGGGATGTGTCAAGAGGAGCGGCGCGCGCAGTGGGCGGCGCAACGCGGCCGGCCAAGGTGGCGGCGGCAGGAATAGGGCACGATCAGTCAAAGGAAAGCGGGCGGCCAAAAGAAAGAAAAAAGGAGAGGGGGATAGGAGAGGTGGGTTGGACAGGCGTTCGCAGCAACAACGGCTACCCACTGCGTTGGGGGCTCTTAGCGGGGGCGGCAATGCGACGCAGGAGCGGTTGGGGAGGGCCCGACAAGTATAACAAGATCAATTATTTGGTGAGGTGGTCGCGATGCTATCTTTTTCAATTGTAAAGGCGCCCAATGCGGGCAGCAGTCTGGGAGGGTTTCGGTGGTCGGGTACAGCGACAGCGTCGGGCTCGAAACGGCGACGAATGGCATGGGGCGCAGGCGTAGATTTCGGGGGTGTGATGGCCTTTCTTTCGGCGAATGGTTCTGGCAAGAATTCATGGTATCGAGGGAGGCTCCTAGGTTACTGCATTGGTCTCGAGACTCGATGGGGCATGCCTCTAATTTGTGACGAACGCCAACAAAAGGAGTGACAAGATTTCCCTCAGGAAGGATGCAGGCGAGGAATCGAGGAGCTCGGAGGGATAGTTGAGCTCTCGATGGAGCGGCTGCTCGGCGAGGGTCGTGGTCCAATGCTCAATGGCGGCGTCTGCTCAGGCTCGCATCAAGATCGAGGTGGCGCACCTGCTGCCAGCAGCTGTTCAAATTCGGGGTTCAGATTGCGGTGGGGCGTAGGGGAATGTCGACAACCGAAGATGCTCTGTGCCAGTTACGAATGTTGTTTTGTATTTTCCTTTTTCTGGTGTCCCGAAGAAACCTTCGAAACACGGACGGGACTTGGGGGAGGGGAACCATCCAAAGAATTTCAACAGTCAATGTGACGAGAGAGAAGGAACTGGTGGACGCATCGGCGGAGCGAGGGGGAAAAGGAAAGGGAGAGAATGTGGGAAGAGACAAGAATGTGTGATAAGAAGAAGAAGGAGAAGAGGGCGCGGACGATGTGCGGGAAATTGAGAAAGGGGTCAATCTCCCGGGCTCGAGGAGAAGAGGATGGGATGGTTTTCGAGTCGAGGGAATTGCACCGTACTCGTGATACCCAGGAACAAAGAAAAAAGAATGCGAGGGAAAAAAGCCCGGACCGCTGAATGAACCGTCTGGGCTCTCCACCCACCACTAGCCGGACCCGAGAGAGTTGAGCGGTCTGGTCTCAAGCATGAGAGCGTGAATTCAAGTCCTCCCGACCTGGCAGCTTGGTGCTTGGCTTGAGGTTGCCGCCTCCCGGACCAGTCACAAGTCCGGCACCGAGCCAGGGCATGAGGACATATCCTAGCCCCTAAACTCTTTTGGCTTCCGAAATGATGTTTAGTGAGAATTAGTGAGAGATTGTCGGAATACCTTGTCATGTACTCCCATTTAGAAAGCCGTGCTGGTCATGTTGCTCCTCGCTGCACCGTAAATCGTTGCCTTGCCTGTTATATAACAGCGATGGAAGGGGTGTCGGGAAGAAGCCTCGTGGGGGCGCGTTGCTCACGAATTTCCATGTCGCCCCAGAGACAACAAAGGTTCGCATGCCTGTTGACTCACTAATACTTCGTACATGTCGTTTCAAAGAAAAGAAAAAGAAAAAAGGGTCCACTTGACGTGACCATCATCAAGGGTCTACCTATGGCCCATAGCCCTGCTGGCTATCCGATCTAACACCGCGCGTATGTGTGCCATCGCACATTACGTTCATGTCTCTCACCTCCGCACTTGAATGGCGGACTGAGGTCTCTCAGGGTCGAGGTACTACATCGGGCTCACTATCGCTGGAAGAGAAAGATGCTACCGGGAGAAAGAATATTGACTACTGCATGTATGGGCAGGTGGTGATTTCCTCGTCTTCCTCCTGCACCGAGCCACGGGCCTGCCTGGCCTGCGAGGGCCCATATGAAGGAATAGGATACGACTTGCCTCGATTTCATTCTCTGCAGTCATTGCATTCTCTGCAGTCATAGTATGAACGCCATTGGAGAACTTATAGCACAGCACGACAACTTGACCGTCAGTAGCCCTTCTAGAATTGTTGCGAGGTGAAGCAAGCTTGACGCATGGCACTTGTACATGGCATGGGAATGCGCTCGATAAACAATGGCTTGGGATGGGCCTGGTCGTCTTCTTCTCCGCTTCTGTCTAGGGTGGGCAAGATGTCTATGCTTGCTTTTTACCTGTATTACCCGACCGGATGATGGCATTTGGTCGAAGAAACGATGTCGAGGCAATCGAGAAGCTCGTACCACAGCGCTGGAAGGCGTGACAACTTGCGCCGGGCCTTTCCCCCAATTCGTGTGGCAACACCACCACACTGAACCAGCTCGCCTTCATTGTTCTCATGCGAGAGGGCCGCTTCCCAACACGCCTATGCAAATTTCTTCGAGAGGTAGTCGCAGAACAACCTAGGCTCGGGTGTTATCATGGCTCGCCCTGAACGCAGTCGAAACGTTGATGAAAGTTGTGGTCAGGCTTGTTCTGTTGGGGCAATTAATATAAGTTCCAGCTGCTTGTACGACTTGATACCCTCCGCGAGTAGGCGCTCTGGTGCGAAGACATGACCTCTACCCAGACACCAAGCTTTCAGTCAATGTAACCCTTGGTACTTAACTGTACGCTACGAGGTCACTTTACCCAGGAAGGCCACATGAGTGCGGAAGGCAATAACGGGGAACGGAAGTTCGAGTCGATTGTTGCCGACAATTGATCTAATATTTGATCAACGCCGATTCACAAGGCGTGCAAGCGTGCTAAGATGTGGCTAGTTCGAAAGCAAAGTGCCCTCAAGTGCCCTCAAGTCCTCAAGTGCTCTCTTGTTCCCAACCACACCTTCCTTTTCAACCTGAGACATGATCTCAGATGGCAGCCGCGACCCCTCTGCCTCGGTACGGAAGCCGCCTTCTGTGCCCAAGACAGGAATGTTTAGGAAAGGACACCCCAGAGTGGCGTCCAATCTCTTCATGTCTTACGTCTTGCCTTGCTCTGGAAGAGGAAAAAGAAAAAGAAGGCCAAAGATGTGGATGCTGCCAAAGTCTTGTATTCACACTTCAGATCTCGTGCACCTCAACCCTGTACCTCTCCACTTGGGCCCGTCGCGTGCGGATCTGCGAAAGCTGCCGTCTGTGGACGAGGAATGGTGAGAAACGAGGGAAGAGACAATCAGTGGGAGTGAGCATCCATGATTGCCAAGAATTATCTCGCTCCTCGGTGAGAGAATTAATGCACCCATTGTGAACATCCCGGTTGCTCATGAACGCCACGCCCTAGTCAAGTGACTGCGCTATATCAAAAGTTTAGGCACATATCTCGTCGGATACCGCAAAAAAGGTGCGGGATGCGGCCATCGGAGTATCGAGCCGCCACGGTACCCAAGGAGGTGTCCAGGTCCTTGCAGCCATCTAGGGTGCTGATGTCGATGTCGATGTCGATGTTGCGGGCAAACAGGTGGATGGTAACCTTTAAACATCCATGGATCCATAGATCTAATACCTCACATCCCACCAGCCAATCTCAGCTCCAACGCAGATCGCTGCATCTCCCCCATTCCCCTTTCCCACATCCATGCAATACCCGATCCTTTGGTTCTAGGCTTGGCGGGGACCGACCTGTCCGAGTTCGCATCAAAATCCGCGTCCTTCTGTCACGATGGCGCGTCCTATCCTCTCTTCAGCTTTTTCCTACTGTTGGTTTTCAGTGTGCTTTTGATTCATAGCTGCCAGATAGGGACGCGCGCCTGATCAGATTCCCCTTCCCAGGCCCTCCAGGGTGGTTCGTCCCTACCATTTGATCGCGTCATTAGGTTGCAGTACATCTTGATGTCGTATTTTCCAAAGGTCGATGCCCCACAACGCGCTTTTTCCCTCTTGTTAGTGTCAAGTGCTGGGAGAAAGAAAGAAGAATAGCAGCACAGAGAATGCTCTTTTATGCCCACCAGTTGCTGCGAGAATGGCACCTAATCCCTTCTTCACACCTCAATCCTTCCACCGGTCGCGGATTCTCTTCCGAACGGGGTAATCTATCCGTGGCCGGTCCACGCCCTTTTCTTCGCGTGGACCCTTTTCTTTTTCTGTTTCACTTCCTTTCTTCTTTTTTTCTCCCTCTCCTCTCTCCTGGGAGCAGTGCCTTTTGCCTTCACTCCTGAGGGTATACGAATGGAGGAGAGGTATCCTCAGATCAAAGGCAAAGGCTGCACCTCCGAGCGTATCTCGCCACTACCAAACCCACCTAGTATCCCGATTCCATTATCGCAAGGTTGCAGCACACTTCATCCACGCCATGTCAGATTGTACGTAAGGAAGGGCCATCTCGTAAATTTTCTTTTCATGTTGGGGGCAACGGAGAAATTATCTGCGGGTAGCATTCATTGCTATCCCATGCCCGCATCTTCGGCCACTAGACAAAGATCCACCCATGGCCAATTCACTTGAGGACGGGAACTAAAAAGGCGGCCAATCCTCTAGCAGCTAGCTCTTTAGGGAAGTGCGTAGCCCATTGCTCCGTGTCGTCGGACATTTGTTCATCTATCAAATAGGCATTCCACCTCTCGCGGAGGCTGATTGATATAGATACCACCCTAGGTAGACTGCCATGCATGCGCAAATTGGCATCGGAGGCATCCTCCCGGCCTTTATACCCTTCGGTAATGCTTGAGTATTGTTGATAATAGACGTTGAACGCCTCATCGGCGAATTCTCTTCTTGTATAAGATGGACGACGTCGCGGCATACGCTTCGAATAATGGAATTGGCAAGCATCTTTACGCGCGTTGCCCGTTTCCTCCGCCCAAACTAGTGTGATATCGCCCTGCAAGCGGCACCCAAACGCATGATGTGGCTCTCGAGACTGGCTTACGGCCTTGGCCTGCTCTCCACGGTTACGGGAACTATTCTCCAGAACGGTCAGGTCAGAGAGACGAATTACCCTGATACCAGGATCGACCTAGCCGCTGGATCGTACACGACCTTTGCCAATAACGCCTGCGCCATCAGCTACCTCGGGCGATGGGACTCAAAGAAGGTTTCTTGGTGGGCGTAAGTGGGCCCAAATTAGGAGATCACTCCTCCTAGACGAGGTTCTACGGAGCTTTATCTTTCCGGCCTTGCTATGATTTGGCCAGATGTTCTAACGCGCCGCGACGTTCTCTCTAGTGCTCCCGGTATCCGCTTTGGCTTCACCGGTCAGACGGTTGCTGTCACCTTCGGTGAACACACCATCGACGGAACCCTTGTAGGCTACCGCCTTAGCGGCCTGGACTGGCAGTTCACAAACGTTACCGCGGGTGGAACCCACCTCTTCATCAGCCCAGAGACCGAGGGGATCGACCTGACCGCGCCCGTTAGCCCAAACACGTTTGAGATGAGGGTGACGAACTGGGGCTACGGCATCCAGATCGATAGTGTCCATGTCGGCGAGGGTGACAAGATTGTCAAGGTTGCGCCTCAGCCCCGGTTCGTCGAGTTCATCGGCGACAGCTTGTCCTCCGGCATGTACAACTCGTACGAGGCCCTCTCGGGTTTCGCTTACGGCGTCGGACAGGGTCTCGGAAACACGGAATACTCCATCACGGCGTACCCGGGCATCTGTGTCGCCGACCAAGACTGTTGGGGAAATACCAGGGGCCAGAGCCACCAGTGGTTCTACACCACCGACAATAGCTGGAGGTCCAAGGAGCTCTACGGCGGTTAGTGTATCACGTTCCCGGTCAATTTCCTGCATGGCCGCCATTCTCGGAAACAGACAAAGAGGCGGATGCGGAGGTGGCGGCGCGGGCACGAAGGGGGAGGGATTGTAGGGAACTTTGGGCTGATGATTTCTCCTCTAGATGAACCGGAGGCTTGGGACTTTGAGAAGCAGCAGAAGGCGGACCTCGTCGTCATCAACCTTGGCACCAATGACGCGAACGCCGCCAACAACGTCTCAAGCGCAACCTACATCGAGCACTACAAGCGCCTCATTCAGGGAATACACGGCGTGTGGCCCGATGCCCAAGTCATAGTCATGGTAAGCGAGGCGAGGCGCGGCCTTGTGATGGATCGTCGAGGATGCACGCTGACCTCGGGACCTCTTCGCAGCAAATGTGGCAAGGCTTCTACCAGGACGGCAACTCATACAACCAGAACACCGACTTCCGCAACGAAGTCTACTCCGTGTACGAGTATTTCAACTCGGAAGAGTATCTCAACAACCCAGTCATCTGGGATGGTATTACCGAGGAGGCTACCGAGACGAACGAGAAGGCGAAGCCCTTTGTGCACTTCTTCAACACGACCGGTATCCTCCAACATAACGACATCGCACCGCAATGGCACCCCACCGACGTTGGACAGATCAAGGTTGCCAGCCACCTTATCCAATTCATTACCCAAAAACTAGGCTGGCATCTATATGCCACCGGACCCGAGTAAGTGTGCACCTCTGCACAAGTCTCACCCGGCTAGAACTAGGATATATCCTTCTAATGCTAATGTTTTCTTTTCCAGGGTCTTTGCCGATACTCTTTACTGGAACGACCAGTCTGGCTACTAGAGCCTGGACGAGGAGTGGGCGAGTCCAGAGTCTCGGCCTTCTTCACAATCAATTATCCATGGATGGTCCAGAAGAAAGTGAGCTTTGTCTAGTCTTTTGAAAGCACCGCTGCCGCATGCCCAGTTCTCAATCAGATATTACAGGGTCTCCTTATATCCATCGAGTGTCACTTGTATAAAAACTATTAAACAAAACGGAGGTTGGTTGACGGCTGTGCTGAGTGTAAGCTATCAAAACAGCGGGAAGAGGGAGAAGGCAGCCGTTCAATAAATCAAAATCTAGACAGTTTGTCTCCTTGTCATCATTTTCTAAGATTGGAAGCGGTGGTGATACTTTGCAAATGAACCAAGTATAAGCATTGCGAACAGCTTTGTCTTGAAAGTAAAGCTCTCCTGGCATGGAGCGACGTTCTCCTTGGCCCCGGGACTCGACGGAGATCCATACCGGGTGGTGGGCCGAGGATCGACGGAAACAATGGAAAGAATTTCCCGAGCGGTCGATCCGTGAGGCGGTGAAGAGGTGGAAGTCGGAGCTGCGGACGTCCCCACCAATTTTCCTGCGCCCTTTTCACCCCCTTCGCACCACTGCCACTGCTTGGACTCGGGCGAGCCGGCGTTCCATCTTTTTCTAGGTCTTGTTTTGAGCACGGCAAGGCGAACTTGCAGGTCAGTGAGCCCTCAAGCCAAAGGCCCTCTGGGGTATTCAAGAGCAAACATGCTCACACGGACAAGTCCCACGAGGTACACCCCTCCCTGGAGGCGAGGAGGTCTGAGGTGAAGGAGGAAGGGGGGTCACCAAAAAGGCAGACTCTCGGACCTCCTTCATAACCCTGGTCGAGAACTGTCAGCTTGTCGAGACCGCAGTAGTCTAATGCGGGTACTGTACGGACACAGAGGAACAGAGGAAGGGGCGTGTGGGAGAAGAGCGCCTTGTCGTGAGCGCCATTGAGCGGAGGCTGGCTTGCTGGGGTTCTGAAACACAAAGAGGAGCCTTTTGGATGTCGAGCCTTGAGGTCGCTATCTTTTTGTTGCGCTTACGAATGGATTACAAGGCGTTGCTGTTTTGGAGTTGGAAACGCGGGGATGCCGGCCAAGCGAGCCTTGGATACTACTTTACCACTTTGGCTCATCCGGCCTGACTGTTGAGGGTCGTCGAATGGTTTCAACTTGGTGGCTGATTGAGTCGAACAAGGAGGAGAAGACGAGAAAAAAATTGGCACAAAATTTTTTGATTGTTTAAAAGAGGCCAGAAGTGTGTGTAGTTGGATTGATCGAGCCGTCAACCCTTTGAATGCTGGCCAACTCTCTCGTTTCTACGTTTTCTCCCTCCCCATCGCCCGTCGAGCAATAGTGAAGGTCGGTGGGATTAGGATTTCTCCGCTCGCCTGTGCGGGATCAAAACAGAAGCAATTTACGAAAATCATTGGGGTGATCAACCGAGTGGAGGGTGCAAGAGCGAGCGTAGAGTGATAAGGTTGAAGCGATTTTCCCCCTCGCATCTGGCACATGTCGTACCTGCAGGTCGAGGCAGGAACGGGGAGATCTCCAACCCGAAAAAGGGACCGTGGGGTGTTGGTGCGTTGGAGCGTTGGAACATCTCGCAGGTACTGAATAGGCATGCTGCAGGGGATGGGGCAGGCAAGCTCCTCCAGGGAGAAGGTCGTAATACCTACAAGTAAACAAGCTCGACCCTTTGTCCTAAGCGAGGGGCAAGGATGTGCTCGTCCCCCGGAGCTTTGTCGCTGCCGCCCCAAACGCCTTGTGCTCCCAGAGCATGGCATTATTAGCTTGCTGGCTCATTCAACACCCCATCTCCTAGCAGAAATGATCACGAGACAGTCTGCCCGAGGACTTGTCACCACCGACCCATCCGGACGTTGAGGAGTCTGGGATAGAGCAAGGTGGTTGCTGCCTTTACGTCAGTTACACGTTGCGGCGACAGAACGACGAGGGTGAGCCTGGCCCGGCCTATCGTATCAAAGTGTTGTTGCATTGGCCAGTATCCCTGAGGATCCGAGGATCGACGCTGGTCCCGAAGCACGAGCCCTTCTCTGATCCTCCGTTCGGCTTGAGGATGGTGACGCGTGGATGGGTTACTGGTAGTGCAAGAAGGGGGCATTTTTTCCCCTGGTCTTTCTTTTCTTTTCGACCAAATTTGAATGGTGAAAAATCGATCTCGTTTCCCGTCTGTGCCAAATGTTTTAGTTCGTTGATAGTCCCCGAGTGAGAGAGCTAATAATTCCCTTTGACCAAGCAAACCCTTTTCTCATTATCCACGGTAGCGAGGGTCCGAGATCTTGCATCCTGGGGCCAATGCCCCCTTCTTGCCCCCGCAAAGGGGAGACTGATACATGGGTATGTTGTTATTGCATGCAGTCTTTTGCGTTCGTGCGGCTCCGTCACGGGCCACAAAGAAACAAATAAGAATCGAGCCTTATCGAAAAAGGCTCATGGTTAGAATTGACCGGCGGAGGGGCGTGGTGGCAGCTTTTAAAACAGGTTGATCGAAGAGCCATTTTCATCAATCTCTTGACAAAATCGAAAGCGGTTGGTGCTACACGACACTAGTGTTGAGTGGCCAATGTGCGGACATCTATTATCACTTGACAGCGACGAGATCTGACCGACGGCGAGATCTAGAAGGACTGGGGACAGTGCAGGATTCGAGAGCGCTGGTTTTCGTTGCCAGTGGGTCTCTCTCGAACCTGCTCCACGAGTCGCCCTAATCTACAAAAGGTGCAAAGCCGAGCACAGGCTAACGACGCCCCCGGCACGTGGGGCGAGTTTGAACAGTGACGAGGGCGCCGTGCCAGGCTGGTGCGTCGATAAAATGAGCACGTCAAAGTAGAAGCTTGAGAGCCTTCTAGACAGCCTTCTAGAGAGCCTGTTCTAGACAGCCCTAGAGACCTTTTGGCTGGTTGGACAGCACGAACCCGCGAGTCGTCCATGGAGGGTTCTTTGTCTGCGCTGGCTGACTCAGACAAGCTGGAGTCATTGATGAAATGATGAAATGATGAAATATCGCAGAATCCTGGGGCCTTTTGTTCAGACAACAAACCACTGAAGGACAATATCGATATCATCCAGGCGATAAGCCAAAAGAAAAAAGTTATTGTCATCTCTGGATGTTTGTTATTGTGCCTGGGATTTCCCGCGAGCTAAGAGCAATTAGGGGATTGCCCCGGGCCCTGGCTGGCAAGTCAACAGATCCGCTGATCAGTGGGTGCCTATAGTTCCAGCGATTATAACTCTCCATCCTCCACAACACAGCCCGTCGTATTGCGAAGGAAATGTCGCCTGCACAGGGAGGGAAGCAAAGTGTTGTCTAGGATCGAGAAAACGCAACCTTGACTTACCACCAACCGCCGAGGTACCATTGTGAGTGCTCGCCATCGAACCCGACCCGAGCTACAAGGCTTGGGGTTTCCTTTTGGATGGGCGTGTGGAGGGAACGGATCTCTTGGTCTCTCTACATGCATGCAGCTGAGCCTTGTCCATTAGACCGTATCACCCTGAAAAGTCCCACCATGATGTTTTGTCTCGTTGCATCCATCCTCCATGCGGGTCTGGGCAAACTGATCCTCGTTCTCAAAAACGAGGACGCTTGTGAAGCGCGGCCGACGGAGATCAAGGCCACTAGAGCTTGAACAGAAAGGCTGCCTTCTTTCATCGCTGCTCTGCTGTAAAGCTACCTGTACACCCCTCCTCTTAGCGGGGCCCGAGACCAGGGCTCTCCGCCCACCAGACACGGACGATAACGTGGTGTGCACGAAGCAAAGACGGACGGGAAGGCGTGGTCCATTTTATATTAAACATCCCTCGGAAGAGTCTTACGGGCTGTGTGTGCGGCAGAATCTGAGTATAACCGAGAAAAGGGAAGAAAAGAAGGGGTTCATTTCTCTCTCACCTAGCAGAAGCCAGTTACCCGCCCCAGTTCGAGTTTTGCCAGCTCGAGAAGCGGCAGCGAGCCCCTTGGTGATTGCCGTGCGTGACATTGTGCAGTTTATTTTCTTTTGACGAACTTTCCCGCCTGTTGTATGCTCATGATTCGAGGAGACGCCTCTGCTGGGGCCTTGATGTTTTGGTGGGGACAACACGGAAGGGGAGATGACGTCCGAGTTAGCGAGGGGAGCCGAGAGTGGTTCGCTCAGGTGAAGGGGTGAAGAGGAGTAACAAAAAAAAAAAAAAGACGACAGCTAGAAATTCGGATCTCTCGAGATGAGAAGCCAGCCCGCGATCGGCGGGGAGACGAATAAGTTTGATGATGGCCCAAATTCCCCGCTGATGAAGAAGTGATGGCGATGCGACCCTGAAGGCCAAGGTTACGAAAGTGTGCGCCCACAAGGAGTGGGAATTGTGCTGATCAATGACATCAATCTCGTCAATCTCCGCGGTTTTGACGAAGATCCCATCTCAAACGAACCCCGATCAAAATTATTATTCTTCTGGAAAGTAATAGTGGTCTTGGTGGTGCCACGGAGGAAGAGTCTGGATTCGGGTCCCTGTGGAGCCCGGCTGAGCTCTGTAAGTGGTACAAAGTAGCTCGCTGCCACCTTTCCCCCAACCACATACGCCACACCAAACCGCACTTTCCCAGTGTAACCAGCGGCTTCCAGGTTCAAATCCCCCTCCGCCCTCCAACTCCCGGCAGGATAGATTGGAAAACATAAAGGTTTGGCCGCACACTCCCATATTACCTGCTGTAACTACCCGGTGCCGTCCTGGCCAAGAAACGGCCGGGGCGGAGATGATTGGAAACGAAGAAGAAGGCAAAAGATTAACCCACCCCCTCCCCAAAAGACGCCGTTAGATAACCGAGTTGGCGAATGACCCCGAAGAGAGCGTGGCGAGCTACCAAGTACGACGCGAGTGCGTGGGAGACGCGTTCAAAGGTGACGAGGGAGAACCGAGGTATTCGATTTCTCTTTTTCTTTTCCTCTCGCAAGCGGTTTCCCCTCTCCCATGCCTGGCACCCATTGTTTTATGAAGTGGGCGAGGGAGGGCGAGAAGGAAGAGAAGAGGGGCGGCGGATGCAACCTTGGTCGATACGCCATTCCGGCGTCGATCTTACAGCTTGGGTACAAGACAAGGCTCTTTGTTTTCTAGTACTTACAAGTTCACCAGAATTTGCAAAGTAGTAGCCGCCGCACCCAGCAGCCGAGCTAGGCAGAGTGCATACATGCAAGGTTTCAGTCCTGTTCGAATGTACAAGTATTCATGGTACTTGCATAATAGAAAACACTGCGTTTTGACCTCACTGAGAACATGAACAAGGCAAAGGTATCGTCTATCTTAATGGTGATTGTATTGTGTTTTCTCGTAACTACATGAATCCCCAAAAGGGACCAACAAAGTACGACGAGCCTGTAAGAGATGGTGAGAAAAAAGGAAGCAGTCGTACAATTCGTAAACGCCCGTGTAAATGCTACATGCATGATCTCGATGTATCTGTCGAGTGTTCCCCTTCTTCCCACCAAAAAGTAACCGTGAGAAAGAGAAAAAAACAAAACCGGACTCGCCACGCCTCGCTCGTTCCCAATAATGACAGTGAAAGAAGAGATGTAATCATGTCCCTTAAGCCCGCCCAGTTTGCTCGCGCCATTCAAGACTCCGCCGTGAAAATGCCCAATTTTTCTTTCCTGTTGGATCCCAAGAATGTCCCGCTTATAAAAGCACCCTGCTGCCCTCAAGAACAAAAAGAAATGTGAGGCAGAGGGAGAAGAAGAAAAAGGAAACAAAGGAGAAAATGATGGCCGAGAGAAATGGCCCTTCGTCATAAACACGACGATCTCAGAAACCAAGAGAAAACAAGAGAATCGTCGTCGTGAAGTTGAAACTCTCCATGCATCGAGTCTATGAAAGTAGACTCGGAGAGGGAGAAAAGGAAAGCGTATTTAGGCAGTCAAAGATGAAGAGTTGCTCGAGTCATAGTTGTGGCAGCCTCGCTCATGACGCTTCATGTTGCTTCGGACACTGAACGCCTTTCCGCAGCCGGGATGAGGGCACTTGAAAGGCTTCTCGCCCGTGTGAGAGTGGCTGTGGATGCGTAGCGAGCTCGGTCGGGAAAAGGCCTTGTTGCAGGTCTGGCAGATATACCGGTCCTGGCTCTGGGGGTACGAGGTGGTGGAAGAGGGGGCAATGTAGTGGTGGTGTTGCCAGGGGTTGGCGCCCGAGGTAGGTCCCAAACCAACAGCAACAGGCATAGGCGGGAATTGCTACGTCTGTTGTTAGCGTCTCTAGTTCTAAAACGAGCAAGGCAAAAAGTCCAAGAGGAGAAGGGTCTTACCTGAGGAAGGGGACGCTGGTAGTAAAGACCCGAGATCTGGGGTTGGGGAGGAGGAGTAGGCTGCATGGGAGGGTAATAGGATGCGAGAGAGGGCTGAGTCATGTACGGGGATCCGTAAGTCTGCTGGGGATAAGAAGTCTGAACGGGAACGCGGGAGACAACAGGAGTCATGTGTCGGGGCTCCTCGAGAGGTGGGGTTGTCTCGTAATAGTAGTTGCCAACGGGAATGCTGCTAACCGACTTGGTGGCAGGAGAGGGATACCCATCAAAGGAGGCATCTGAGGTCATGGGAGGAGTCGGAGGCATGGCACCGCGCATCAGGGCGGGTTGCGAATAGTGTGCCGAGTTGGGCCTGGTATCAGGGCGGGAGGGGCAGGAGAAGCGACTAAGGCGGACTGTTAGTGCGCTGATCTGCTACACCAAGTCTCGTTCTCAAGGCGAGAACGGTGCTTGGGAGCACGTCGAGAGAGAGGGCTTACCTTGAGGCATCTGCTGGTGCATCTGCTGCATTTGCTGTTGGTGAACCATCTGCTGTTGCTGGTGGACCTGCTGCTGATGAACCTGCTGCTGAGGAATCTGCTGCTGGGTCTGTTGCGGGCTGGCCACTTGCTGCTGCTGCGCCTGCTGGTTCTGGGGAGAAGTCTCAGTGGTGGGCGAGCCAGCGTCCGCCAGACCGAGCAGGTTGGAGATGGAAGGCAGAGAGCACTTGTTGTCGTCCATCGGGGGCGATGGAGGTGGTTGAGGCGGTTGGACGTATCCGTAGGACGCAACCTGTTGGGCGTATGGGTTCGGTACCATGGTGGTCGCCATTGTAGATGTGTTGGTGAAAGACAGAGTGGAGTAAGAGCGAGTGTTGTTGATGACGAGGTTCCGGTTGTAACAGTCCTTGCCTTCTTCTCTATAAAGGTGTAAGTTGGTCGTCTAGGTCTCGTTGGTGGAAGAGCAGGCGGTGGTGATGCTTCGAGTCGTTCTGGCAAACGCAGTTGTTTTGAGCGAGAGTGAGTGAGGAAGAGGGTATTAGGCGGAGTGGTATTTCAAGATATATATGTAAGGAGTGTGGTGCAGTATGCCAGTTATTATTAAAACCCAAGAGCCAGCTGGATGTTATTATGGTGATGTTGTTTGATTGTAATAAATCTCGATCGAGGGGGGAATATCGAAGTGGGTTGGGAAGGGGAGGAGGGATAGTTTAAGTATCTCGGCCGTCCGAAAAATGGTCGAGGCTTGATCTGCCGAGTCGGTACAAGGCCACCACTGGGGACGAAGAGCTCGATCGAGGTCAATCCACCGTTGATCTCATGGAACATGGAGTCTTTTGTTCCAAGTCGGTACGTATCTTCATGAGGGAGGTTACTGACCTCGTCTGCTCGGTTCTGGGTATTTGCTCCTCCTGTTAAACTTGCACCCCCTCACCCCCTCCCTTCCCCCAAATCCCTGCCTGTCACATATTATGTGTGGGCCGTACCAGAAAAGACAGCCACCAGTGCACTTCCCAGTCAACCGGATGACATTAACCCACCGAATCCGTTTCCAACCACAAGTCGCATACCCTCCCGATCTGTCCAAGTGCGTTGCTCTGATGTCCAGAGCACGCACTAATCCTAACCATGCCAACCCTGCGCGCCGCTTGCCTAGGGTGGCAGTGGGAAGGGGTGGGGGTGTGTCGGGGGAGGAGGTGTGAAGAAGGGGGTGATGGGGGTGTGGGATGCGTGTGTGAGCTAGCACACTCGGCCCGGGGGTGCGGTTACAGAAGGGGTGTCGATAGCACCTCGCCTCTGCTTCAAGGGTCTCTCACCCTCCTGCCATGTTAACGGTCCACACGGTGATAGAGACTCGTAAAATGGTACGGAGGAGGTGGTACGTCGTATGCGCAGGAGCAGTTTTGTAGCAAAAGTAGGCGGGTGGATTGCTCTCGCATATTTTCCAACATCGCCGCTACCCCAATAACACCTCCTATTAATGTGCACGACGACATAGCCCGCGTCTTGTCCTTCTCTCCCCTGTAGAGGGTTACTGCCACCAGACGCAAGGCGCCGGAATATAACTTCACGTGCTGCTCGTCGTAGTACCGCTGTGGTGCTGCTGAGGTGCATTCGTTCCGGACCCGAAGATTCAAGCGCGATCCCACGAGGATACCTGGAGTTAGAGAACATGCAAAGACCTCGTCGATGACGGCCTAGAAGGATCAAATTCCTTTTCCGGTTCGTAATGGGCCAAACCTCGAGCATTTGCCAAGCTGCTCGGCTTTAGATTGGAGAGGTTGAACGTAGTCCTCCTGGGCATGCTGTCGTGCTGAGGAAAGAGCCCTGCCAGCCTAATGACCAAGACGGGGGTAGCTATCCAGTTCTGCCCAGTACAATTGGAGCCAGCGTGCTCCTTCCTCACAGTCTCCCCCAAAAGAAAAACTTGCTGTAGTACCCCACAACGAGAAAATAAATTTATGGACAGCCAGAATCGCAGATCATACTTGCAATCAGTGTCCCAGCAAGACCCTCCCCACCCTCGATCAAGCCCTCCAGGGCTCCATGAGCGAATCAATATTCTTTTTAGCAATGCCAGCTTGAATACGTCAATACCGTCCGCTGAAATATGGTCCCCAGGCCAACTCTTGTGATACCGTATCTAGACACATGCCATCTGAGCTTTGCGTGTTGCATCATTCCCTGCACCCGATTCTGTTTGGAGAAGTGCGTATACGCCCTCTCCGCTACTTGGAGGGCAGAGGAAAAGAAATAAGGTCGACTGCGACTAGTAGCATTGTTGTTCCTGGCAGCCCAGGGTATCCCACGATGCATCGCGGAAGACCAAGCAGCCGAGTCACATAAAACAACAGGTTTAGACAAGGGGTCCAGCCGAAGGGCTGAATCGGTTGACGGCACCCACACCCCCAACCTGCCATCTGTTCTTGGGGAGCAGGCCCATTTAACAGAATTATGCGGCGGGTCCACGCAAAAGTGTTAGCGGCGCCTAGTCCAAACAGCCATTGCTGCTGTGTGGCGGTCGTTCCGAAGCATGGTCCGTGAGCCTTCCGATTTCTTCGATTGGTTCACGTCCAAGCACGGAGGGGTTGTCCTGGGCTGGAGGGTGCACCACTTGAGACGAGCAACGACTCACGTCAGAGGTGCACGCCTGATGTATTGTGAGGCCACAAGACGCTTCATGATCGGTGTGCTGTGACCGGATTTCCTGGGTGATCTTATGCCGTTCACGGTCTTGTATCATAGTCGTGCTGCCAAATCGCTCTGTCATCCCAAGCACGCCCAGCCAGAAGATGGCGTTTTGACCCCATCTATCCTTTTCTGGAACATCCCCAGAACGGCAAAGGCGGGGGTGTATGTTTTTCTTCTTCTTTCTTTCTTTTTATCTGAACATTCTACCCTGCGGCCGTAGATTATCGGATTCGCCAGCAACCCTCGGAATGTTTAGCAAGCCGCATGGAACGAGCGACGGAGATGGCCGAGTCCAACCCTCCCAAAGCCATGTCGCGTCCTAAATCAGAGGAGGGGTGTCAAGATGGATGCAGCCTGGTTGCAGATTCGATGCTCGAGCATGATCGTGCTGGGGATGATCAGGAACCAGTGCTGGCTTGGCCTTTGGTGAGCTGATCCCTTGAGCGTGGATCTTGATCATTCCGGCATCTGTGTCTCGGGATTTGAAAGCGTGAGTTGCTAGATACGAATGAGGATCACTATAATTTCACCGGGGAGAGGAGCAGGCAGCGGGCTGCTGTAAATTACGAATTGTTTGGATTTGCGGAGGGGCTGATGGAATTTCCCAACCTTTCTCATGGCCATCAATCATGCACTGATGCCGAGGACAAAAGATAAGCAGCATTTCGTCAATGTGCATCGCTTTGGAATTATCTCACAAATTGTTGAGGGGTCAAGCATTAAGACGAGAGCTCGCTCCCTAACGAGAAAGGGAGTCTCGTCCTCCTAAATAAAAACCAATAAGGTACCGAGGTAGAGGCAAGATGGTAACGGCCTCCTCAACCCGATGATGTGCGTTCAAGAAAAGCATAGGGCCTGGTCTACATGGATACAGTATCAAGAGATGCTAGATGAATACCCACCAGTTCCCCCGCGATTTTAAGGTTTCGAGGAGATTGTGGGATGGAGAAAGCGAGAGAGCCTCTGGTGGGGGAAGGAGGGGCACATGCCAAGGACTGAGATCCCGGCTTGCCTTGGGGAATTGAACTGAGGCATAGCGAGAGCCTCAACCTCGCTCGAGCATAGATTCGCCGCAAAAATGTAGGAGCCGCGCGGGTTCGTGCTTTGTCGACACTGCATCAATTCCACCCACGACTCCGCCACGGGCCATGTTCACCCACGCACGGCTTAAATAAGGCTCGGTTTCAACATAGATCTCTGGCGGCCGGAAGAAGGGAGGCAAGAAAGGGGGTGGGGTGCAAGAAATTCTACCATTTATTTAGTGATCTAACCCTCCTTGTGTGAAGCCTGGGCGGTTGAAGATCGACTCTTGAAGGCAACAGCGATCGGAGCTCATCTTGTCCGGCCGACCCTCGACAAACCTGATCTTAGTAGAAGGTGGGTGCGCTGTGGCACGGCTGGTGATATGAGTTGTGCGACAATCAGGAAAATCATCTTCGAGCGAAGCGAGAAACTGGTTTTGGGATGGTGATGAGCCGTGAAACCCAAACGGTGGACACAAGGCAGAGAGGCGGGCATTATTAACGACGAGTGGCGGTCCTGAACGGGAACTGCTGTCGGGATCATGGAGGTTGATCGTTGTTTTTGCTCGACGCCCGCTCCCCCGCCGCCCTCAATTGATCAATTGATGTCCTCTCAAGATCGCTCGTTAAGAAGATGTGCTGTCCATCCGTGGATATTAGGCCATGATTATCTTTGAGAACAAAACAAACAGGTCTCGAGTTCTGCATCTTCCTCCCAATGCAATCAATCTTCAATCTTTAATTCTCAGGAGGGGCTTAGCTACAGAAGCATCACGGTTAATGCGATCATCAGGTGGCATTAATGGCAGCTTGAATGATAAGGTCAAGGGTGAGGTTCAAGAATGACTTCAAATTGATGAGATGACCTCACGACCTGGGGTCGGTAGATTGCGTCAAGAGGTAGCACAGTGAGAGAGGGAGGGCAAGGAACTGCACGAGTAATCTGCCATCCAAAGAGCTGGGAAGGTAAATAATTTTAAAAATAAAAATAAAAATAAAGTTCGTCGAGTTACACATCACATTCCAGCTATTACTTGTATGTACATCAATTGCGATCATTGCAATGGCTGCGCCGAGGTACGGTTGGACAAAAATGTATTTTGAGCGAACCGATTGTAACATTTCCCGCAATGACCGTTTTTCTGACTGTCGTGAAGCCCTGTGCGTGTGGAACAGGGGCCGTGGAGGTGGGAGGAAACGCTTCGGAAACAACGGCTAATTTGAGCATGATACTCCCTGGCGGCTGCGAAAGCCTCCTGCTCTGTCCCGCCTTTTGAGGCTGTGGGTGTTGAAGCGACGTAGAGTTGGGCACCACCTTTTAATCATTTCTTCCTCTGTTTTTCGTTGAGCAATAGTTCAAGGGCAGAAAAAATCTGCTTCTCTTTCCACAATTGAAAGAAAGAAACCCCTCAACCCCTACTAACAACAAATTTATGGGGGTGGTGCACTTCTCGTGAGGACGGCCACTCTCTTCCTAGATATGGACTGGCGTATTCGTACTTTCGCAAAGGCGACAAAGTCTGGTTAGTGCAAGGGGCACCCCCATACATCCTTGTCGGTAACCTCTCGTCATACCGTCACACGGACTCCGGTTTTTGCTCCCTGTCCTGATGGGGTT